AAGGGACTGTTTCAGAATCTAAGCATCTGGCTAGATTGTTGAAGTTTTGGATTATGTTATCGACTTGGAGACTTGTAGGGAGCCACTCTTATAACGCAGCCTGTGTCTAAGGCTGGATTTGTTGGTGCAGCTGTTCAACATAAGATTGAGGCGTTGCTCCTCTCGGTCCTGCTCAACTGCCATGGGCTCCTGTTCTGATAAGAAAACTGCATTACGAACCTCGTGTTGGTATGTTTCAGATGATCTAGTTGCATGCTTGACATACTTCAACAACGCCTTTGCGCCTTAGTTGCACCTTTTCTTTTGAGAGCATGCAAAGAACATCTTCAAGTTGTCATGACCATTATAGTTGATTATGGATTCTCGAGAGTTGATTCTTTCTGTTCTTTCAATACTGTGAGAATCAGATAAACACATAACCACTATAGTTGATTCTGGATTCTTGAGAGTTGATTCTTTTTGTTCTTTTAAAACTGTGAGAATTGCGATTGACTTTGTTGTTGTAAAATGAAAATCCGTATAAATAAAATAACTTACATAACATTATTTAACTGCAATGCAACAAAAAAAAAGTGGAACGCTCAGCAAGTCTTTTGAAGAAAAGCTTGCGAAGAAGCGATGGTGATTTCGATTTTTCTGGACACAAATACCTTAATTCAATCTTCGCAACATCACTCAAGCCATCAAGGAGTTTGGCCGGTGGCGTGGCGACCGGGCGCTGCCGACCAGATCTGGAAGCTGATCATCCACGATCGACAGGAATACGTCGAGGAAGATGGCATTGCTTGTTCTAGGCCACTGGATAAGCAGAAACTTCTCGTGTCCAAAAGATAAAAATAACCAAGACTCATAGCTTGTGTTAGCGAAAACTATACAATATTGATCAATACCGTTTGGAGATCCTTGGTATAACGTACTTATTCTTGCGCTCGTGATAAATCCTCAATATCACTGCGGCTGTTTCTTCTATGGCCTTCCCCGTCACCTCTGAAAAAAACCCTCATAATGAGAAGATCAACAAAGTCTGAAACAAACATACCAATCACTGGCCATGTTGGATTCTTCTTAAACAGCTCGCCACTGTACTGGAGCTCCGTTCTTATGTGCTCCATGTCGAAATACGAGCTCTTGGTTTCTTTCCCAAGCCCCAGGTGGCGGTAGCGAGCAGCACGAATAGATCTCAAGAACGTCGGGTCGATGGTGAGGCCATAGATCTTGTCTTGGTCGATCTGGAAGAGCTCCTTTGGTGCTTCGATCCCAAGCACCAAAGGGACGTTCGCGACTTTGTATCCCATCTGAGCCAAGTACGTCGACAGAGGTGTCTTGCTCGTCCTGGAAACTCCCACCAGGACCAGGTCGGCCTTGTGTAAGTTTTGTGGGAGAGCTCCATCGTCCTGCTTGATGGTGAAGTCCACGGCTTCGATCCTCTTGAAGTACTGCTTGGAGAGTGTGCTCTTGCGTCCGGGAGCTCCTCGGGGAAGTCCCAGAGGGATGACGTTGAGGTGTGAGCCGAGAGCGTCTGTGATCGGTCCCAGGATATCTAGATGAGGAACTGCGAGCATCTGGCAAGCCCTTTTCGCTGCCTCGGCCATGGCTGGATCCGCAAGTGTGTAGACCAGGATGGCTCCTTCTGCGCCAGCTTGGCGGATCACTCCCATCAATCGATCGATGTCATTCACCTAAAGGAACCATCTAAAACACTGTCGTGAGTTTCTCCATGACGGAAGAACGTTTTCTCTATGAGTTTGGCTCGCAACTTCTCATGGACGAAACATTCAGCCATAAAAAACATGAAAAGACAAAACAAAAAAGACTCTTTTTCCTCACTCGCATTCTCTAGTTGCTAGAGATAAGAAAAGAAAGAAAGAGGCAAGAAAACTCAAGATAATGTAGCTTTGAAGAGAGGAAAAAAAGAAAGCAAAGAAAGGATAGCGTAGAGCTTACCTCGGAGAAGAGATGAGTATTCACAGCGCATCCCCTATCAGTCAAGCAATGCTCGAATTGCCCCAAGGCGGCGTGAACCGAGTGATCCACAGTCCATCCCGTGCCATCCGACACCATAAACACGGATTTCCCCCCAGCCCTGTCATCGTCTTCCTCCTCACCCCGATCGTCATCCCGATCGCTCTCGTCGCTCTTGGCGCCTTCCCTGTCCAGCACACCCGCCGCATTCGAATTGCTCTTCTGATTGATGAGCGTCCTGGCACGCCGCGCCCTCGCCCAGCGCTGAAGCTGGGCGCTGCCCCGCGATTTGATCGATACCTTCGCCCCGGCTTCTGCCCTAATCGCGGCCACCACTCCGCCGGACGCTCGCGGGCACAAGCACTGCATCTTTGAGGAACCCTAAAAAACAGAGAGTGACGCGTGGAAAGGATTTTATTTTTTCGTTTGCCCTAGGTGGAGAAGGGGGAGGAGCTGTGGGATCGATTTGTAAGTGAAGGCCGTGCGCTACATCCTCTTGCCAATGGCGCTCTCCTCCTCGTCTTCGTCGGTGAGCGGCAATGAGTTTGATCACCTCTTCAAGATACTGCTCATCGGAGATTCCGGTGTCGGCAAGAGCAGCTTGCTGCTGCGATTCACTGCCGACACATTCGACGATCTCTCCCCCACAATCGGTGAGTGGATCCCCAATGCCTCCAAAAGTAAGAGTAAGAGAGGATTTTCATCTTCTTCTTCACACAGGTGTGGATTTTAAGCTCAAGCTCATGACATTGGAAGGGAAGAGGCTCAAGCTCACGATCTGGGACACCGGTAACTTTAGCACAGCTGTCTCTTGTATGAGTTTTGAGAGTTTTTTTTTTTTCTTGATCTCGCGTAGCTGGGCAGGAAAGATTTAGAACACTCACGAGTTCATACTATCGAGGAGCACAAGGCGTCATTCTTGGTACGTGTATCTCGAGCTTTACTTTCTCTTTGCTTGTAGCTCATTTGTTTTTCTTCTCTTTCGCAGTTTATGATGTTACTAGGAGAGATACGTTCACGAACCTTCAAGATGTTTGGCTCAAAGAGGTCGAGCTCTACTCGACTAACCAAGATTGTGTGAAGCTGCTGGTTGGAAACAAAGTCGACAGGGTCTGTCTTATTGTTTCCGATGAATTTGTCTAACTCCTTTCCTTTGAACTCCAGGATTCCGAGCGCGCGGTCTCACAACACGAGGGCATCGCGTTCGCCCGGAAGTATGGCTGCTTGTTCCTGGAGAGCAGCGCAAAGACTCGCATCAACGTCCAACAGTGTTTCGAAGAGCTTGTCAGGAAGGTGGGAAGGCTCTGAAAAATTCAAGGCTGCTACCAACTAAATGGTCTTCTTCTCTCCTTGTTTTTGCGCAGATTCTGGAAACACCCAGCTTGGTAGCTGAGGCCAAGTCAGTGAAGAAGAACATCCTGAGACCGGGCAACGAGCCTCCTCCTCCCGAGAACGCTGGCAGCTGCGCCTGTTGAAGATTCCAAGTGTCCAATTGTTGTGAGTCCTGTTGTTACGTACACACCTCTCGATCGCCACCGTACTCATGCTCTTCGAATTCTCTGTGTCTTGCAGATCTTTGAATATAAATTATCGAGCTTTTGATAGAAGACGTGTAGTTTGACAGGTACTTGTCAAGTTTTCAACTTGGTGATTTTTTTATCTCGTAGGCTTGGTGGCTGACACCTGTTCTTGCAGCGTGGCAAGCACCGGAACCGCCAACTGTGCGCCTGGAGCCCTAAAAAACAGAGCACGGACGCTGCTCCCAAGTGTGGAAAAAGCTATGGAGGCCGTAGTCGCGATGAATGCGAGTGTTTCGTTCATCAACGGGAATCGTTTGCGCTCTCCGTCGATCCAAAAGGTTTGTTTTCCGAGCGGAGCGTGTAGAAGAGGTACTCTTTCTTGTTTCACGACGAGAGCAGCTCTAGAGGGTGATGAAGGCAGCAAGAAATCTTCCATCCGGTTGACGATCCAGGCAGAGACGCCGGGCCAGTCCGAGCCCTCGAAGCTGGTGATCGAAGTCCCCGACCACGAGCAAGTAAAACACGAGGATGTCAAAAAGGAGGATGTTCGCGAGAGCGTCATGCATGTAGCATCGGAATCGGCGGTGGAGAGCCCCGAGAGAGTGCATGAAGAGGCCGAGCACGAAGCCGGAGCTATAGCATCCAAGACCGGCGAGGCAGTGGAAGAAGTGACCGAGAACTTGGAAAAAACGGCCGAGCGAGCGTCCGAGGTGGAGGCCGAGCACCTCGGGTCCGGGTCGGAGAGTCCAGTTGCCGGGCTGGGACAAGAGCTACACAAGAACGTGGAGGGGGCCGTGAAGGCGAGCTTGGAGAGTGGACAGAAGGCAAGGCAGGGGCTGGAGGCTGCTCGAGGGGAAGTGGAGAAGCGAGTGAGCGTCCTGGTGGAGGCGGCCGAGGAGGCCGGGCAGAGAGGGAACAAAGTCGTGGAGGCCGCTAAGAAGAGCCTCGAGGAACTCAAGAACAGGCTCGGTGGCGTCCAGGAATCGGCGTCGCGAGCCGCGGGAGACGTCCAGAAGAACGTAGGAGAGTTGCAGAGGAAGATCGAGCAGCAAGCTCAGCAGGGATCGAGTGGAGTGGAGAAGCTGCGATCGGAGGCGGAGAGAGGCGCGGAGAGTTTGGAGCTGGATCCCGAGAAGCACAAGGCGGTGGATGCCGAGGACGTGAACAAGGATGGCGAGAGGAAGCTGGCGGAGGAGCACTGGCAGAGCGAGAAGGATGATCCGGAGGGCGGCGGAGTTGTGAGCGAGACCATCAAGGAGTTTGTGGATCCGGCGTTGGAAGGGAGTGCGGTGGGACGGGAGGTGCGAGAGGAGGACGAGATTGGCGATGGAAACGAGCACCTCAAGAACATGAAAGATCTGGTTCTCCACGATTCATACGCTCCGATTGACGACAGTGATGATCACGGTGGCAAGTCGGACTAGAGTCTCATCGAAGTGAATAAACTTCTAGTTTTTTTTTTCTTCCTACTTTTGCAAGCACTGGCATTTCCAGAGACTTAAGCATGGAATCGCGACAGGCGAGAAGAACACGAAGGTCAAATTGCATCTTTTGATACACTAGAGAAACAAAAAAAAGGCCAAGAAAAAACTCATTGTCTGTACACTATTGACATGGTAAATTGTTGATGGACGAATCGAACACCGCTTGGCTCACAAATTGGCCCCTCACTCGAGGGCGCTGCTCCGCAAGCCTCTTCCTACTTTGATACCGAACCTGGAAGAAAGAAACGAGTGTGAGACGTGCCAAAGAAAATGAAACAAAGAATGGCGAGTACCTTCTTCTCGAAGCACCTCTCCTTTCGTTTCTGTCTAAACTTGTTCAGAGCGGCCTCTCGCCTGACTTTGCTGTTGTTGGCGGCGTTCTCGGCCGGAGCGCCACAATTGTTGGAGCCCGGATTGCTATCGCCACCATTGCAGCAGCTGCCAAAGTTACTCATCTTGGCGGTGCTGTCGTTGTAAACGTTGTTGCTGCCATGGTTGCTTCCACTCACGCTGCCATTGTTTCCATAGCTGCTCCAACCATTCCCATTCCCACTGCCACCATTATTGTTGGAGGCGTGCAAACTTGAGTGGAGCTCACCACCTCCAACACCACCGCTACCATCTCCAGCGACGTTCGTGGAGCCACAGCCCGGGGTCTCAAGCTCGTTGCTACCGCTGGCTTTATCGTGGTGGTGGTGCTCGATGTGGTAGTGGTGGTGGTGAGCCATGATGTTTGTAAGCGCTTGGAAGCTCCGGTGCTTTTGTTCTTCGTGCTGCTGCTGCTGCTGACGTTGTTGTTGCTCCACGAAGTGCTGCTGCTGACGCTGCTGCTGCTCCACGAAGTCTGGATTGTCGAGGCGAGGCTGCTGTTGTGGTGGTGAGAAAGCGTGCTGCCATGGCGGCAAAGCCGGCTGTGTGTAGTAATAGGTAGCTCCTCCTCTCGCTGGTAAGCTCTGGTCGTAAGAAAGTACTGTCGCGTATTGCACCGGAGTGACTATATGATGCTGCTGCTCGGGCCTAGCAAAGAACGCTGCTGTTGCTGCTGCCGTTGCTGCTGCTGCGGCAGCCGCTGCCTGATCGTTCGACCTTCCAGTTTGTGTTCCTCCGTTAGTAAAAATCTGGCCTGGAAGTTGGACACTTGCTGTGGAAGAAAACTGGTGTTGCTGTTGTTGATGTTGCTGCTGCTGCTGCTGCTGCTGCTGTTGCTGTTGGTGGTGATGATCAATAGCTTGTTTTTGTTTCGTGTTGTACCTACATTTGATGCGTAAGTGTTAGCATCTGAAGCTAGGAGAAGAGAAAAAATGACCTTGAGAAGGCAGAAGGTCCTGACTGGTTTAAGACATAGCTCGGCTCGTAAGCGTGGTCCGGGGTAGGACTTTTGAGAGCGAGCTCCAGATTTCCCGACGTTGGCGCCGGGTCTGAGGAGCTCACATCTCGTTCTAGGATGACTTCCGGGCTGTTGCTTGCCCCCATCTCGGACTCGAATTCCTCGGCGGCCTTGGCCGTGCTCGGCTCGGCAATGTTTCCAATCAAGTCCACAGCCTCCATTGCTCGATCCGTGTCTGCTGGTGAATCCGCGGGTTTGAGACGGGCACCAACATCATCGACCGTGTCAGAATCTGCAGGTGTCACTAGACATGTTTCAGAAATTATCCGCAAAGCTTTTTAAGTCGAAACAAAAGCATCAGACGAGCTTGAGCGTGTACCTTTCGTCCGGCGTGCCCGCCTGGATGGCGGACACGGCTTTGGTTTTGTGAAAGCTCGCGGCCTGGACTTTCGTGGGCTCTCCAGCTCCGCCACCTTTTTCGTGCACGAACTCTGAGAATGGAGAGAAATCAAAACACAGATAACATGGAAATTAGTCTTTACCTCCGTGTCACTTTGATCAGAAATGCGGATTTCCTCACTTCCAGAATCACTGCTTAATTCGCCGCAGGAGCCTCCACATTTGTTTAATCTCCCTGTTTCGCTTTCACTTCCACTCGACTGCATCAATTGATATAAGAAAAGTTACTCTTTTGTTCTCTCCCGATCAAAACAAGGAGCATAACACGTACACTTCGAGCTTTCCTCCAAGCATGCTGCCACAGGTTCTTCAGCTCGTTCTTGCGCACGGGCTTCACCAAAAAGTCCGCAGCTCCTTTCGTCAGGCACTTGAAAACCACATTCGTAGAATCGTGAGACGACATCACTGCATTCACACAAGCAACGTTAAACCCCGTCTCGATCGATCAACCCAAAACAAACTACGTACTGACAACAGGAACTTTCTGGTGGTTCTTGTGATGCATTATCTTCGAGAGCAGTCCAAGTCCTGACAAGCCCGGCATCACCACGTCCGTAAGAACCAGATCGATCTCCCGGTTGCGATCGTCGAGTAAAGACCACGCTTGCAAACCATTTGCAGCAGGCACAACTGTAAGAAGAAGAAGAAGAAGACGACGAAATGTATCAGTCCTGTTCTTCAGTAGAAAAAGGAAAGACAAAATCAAAGCTCTCCAAACGCATACCCTGATAGCCACAATTGCGTAGCAAAGCAGCCACGACATGCCTCGTGGAATCATCATCTTCAACGAGGAGGACTTTGAGCTGCCTGTATGGAGGAAGATTTTCCCACCCTTCGCCGCGCTGTGACAATTTCCCACTCTCCCCGCCAATTCCAGCGCCCGCGCCATTCGGCGCATCAAGAATCCCTGCCTGCCTCATTGTCATCGCGCCATTGGGCGATCTGACCTCGAAATCGGGCCGCGCACAGCCGAATTCCTCGCAAAAATCGCGCTTCAAACCTCGATCCAGGGCAAAAACCTAGAATGAGACACTCCACAAACCACAGAAAACCCCGTCGTCAAGTAGCCAACGATCGAAATATCTTTCTTTCACGGCACACGTGGCGGGCCCTGGGAGATATTTCCATCCGACGTGGCAAGCATTCAAAATAAAGTAATGGATTTCCGAGGCCAATCAGAGCGTCGGGATTGATTTCCGCGGATCCAACGGCCAGCGCATTGTGCGGAGATATGGTCTCGGATATCCAGCTTGATATTTTAGCCACGTGTGTGGCCTACAACTAGGGCGACGTGGCGCACGCTGGGACGGGTAAAGACGATCTTAAGAAAAAACCTTTCGTGGAATTGCGTCCACCATTTACAATGATACAGCTCACTTTTTCTCTTTACAGCTTTGGAGGAAGATATTTTGTTCTTCGTTCCTCAAAAATTGCAACTCCTCTGCTTAAACCAGCTCGAGCACTTTGATGTTTCCCATGGAGTTTGCAGCGAGGAGAGTCTGCGATTTCCCTCTCCAGCACACGCTCGAGACAAACTGGCCTCCATCGTCTTCGTTTTCCTGGCCGGAGACCGGGTCCGAGGAGCCAAACTTGTGAGTCGCCAGTGGCATCGGGAGTGACTTGTGATAGCAAAACACCTGCGAAAATGGATGGAATGAGAGGTCTTCGAAAGAAAAGCTACGATCGACTTACAGCATTTGTCTCTGAGCCACACGCGATGTAGCCATCGGATACAGACAGTCCAACGAAATTCTGCTCAAGCAAGTCGGTTCACGACGTAAGAGACACGAAGATATCGAAAGAGAGTCGCTACCTTCTCGTTTGTATGCCCCGTGTAAGTCAAGCTGCACGCGTTGCTAGAGTTTCCATTTCTCATCACTTTGCTGAGGTCCCACAGCTTGAGTGTGCTATCCGTCGAGGCTGAGACGATCGTCGAGGAATCAACGAACCTTACGTAGCTCACGGCCTTGTTGTGGCTCGACAGGATGCACAGGGGACCCTTTGTATTCCTCAAGTCGTAACAATAGATCTTGTAGTCAGCCGAGCCGAAGGTAAGTAAGTGCGCTGAGTCGGAAGGAAACTGGACGCAGCAAACGTTGGCTTTGGTCTTAATCGTTCCAGTGCTTGCTTCCTGGATTACACACACAAGGATTTGAGTTTAAATGATAAGAAAGAAATACGGCTGTTCCTACCTGGTTTATGCTCCACAGTTTTACAGTTCCATCATCGCTACCACTTGCGAGCTTCGTCGGGTCTGCATGCGAAAAATCCACAGACCACGCCCGTTTCTCGTGTTCTTTGTACTCTACGAGTGTCTGACTGGTACTAGCGTCCCAAAGCTGCATAAAATGAAGGTGTCATGTTTGCACAGAAGATGAATCGCAAAGAGTACCTGTATTACACCATCGTAATCACTTGAAGCAAGGTGACTCTTGATGTAGCTATTCCAGCAGATATTGCTAAGCTTGGATCTGCTAGCCATCTCCACCACCGGGTAATGAATGTCAACATGCTCGTTGAGAACCGTATCGCACTCGAACACCTTGATCTTCTTGCACACTCCAGCTGTTGCAAAGAATTCCTCGTCCCGATCGAAGCTGAGAGAGCACACCATGTTGGCTGTGTTGAGCAAGTCTCCATGCCTCAAGGTAGCCTTCACTTCGAACCGACTGTATCTGGCATACTTGCAAAGGCTGTCAAAGAAGCCCCCGAGACGATCATTCGCACTTCCAGCCACCGGAGAAGCTTCTACGATCTGTTTACCACCAGAAGAAGGCCCGTCCACGTCCATATCCACTCCCGCAGGATCGACTTTCCACCTCATTGAAAAATAAGCCTGCTCTAGCTGACTAAAGTTCCTCATCAGTCGGGCACTCCTGGACAAAACTTCGCTATGCCTCCTACTCTCAACCACCGGTGAAACTATGTCATTCCCCTCGGACGGCCCTGCTTCATCTCCTCCTACTCTAGTTGGTTCCATCCGCAACGAAAGATCTAGCCTGTGCCTGCTAGAGCTACCAAAACTTTCATCCCTCGGCCCCCCAAGGCTCCACATCCTGTCCCTCTCTGCATGGCTTACCATCAGTCCCTTGTGTTTTAGTACCCCCCTACGCTTCTCAACCTCGTCGATGTCTGTGCTGAGGCCTTGCACGTCTCGACACAACTTCTGGGCCGCCTCTTCCTTCTCCTGTTGCACACGAAGAAGGAATTCTAGCAACAAGGCCGAGTCTGCTTCCTTCTCTTCAATGTCCACGGCCGCCTCACGCTCGGCAAGAGCCTCTCCTGCCTCACTGAATAGCTCGCACTGGAAGATCTCCCTAGAAAGAAAATAATGCCCAGGTTCAATCATCGATACACATATGTCACTGACTGACCTGGCTTTCGGCCGGGACTGTGGCTCCGGATGAAGAAGCCAGAGACAGAGCGCTGCCTCTTTCGGCGACTCGGAAAGCAGTCGTGGAGGAAGTATCCGGTGGCGAAGATCAGACATCGCTCTCGACCATTCCATGTTTGAGGAGAAGACGCAGAACAGCTGCAACAAAGTCGGCAAGCTTTTTCAACAATACAAACAAGAGAAAAACAAACTCATACCTCGAAAAAAAGCACGCCGAGGCTGTACACATCCGATGCAAACGAGCTAGCGCCACCGGCAAGCTCCTCGGGACTCGTGTACCAGGTTTGCTCCTTGGCCAGCACTTGTCGGAGAGGAAAGTTCTCGTCAATCTCGTGGCTACTGGGCTCGCTGGGATCGAACGAAGACGTCCACTGGTCATCGGGCTGCGCAAGAGCTCTTTGCAAGTCGGTGATAGCAGCGGCATCCACATTTCTCTGGGCCTCCATTCCCATATCCTGCTCGGGAAAGTCCGCGGCCCTCCCGGTCGAGTGCTCGGAAGATCTGTCCGAGCTGCTGGCGGACTCGATAAAGGTGATGCGATGGAGAGGCGAGATCATGAAGCAGGATGGCCTGATAGTCCGGAGAATCACACCTTGCTTCTGCGCGAGCTCTACAAACTCCAGCACCTGTTTGAAGATGTGTAGACACGCCACTCGATCGACAGTCCTCCCGGGTCTCAGCCACTGGCGAAGCGTCACGTCCCCGACGTGGTCATTGCCACCATCGTCCTCCTCCTCCTCCTCCTCGGCCCCGGTATCGTTCATGTTGGTATCACCATCGCCGGCATCGGTCGCTAGAACCAGCTCCATAGACGCTGGCGGCAATCTGTTCTCCACGCTAGAGCTGGATGCCGCCACACGCGATTGAGAGCCACTTCTTGGACCCTGGGCAAACACCGACGCCGCCGTGGTTGCATTGTCGCTGCTATCCCGCCGCCTCTCCAAATCGATCCCTGCGTCCCCCAGCTCCGTGCTCTTTCGTTTCATCTAGAAATCCCTCCACATTTGCGCGCCGCGACATCGGCGGCATCTCACGACGGCATTGCGGCGCGCAAGAAATCAGCAAACCTGGAGCAATACTATCGCAATCCCGCTCGCTCCTCCACGATTGAATCGCCGCGAACAGCAGGAATTCGCAACCCGATCGAGCGCCATCGCCATTGCGCGCAAAAGAGAGAGAGAGATTTCTAGGGCTCACGAGATTTTTTTAAACCCATAGCATTAAAGGATAATCTAAGTGATGAGGAAAGAGTGGCTCTGGCTTGTCCCCAATCGCCAGATATTGGAGTAACAACAAAGCTAAGGTCCAGCTCGCTCGTACGGACTATGCCCACGTGAAAAATGCCACGTGTCGTGATCTTACGTCCCGGAATTTGCGTGGCGGGAGTTCCAAGCTGGAATACCATAGCTCTCTTCCACAGCTTTCTACTGAATGACAGATACCATTTTAAATCAGTAGTCGAAGAGCTTTGTACATGATTCCATCTTTCGCTTGATCACTTTTGCTTGATCTCCGTGAAATGCTTGAACGCCTCGTCGATCCAACATTCGTAGCCTTCGATGTTCCGAATCGCAAAATCGACCTGCAAAAGAAGCAAAGAGATTTCTTTCATGAGAACAAACTCCGTGAGCAAGTTCACCTGGGCGTAGCCCTGGAAGTTTTCTTTCACTGTTTTGATCGCGACTTCAGCACCTTCAGAGTAGGGGTATCTGTGAAAAGCACCCAAAGCTTCGAGTGATCCTGAGAACGTAAGCAAGTTACCCGTAGATGCGACAGGATAGAGCTGGAAAACATATGAACTTGATGTTCTCCTTTAAGCCCAGAGCGAGAGCACTCCTAGAAAACGCAAAGTTTAGAGACAGAGCTTGACAAAACCTTCGGATAATTTACTTGTAGGTCTGTTCAAGGACGGGATCCGACTCTTTGCCTTCGAATACAGGCCCGACTGTATGGATAACACGCGATACCAAGAGATTATAAGCTCTGCGAAACAGAAGTTAAAAACAAAACAGCTCTTTCCAGGCCCTCGAAGAATTAAATACCTTGTGCTCACAGCTTCCCCAACATTGCACTTGATTCCAAGCGGAGCAACGTCCGGGAGCTTCTGGCAAGCCGATAAAAGTCTCGGCCCGGCAGCTTTGTGGATGACTTTAGAAAACAACGCCAAACAGAGATATAGAAAAGAACAAAACAAGAAAGGAACAAAAGATGAAACTTTTACCTCCATCAACCGCAGCCCCTGCATTGAGTCTCTTATTTGCCGGGGCAACCTACATTGTCAGCAATTCACCACATTAGAACAAGCGTAGAATAGAAAGAAAACGATTGGAGAGGAGCAAAAACTTACAATGGCGTCGTTCAATCCATCCACATTCCACTTGGAGATATCACCATAGTAGATCGTCATGGAGCAAGCATCCGAGAGCTTGAACTTCATCCTCTGGAGGAGCTCCGTGGGCGGCGGCGGTGGATTGAGCCACTCGTCGATCTTGGACTTCTGCTCGCTCTTCTGCTGCTGCCCCTCCGGTGGCATGTTCATCCGCGAGATGTTCTTGCTCACATCCGGCCGCGACGGCAGCGGCATTTCCAGGCTGCTGCTAGCATGAATCCACCGACCTCGCGTGCGCGACACCGCCGCCGCCATCGCCGCCGCATCGAAGAGCCTCGCAGAGAGCCGGAGAGCGCGCGCCTGCTGCATTGTCGATCGCCTCCTCCTCGCCGCTCGCCCTAGGGTCTAGGGTTTATGGAGGGTCTAGGGTTTAAGCATATTCTTATTTCGAGCATATTCGCAAAGATCCTATTAGCCACAAGAAAAACGTTTGGTTGTAAAACTATGATGCTTGTGACGATGAGAGAATGGATTTGGCTTATGTTAGTGCATGATTGACACGTGGAGGGACACTTGTAGAGTGGCCACGCCATCTTTCTTTCTCGCGCGACGAGTGGAAGCGTGGACAGCTTTTATCATTTTTTCTTGTCTACGATTTTCGCGGTATATATACTGTAGCGGGGTAACATTGCAGTAACTTAGATCGAGCTCTTACATCTCTTGCGTAGAGAAGAGAAAAAATTGTGGAAGAGGTTCTTCTCGATCCATCGAAGAAATGGCGGCTGTAGGAGTCCAAAATGTGTGCCTGGATTCGTCGATGCTCTCGTCGTGTTCTTCGCTGCGCCCATCGCCCAATTCGCAGAGAATTGCTGTGAGAAGCAGTAGCAGATCATCCGTGCAATGCTGCTGTTCTCGCCAGGTACCAGAAATTCACCCACGAATTTCCCCGAATCGCAATACTCACTCTCTTGTTCTGGCCAGGATGATGCGCCCGAGACGAGCACATCGCGGTTGAGTGGATTGGGGCGATTGGCAGCGACTGGCCTGATGGCGCTGGCGATCTCCACGAGCAGTGGCAGCGGCATTGCGATGGCGCAGCAGCAAGATCCAAGCCTGGTCCCGGTCTTCAACGTTGGCGAGCAGGCAGATAAATTGCTCAAGGACGCCGACAAGCTCACCAACGACGACTCGCCGCCGCGATTTGGCCCATCCCGGGGCGGTGTCAAGTCGGAAGACGATGGAAAAATCGCCCAAAAGTGAGAATTCTTGTATAGATTGATTGACTGATTGATCTGATCGATCGATTGCGCAGAGGTGGGAGTGGCGCTATTCCAGAGATCCAGGACAGTGGATCAGAGCTCGTAGGAAAGGGTCGCGCGAAGGTCGCCGCGAAGGCTTCCGAGACCAAGCAGAGATTGGATGAATCTCTGGGCCAAGCTCAGGTGAAGTGAAAGAAATCTGTTTGAGATCTTCTACTTTGCTGATTCCATTCTTCTTTGTTTCCAGGACAAGGCCGAGGATGCGAAGAAGGGCATCCAGGGATTCTTCGGGCAGGCCAAAGGCAAGGTAAAGAGCGATGTCGACACAGTTCAGGGGCAATCCAAGGATCCAAACGAGAAACTCAAGGGTCTCGTCGGCGATGCGAGGAGCAAAGCCGATGACGCTGGCGACAACGCGAAGGATTTGGTTGGCTCGATCAAAAAGGTACGGAGATCTCTCGCTGTTCCTCTCAATTAATGAAAACGATCGAATGCGATGCTTGCAGGGCCTGAGAATTCGATAGAAATTTTTCCCCCACGCTTGTACTCTATCTGGAGATGAATGAATGAAAGAGAGAGCTCTGCTTCTAGGGCTCCATTTCTCTGTTTTTAGGGTTCTTGGAATTTAAAAAGCGTTGTAGTTAAGGGCGTTAAAGTGCTTTCGGCGCGTAAATTCGAGTGTTGGCCAGGTTCGATTCCCAGGCCCTCATTCCATCAGGTAGGGTTAGGGAGGAGAGCGTCCATCGCCCGGCACGAATGTCGCCCGGGACGATCTACCTCGATGTCCCGGAGTCGCCATCGCTCGATAGCACAGAAACCACGGCCGATGCCGATGTGGTAGCAGTAGCAGCGGCGGGGTCAGCGGCGTCGTCGGTAGGAGCATCCTCCGCGCCTCCCTCGGCCTCTTGCGGATCATCCAAGTCGTGCTCCAAATCTACTAGCAGCGTCCACGAGCTCCTTGAATGCCCGGTTTGCACGAACTCGATGTATCCTCCCATCCACCAGGTGAGAGTTGGAAAATTCTTCGTTTTACTTCCTTTTTGCTTGGTTCTTAGTCTCTCTCTTCACTGTGCAGTGTCCAAATGGCCACACTCTGTGCTCTACTTGTAAAGTCCGCGTCCACAATCGCTGCCCAACTTGCCGATACGAGCTGGGAAACATTCGCTGCTTGGCTCTGGAGAAGGTTGCCGAATCGCTGGAACTTCCTTGTAGGTACCAGGGACTTGGATGCCCCGACATCTTTCCATACTACAGCAAGCTCAAGCACGAAGCGCAGTGTTGCTTCCGGCCTTACGGCTGCCCCTACGCGGGATCCGAGTGCTCCGTGAGTGGCAACATTCCAACGCTGGTTGCTCACTTGCGCGACGATCACAAGGTGGACATGCACAATGGTTGCACCTTCAACCATCGCTACGTCAAGTCCAATCCACAGGAAGTCGAGAATGCTACCTGGATGCTCACGGTAACGTTGGTTTCCTCTTGGTCCAATCGTTTCTTCGTTTGATGTTCTTGTGCTGCTAGCTTTTGAAGCTATGCAAGCTTAAGTTTCAGAAGTTTGATCGAGTAACCCGACGACTGCTGTTTGGTTTGCAGGTTTTCAACTGTTATGGACAGCACTTCTGCCTACACTTTGAGGCGTTCCAGCTCGGGACAATGCCAGTTTACATGGCTTTTCTGAGATTCATGGGGGACGACAACGATGCCAAGAACTTCAGCTACAGCCTCGAGGTAGGCGCCAATGGCAGGAAATTGATGTGGCAGGGTGTCCCGAGAAGCATTCGGGACTGCCACAAGAAAGTGAGGGACAGCCATGACGGATTGATAATCCAGAGAAACATGGCATTGTTTTTCTCCGGGGGTGACAGGAAGGAGCTAAAGCTGAGGGTGACAGGCAGAATTTGGAGGGAGCAGTAAAAGAGCTTTTGGGCAGCGAAGCCAAAGTGGGACTGGATGGGAGAGCTCTAGCAACTTCAATTTCATGCTTTTGAAATTGCTGCAAAGGTGGGGTGGGGAGAATAGCTATTACTCAGCACAGTGTAGATTTATTGGCTGTAGTTTCATATCAAAAGGTATCCAAACCTGTGAAGGCTTGAAGGAACTCTTGGTATGGCCTTTTACTTGTGAAGTGAAGTTTCCTAATGCTCTCCCTTTGTTTGCTTACTTTGCAGAATTGTGTACAAACGAATAAGCTGCACCTTGATATGTTTTGAATCACGAATTACTTTCATTTTGCTACAAGCCTTCTTGGTTCGAAGACGAGAGCATCGGCGTCTTTTGTCATGCTATTGTCATCAACTTAGTAAAGCTTCAATTTGGAGTTGTTGATTAAGAATACATACTAACTAAATGAACCCACTCTAGTCCCTCTGATGGAATTCAGCCTGTGATTACCATTATGTTTGGTGTGGAGGCCTCCATCTAGGAGATGGATGCAGTTAATATTGCTGATATATATAGCTAAATTCATCACATGCCTAACATTAACTTCTGTTGGAGTAAGCCTTTAACAAATGCAAAACTACATTTAGCCTCACAAGGTTTTGACAAAGCAGTGGCTATAGCATATCCATTTCAACATGGTGGAGAACAATAGAAAAGCTAGTTGTCTCAAACAGCCCATACTAGGCCATTTTGATGGCCACCTATGTCGAAATGCTGAACTTCACATACAGCATATCAATGCATAAATGAATGCCTTAATATCACACACTAAGTAACATAGGCAATGCAATTATCAAATGGTTTCAATTATTAAAATGCTATCAACATTTCTGAAATGTCAACATACTCATGAAAACTCTTGTTCACTAGAAAAGTTTTCCCAGTATAAATACATTATTAATTTTGAAAAGGAAAGTTTTTTCATTATTTTGTGGTGAATTATTATTAAAACCAATCCACTATTTTATATTGTATTTTTTAAATGAATTTATAAGTAATAGATTTTCAAAGATTTTACTTAATTTTTTACATCATATATCTCTTTTAAGATAAATTTTCAATATAGTTATTATACAAAATGACAACATTTAGCACCACCTTCAACACAGTGTCTAGCACCATCTTTAACACCAAAGTCTCCACCTTCAATACCACCATCTTTGGCCCTAGACATCAACTCTAGCAATACTTCCAAAGTTTCATTTAGCACTATTTCTAAAATTTTATCCAACTTTGGCACCATTAGCATTAGTTTTGGCATTGCACCGAGCATTAATTCTAGCATCAACCCAGGGACAATCAATGTTTTTCCTATACCTTTATTTCTATTGTTACCTCATGTTGCTTATTACATTATTGTAGATGTGGGTATATGGAAAACTTAGAAAGTTATTAAATACTTTTTAAGGATATTTTGAATATATGGAGTTGTTTGAAATATTACCAGATTTTGATTATCTAAAGTAAATAAATCAATTTTGTATAAAAAAAGTCATATTAATAAATTTATAATACCCAAATTAAGATAATAAACATTTCAAAAAACTGGATTAAGAATAATAAGTAGTGATATAAGTAAATAAAATCTATTTTTAAATTTTTATATTTCATTTATAATGTAATTATTAATTGATTAGAATTATTTTTAATTTTAAATTTTAAATTTATTTATTTATTTCTTTTTACAATTTTAAGTTATTCCATGCAGTAATGAAATAAAAGGGTTTTCCCTATTTACAAATTACTGTTAAAGATGTGAAGCATGTATCCACATGTCAAGGATTTATATGTTTTCCTAGGAAGTCTAAACTCAGGAGTTTACACAATCTAATAGATTAAGTTATATTATTCATTTAATATAATAATAATAATAATAATATTTTTATCATTCAAAAGTTTTTATTATTTAAACATTAATATAGTACATATTAATACCAACATTATATTTATTATAAAAATTTAATTATATAATATCAATAAAATTGTATATATAAATTATAAATATAAAATATTTAAGATTTTTCTTTCTAATTTTATAATACAAATTTATTAATGACAAAATAAAATAGATGTATGCTACTTGGTTAGCTAGTATTTATAGATAGTTTTATAATTCTTATTAATTTAAAAAAATATGTTAGGTAGTCGGCTCCACATACTTAAACTTTCCATAATACGTTTTCTTAACTGTAAGTTTTTCATCCTTATAAATATACATAATATAATCCAAAAATTAATAATTTAAATACATATAATATAGAATGATAATTTTTATTTCTTATTTATATAACTATTGATTTAATATTTTTATAACTAGTTTAACTAAGTAAATTCCAGGTTGAGACTAACCAAAGCCATCTTTTTTAACAAAATTTATTTTTCCCACTAAAATATTTACCATATAAATTATCACTTCTAGAATTTAATACTTTAATTCTTTAAATGTTCAAAAATAACTTTGAAAAAAGAATTGAATCTATTTATTCTAAGTTAAAATAATAAATACAACTTGTAATATATATTTTTTACTTTAAATTTTTTTATTAAAACAAAATATGACAATTTTCTTGGAGTTAAAGTCTTATGTCCAGAGTATAATTTGCTAAAATTGTAACAAATGTAACAAAGAGATTTTTTTTGAAAAATAGTTAACTATTAAAATTTTTATAGTACATATGAAATGCACATTCCTCTCATTATAAAAGAGATTTATTTCTTAAAAAAAAGTTAATTGTAACTATCTATAGATCAGGCTTCTTTTATAGAAAAATATCATGCATAAGAAAAGAGTCCCATTAGGTATATTAGCAGGAAGTTCTAGCACTTGTCCACATCTAGATTTGCTTGGAGTTTGTCGTAAAGCTCCATATGGAGTAGCCTCATTTGTTATAAAATCAAAGGTATCAATAAGTTAGGTGCTATAGGATTATTTCAAAATTGTATGAGACAAAAACATCCTAGCTTGCGTGCTTACATGACCATTCCTCCATCGATATTGAAAACCTGGGAATGAAGCTCTCAGGGGATGGACGAACGCTGTGACTAAAAGAAAGAGATCGTACCTGTCCTGTAATATAAGCAGCTGCCGGGTCGAGAGCGAGAAACTTGACGAGACCAGCCACTTCCTCTGGTTGGCCATATCTTCCTGCGCAGGCGCAAGAGGTTTTAAGCAAATGCAGACTATCGCAAGGATATGTGTTTGCTTTTACCCAATGGAATGGTCTGGAGTATTTTCTTCTCAATTTCGTCTCCCAGTTTTGCAGTCATGTCTGAGGCGATGAATCCTGGAGCAATAGCATTGGCCTGCAGGATGCACTCGGGAAATTTAGGAACTAAAGGAGCAGCAATTTTGAGAATACCGTAATGCTCCTTCCGGCATACTCGCGAGCAACAGTTTTCGTGAAACCAATGACACCAGCTTTAGCGGCGCTATAGTTTGCTTGTCCTGCATTCCCAGTAACACCGACTACCGATGAAATATTGATGATCCGACCCTGTGCGTTATCATGTAATAAGAAACTCGACACTATGGAAATTGACACAAAATACAGACCTTTTTCTTCTTCATCATGACTTTCGTAGCAGCCTGCAGTGCATAAAGTCACTTTTCTCAGACGAGCAGTCTGAAAGACTGATGGACGAACCTGTGTGCACAGAAAAACCCCAGAAAGGTTGAGATTGATAACCTCGTCCCACTGAGATTTCTTCATCCTCATGAGAAGTGTATCCCTCGTTATCCCTTGAAAAACGAATCAGTCAAGCGTTCCAAACTTGATAATTCCAGCAATCAATACCTGCATTGTTTACGAGAATATCGATCGTTCCCCACTTGTCGATCACAGCCTTGAAAAGCGCCTCGACATCTTCTTCCTTCGATACATCTCCACCATAAACGAGAGCCGAGCCACCAAGTTCTTCGATCTACAGTAAAACACCATTTTCCACAAGAAAAACAAAAAATCACCTAACGATACCTGCGAGGCAACATCCTCGGCCTCTTTTGATGATCTAGCGTAGTTTACAAGAACCTATTGAAGCGGTAAGATAAACAGTGGAAGAAAACTTGAAAGAAGCCTTACTTTGCCACCGGCAGCGCCCAAAGCGAGAGCTATGGCTTTGCCAATCCCTCGCGAAGCACCAGTCACCACTGACACAGGAGCTTCGACTAATTTCGTTGGCTCGTGAGAGGGCTCGGTCGCCGTTGCCACTTGAGCTCTGATAGCTAGAAATTTCCAGCAAAACCAGTGAGATCGAACCGGGAGATCGAAGAGAACAGAGAATGCATGCGCTGGAATGGATCCAGGAATTCATGGCATGATCGGGATTACCTGACGAAGAACACGATGATCTGACGCTTAGACTGGAGCAGAGCTGGAGATTTCGGCCGAATCGCAAATGCTGCCTCGATTGGAGCGCAGGAGCTGCCGCTGGGGTCGTCGTCGCGAAGCCGGAGATCAAAGACGCGGATGCCATCGCTGCTCTGTTCCTCGATGCGACACACAAAAAGTATTTCATGCCGATGCCCTATATATCCAACGGCGGGGAGAGCTCCAAACCAGCGGCCACAATTGCGCCAAGCTGGCGGTGAATTTGATTTTGCCGCGTCACTTCCTAGGGCTGAATCAGCACTTCTTTCTAGGGCATCGCAAAATGCTGTGGAATGCTGAGGAAGGCGAGCTTCGTCTCGAGGAAGCTCGTCTTCAATCTCAAGAAGAAGGCGCCGGTGGCGAGGATCTCCGTGAGCGACGCCCTAGAGCAGCTCGATCAGCGGCGCCACGGCTACGTCGAGCTCTACGACGAGCTCCTCCAGCAATGCGGGCGCCTGGGTTCCCTAGCAGAAGGTAAGCTCGTCCATCGCCATCTCCTTCGCACCGGCCATGGCCGGAACCAGTTCCTGGGCAATCTCCTCATCCAGATGTATGGAAATTGTGGAGAAATCCACCTCGCCAGGGCCGCGTTCCAGAATTTCGCAAGCATCAAGGCGGTGGCTTGCTACAACCAGATGCTCAGCGCTTACGGGAAGAACGGGCTGTGGAACCGCGCACTGGAGCTGTATCACAGGATGTGCGAGGAAGGGCCGGAGCCGGACAAGATCACGTACTTCATCGTTCTGGGCTCTTGCTCGGCGGTGGGGAGTCTCCGTGAGGCTCGAGAGATCCATGCCAGGATCATCGAGGCACCACATATCATCAGAGACAATCTCTCTCTCCAGAACGCGCTGGTAAACATGTATGGGAAGTGTGGCAGCGTGGAAGAGGCCCGGAAGGTTTTTGATGGGATCAAGAACAGGGACGCTGTCTCATGGACTTCGATGATTTCTTCCTACGCCAACAATGGGTTTTGCGACGAGGCACTGGATCTCTACCAGCAGATGGACGCCGATGGCATCCAGCCCGACTCGATAACTTTCACCAGCGCTCTTCTGGCTTGCACGAAACTGGCCGACGGGAAAGCGATCCATGCAAGGATCGTGAGCAGCAACATGGAGTCGGACTTTGTGGGAAGCGCTCTGATCAACATGTACGCGAGGTGTGGAGACGTGAGCTCCGCGAGGCAAGCTTTCGAGAAGATCCAGAACAAGCACGTCGTTTGCTGGACTTCGCTCATGACGGCTTACGTCCAGACAGGTCATTACAGAGAAGCACTGGATCTCTACGGAAGAATGGATCACGAGGGCGTCCATGCCGACGGTGTCACTTACGTGACTGCTCTCGGGGCATGCGCGAGCTTGGGAGCTCTCAAGGAAGGGAAGGCAATCCACTTGCGGGTCTCCGAGTGTGGATTCCAGTCGCTCGTCGTCCACACCGCGCTTCTCACCATGTACGCAAAGTGTGGAGAGCTGGACGCTGCGAGGGCGGTGTTTAACAGGGTCCGGCAGAAGAGAAACGTCTACTGCTGGACGGCGATGATATCCGCTTATGCCCAAGCCGGGTATACCCGAGAAGCGTTGGAGCTCTACGACCAAATGGTGGCCGAGGGGACCCGGCCGAACGAGTATACTTTCTCAAACGTTCTAGCGGCGTGCTCCTCGTCGGGTGATCTGGAAGCAGGGATGAAAATCCACGGACACGTCGAAAACAGCGAGCTGGCCTCGAATGTGGCCGTCCAGAACGCGCTGGTGACGATGTATGCCAAGTGTGGGAGCTTGGAGCTCGCAAAGTCGGCTTTTGAGGCATCGGGTCGCAAGGACTTGGTGTCCTGGAACGCGATGATCGGAGCCTATGCTCAGCACGGACTAGGAAGGGAAGCACTCGACTTATACCAGACTATGACGAGCCAGGGGGTACTTCCGGACGAGGTGACGATCGCCAGCAGCCTGAGTGCCTGTGCTATCTCCGGCTCTCTCCAGCTAGGCCGGGAGATCCACAGCCGGGTGCTCAAGAACCAGAGCTTCCAGTCGAGCTTGATGGTCCAGACGGCGCTGGTTAACATGTATGGGAGGTGCGGGAGGCTCGAGACGGCGAGAAGTATGTTCGAGGACATGGGACAGAGGGACGTTCTCTCGTGGACAGCAATGACGTCCGTCTACGCTCAACAGGGCCATGCTGATCAAGTGCTCGACTTGTACCTGGAGATGGTGCTCCACGGCATCAGGCCCAACGAGATCACCTTCACGAGCATCTTGGTCGGCTGCAGCCACGCCGGTTTGCTCGCCAGAGGCGTGGAGTGCTTCCTGGAGATGCAGAGCGAGCACGAAGTGGTTCCTATCCGCGAGCACTTCCTCTGCATGGTGGATCTTCTGGGACGAAGCGGGAGGCTGCGAGATGCGGAAGCGCTGGTGGAATCCATGCCGTATCAGCCGGACTCGGTCGCCTGGCTGACGGTGCTTGGATCGTGTAAGACACACTCGGATGCTGATACTGCGAAGCGAGCCGCGAGGAGGGTGAAAGAGCTAGATCCAGAGAACACTTCGCTGTACTCGCTGCTATCGAGTATCTTTACGGCGGCTGGATTGCCGCAGGAGGCGCTGGAGGTCCAGCTGAGCATGAAGGAAATGGGATTGAAGAAGCCTCCCGGCCAGAGCTTGATCGAGAAGTAAAACCGAGGACGATGGCGGTAAGCTTTTCGAGAGCTTGATTCTAATGCGAGCGATGGTTTTGTAGAAGTAACTGGACCCCATGGAGATCGAGGGAACTTTGAGAGGCTACGGCATTGAGGATAATTTTCCAGAGCAGGTGAATGGAAAGTTTTTCTTAGTTTTTTGGAAGTGATCAATTTCTTCCAGTTCTCGCCGAAGTTGATCAACTAACTATGGATCACAATCTTTCCAGGTGTTCTACTCGCAATCGCTGGCTTTTGCTTTGCGGACCATCAATTTCATGCTTTTGAAATCGTTGCAAAGCTACTCGTAGCTATGCGCTAACACCGGCTTGGAAAGGTACAAAGGAGTTGCCTTTAAGAACGGGCTGGAACTGGTGTATATGCCTTTCAGGAATTTCGATGTGGAGTTCGAACTTTCGGTTCTCTCTTCATTGTGTACAAACAAACTCACCAAAGTCGCGATTTTTGGTGAGACTTTTCTCCTTTGATTCGATGATTCGATTGAGTTGGCAAATCACAGGTTTCCATGAAATTTCTTACTAGAACTTCTATAGTTTTCTGATGATGGATAGAATTCTTCCATTCCATTGTTAATGAATCACTTCCCACGTCGGTGAAGTATTAAAGCCCTAACGGTCACACTGCCACGCATATTCTGTTCCTCACGCTCAGATTCCGTCTGCGCGCATTAAAGACTGTTTGTGACGGCGGCAAATTTCGCCGTTACTAGTTAAGTTAGAAGACAAATCTCGCCATCTGGCGCCACCCCATTCGCTGGGCGGTAAACTGTCTGTTTGACCGGCATTACACCCGCGCCGTAATTCGTAAAAGTTTTCAAAATTTTCAAAATTTTAACCTTTTACGTGATCGTGGTGGCTATGGCGGAATAGGGCTCTTTTGTTCCTTTGTTTTTGGCTTATCGATGGCCTCGACGGTACGGAGTAGGCGGAGGCGAGTGACGCAGCCGTTTCGTGATCGGGAATGCGAGCGTTGCGATCAAGAAGCGCAGGATTCGATGAGCGGTGTTGCGTGCTGCCAGGTTTTCGACGATCGGGGGACGATTTGCGAGGATTCAGAGATTTCGGCGCTTCTCGTGTCCACTGATGCCTCCTCCGCTGAGAATCTCGCTTCTTTTTCCCAGGATTGCTGCCACGCTGCTGTGAAAGAGGGGGAGGAGGAACAAATCGGCAAGAAGCGGCGATCTTCGTCGTGGAGTGGTCTCGCATTGCCGCGGCTGTGCGGCGAGAAGAATGTGAATGCCGCCGGCGATGCTTGCAAGAAGCTGGGATTCGTCGTGACGAGGAAAATGCGAGCTCTGTCGCTCGACGATAATCTTCACGCTCTCTCCTCTAGGATGAAGCTCCTGTGCAGCCGCGACGACAGCTACCTCCCTCTCGTCGCCTCTGATTGCTCCATCTCGCAGCTCAAGAATCTGGCAGCAGCTGGAAATCCCTCCAGCCGCCACCACAGCAATCTCAACATCGACGATCAGCGCTCCCAGAGCTTCGATTCCCGCCGCTACGATCTCGTCGGTTCTCCGGGTCCGAAATTTCTCCTCGCCAATCGAGCGGCAGCTCGGGAGGAACAGGGGGAATCGTCTTTCAAGTGCTCGGCTTCGGTGCCATTCAAGTGGGAGGAAGCGCCAGGCAAGCCCAAGCCCTCGTTGGAGAAGCCGGATCCAACCCTCCAGCTCCCTCCTCGTCTCAGCCGCAGCGCCACTCTCCACAAATCCGCGATCTCCTCGAACTTCTCCCAGCGCCGTGCGCAGTCCGTCAATCACAGGCAAGGATTGCTATTAGCAGCGGTCCCGCTTGCCGCGGACGGTGACTCGAGCTCTCCAGCCGTGCAGCACGGTACCGCCGACGGTAAGACGGTCGACCCAAGCTCTCCGACGAGCATACTGTGCGGCCCCGACCAGAGCAGTGCGTCGTGCAGCGCTTCATCCTCGGACACCATCTCCGACTCGGCGGTGGTCTCGGACGCCGAGTCGGGGACTACTACCAATGTGGCGAATCCAGCAGCGGTGATAGAGGATTGTTCCAAGGGTGGCGGTAGCAGCGTTAAGGTCTCTATTACCCGATCGATCGAGAGAATTCTCCATCCCGATTGGCTGCGATCCAAGCGCAAGAAGTTCCGTGGTAGCCAGGATGTGGAGATGTGGGCTCCGACGCTCGCTGCGTACTTCCACAGCATTGAAGGTTCGGAGAGCGCCAAGGATGAGTCGGCCTCGGTGCCAAGCAGCGGGCAAATTGTGTTGCTCCAGCGCGCGGACGAGGAGGGCGATGTTGAATCGGACAAGGTGCTCAAGCTCGACCCCGGTCCCGGTGAGATCGATCAAGATCGGGCTTTGGGTTTTGAGGAGTCAGCGGCGGCTGGAGGAGCATTGTACTGCGGCTGTGCGTCGCCCAGGCTCGCTCCATCTCGGTTTCGATTGATGCGAAGCGCTAGCTCGTCCGGGCAGAGGAGGTGGATGGTGACGCGCATACGGAGAAGCTCGAGGCTCCTGGTAACAAACGTCTTTGGTTTTGCAACTGTGGCTAATGGCTTGGTTTTGTAGCAAATGTTCGTGTTCAAGGCCGTAAGGTGTGCCGTCCAGCCCCGACGAAAGTCGCCTTTGGAATCGTCCAAGCTTGTTTATCATCCCGTGAAGAACTGAGTGGAAAGCTTGCCAACTGGACGCTACGCAACTCGCAAGGTGTGACATCGTTTCGCTTTTTGGCTCTCATCGATCAAAGTCTCGATCTTTCCAGGAGCCCTGACGAAGGAAAAGCCAAGAAACGCAGCAGCATTTTAGCGCTGCGTGTACAGAGGAGTGGTATATTGTGAATGGTTTTGTGAAGAGGTTTGTACTAAGAAAGATGTGCTGGTCGCGAGTTAAAACTCTCCCACCAGATTGTAGCTACTGAATCGGGCCAGCCAGATCAACAGCAGTCGTGGAGGCTGCTGCTCGATCATCACGAAATGTGGCAGCAGCAGCGGCAGCAGCAGCAGCAGCAGCAGCAGCCTTCAAAAAATCGCGATCAGAGACAAGGAAAAGAGCGACGAGATCTCTTTGGATGAATATGGTATGGCTTGCACTTGCAGGGACCAGAGCAGCAGGGACATTGAAAGACTGTTGCTGGTGGAGACGAAAGTATCGATCCGATGCGAGCGCCATTAAATTCCTCCTGGCTGCTGCTGGCACCAAAATTGTTTGGAGCGGGAGAAATAAACATGGATTGATAGCGGAGAGACGAGCCAGCACGAAAGTGCCTTTCCTTTCTCTCGCTCCTGGATAGAAGAACGTCAATGCCATCTTTTCCGATCACATGAATCTCGTGTACGAAAATGTCGTATGAATAGGTGTTGTTTAAATATATTTACTTTTAAGAATTTTTATATGGATTGGAAGGGAAAAAAGAGGGGTTTAACGGCATTTTAGGGTTTCCTAGGAAGCCTTATACAAGCTTTCTGTGCCCTAACCCTAAAAACAGGAGAACCCTAACCCTCATTGTACGAAACTGAGATACGGACACAACCCTAATTTCCAAGCTCCGCATTGTTTCAAACGAGGACCCTGCCCGCGTCGCTGACGGATCCAAACAGGTGCTGCTCCTCGGCGTCGTCGTCGTCGTCGAAGAGCTCGGGGTAGCGCGCCTGGCTCATGACGACGCTGCCGGGGATCTGGTGCGCGCTGTTGATCTTGGCAAACAGGTAGCGCAGGACCTTCTCCTTGTCGCCCCAGCTGAGCTGCGACACGTCCACCGCCGCCTCCAGCCGCACCGGCACCTCCTCCATCTGCCCCATCACGTCCAGCTGCGTCTCCCCCTCCAGCTGCGACTTCGACTTGACCAGCTTGTTGACCGCGCGGTTGGGCTTGGAGGCGGCGGAGGCCCCCGCCGCCGGCGGCGCCGCGAAGTCAACCGAGTGCGCTGACTTGGCCGACTGCGTTGACTGCGCTGACTTTGCCGACTGCGCTGACCGGGCCGAGGACGACTTTTGCGAGCTTGGCGATGGCGGCGACGAGGACGTGGCCGGCTTGGAGGAGGCGTCGGGCTTCTTCTGCTCGCTGCACGCGCGCAGCATGGCTTTGGTGAGGATTGGCGGCGTTTGCTGCTTCTTGGACTTTTTGATCTCCTCCACCACCGTGTGGAGCGACTCGATGAGGAACGACTCCACCTCGCCGCGCTCGCGGAGGACTTGCTGGGCGAGCTGCCTCACGCGCCGGAGCTCCTTGGCTTTCGTCTGGAGGATCCGCCGCATTGTCTGCGAGATCAAGCAAAAACTTTTGTGAGAAACGCGAGAACGATGAGAGGTTTCTCTTGCCTGTTTCTCAAGCTGGAAGTCCGCGATGCTTTTGAGATGCTCGTCCTCCAAGGCGCGTCTCTCGGATCCATACTGACGAACGACATTGCCTATGCTTTGCTCGAGCCTCACTAGCTGGAATAAAAGCTGTAAGAACGAAGGAGAGGATCTTAGTGATAACGGCGTACTCTTAAGTTGCTTTCGGCGATAACTCGGGCCTGTGTGCTGCTCCTTCGCATATGAAGCCCGTCGGCCTCGCGCAGCAAATCGATGTCTCGTGTCACTCCAGCGGCATCCGCCTGGATGATATCAATTTCCCTCTGGAGATTGCCGGTTATCTCGACGTGCATCCGGATTTCGTTGCCAAGTCGTTCATTCTGCCACCTTCATACACAAAACTCTTTGTACTTCCTCTGGAAAAACAAATCACGTACCTCGGCAAGGATGTCTCTCACTCGTTGCCCGACGCGGTCCTCGATCTCGGAGTTTAGCTTCCTGTGGATTTCATCCAGGCTCTTCTCAAAGTCTTTTTTCATGTTGATTCCCTGAAAAAGGCAAGGAGTTTATGACGACGGTGGTAGCCGATACTTACTTGCTCTATGTATTTTCTTTCGAGCTCCGCTAACTCGTTGCCGTGCTTCTCTACGAGCTGGACATTCTCGGCATCTGCGGCAGCAAGCTTGGCTTCAAGTTGTGCCTAAAATCCAAAACTTGCAAAGTCAGATTTTCCAAAATGAAAGCCATAATCTACCTTTTTCTCCGAAAAGTGCTGCAAGGTGTAGAGCTCTTTTTCGATCTTGCCAATGTGATTGATGAGCTCGGCCTTCTCCATCTTGGCAGCAGTAAGAGTAGCCGCGAGCTCGTCTTGCCATTGCTTCTTTATGGATACATTCTCGTTCTCTTTCTGCAAAAGAAACGAGAAGATACCGATCATGAAACAGCTTTAGAACGCTTACATTTTCTAGCTTAGTTTCCAACTCCTGGATTAGTTCTTTCTTCTGCTTTATATCATGCTCGTAAAACTCCGTGGACGCAAACTAGAACGAAGAGCAGAACAATGAGAAATCCAAAAACCTTGGAAGAAAAGGAGAACTTACAGCTTCTTGTTGGATGATATCTCGTTCCACTCGAAGCTGGTTAAAGTCCCTTTGGAGCTTCTCGATAAGTTTTCTCGCATCTTCCAATGCAACCTTCTGCTCTTCACTTCATTGATTTCTTCGAAAAAATTATCCCCTCCACACGAAAGCGAAAAACAAAAACAAAATCCACATACATGTAGATGCCGTAGAGCCGGACTTGCTCCGTGATGCTAATCTTCTCGCCGCCGTCATTGTCTTTGCTGGCCTTGGAGCTCGTTGATCGCCCCATGCTTCATCCGCTCATGAAAAAGAAGCCTCAGCGCCGATTTCGATTCGCCGAAAAACGCAGAGGAATGACGAAACTCACACAAGCTCGTCACTCGCCCCTTCGCCAATTCATCCAATCTCCCCGAAGAACAGCCACCGCCGAGGAAACGCCCCTTCACCACGTCACAATAAACCCTAAAAACAGTCCCGCCATTTTGGCCAGCTCAAAATCAACGGCCCAGATCTCTGTCAAGGATATTCCCAATGTATTGCCCTAGCCATGGCTGCCTGGAATGCGTTACGAGAATGCCGGCTCCAGCTCCAGCTCCTAGGGCGGCGAGCGATGTCCACGGCGCTGGGATGGGATAGCGGCCATTTCGATGGGCCGCCGCTGGTGGATTACCTCACGAGGAAGAATCCCTGCGGCGTGACGCCGGAGACAGTCGCGCACGCGGAGCTCGCCAGGAGGATTTCGAGGCTCAAGTGGTGCCAGGATCACATGGTGGTGCCGATCGTCGAGGAATGGATGGCGGAGGGCAACGAGATCACCAGGTATGGACTGATTATCGTCCGCCACAAGCTGCGCAGGCGCAAGCGATTCCATCACGCTCTCCGGGTGAGTCGCAATTTCTTCCAGAGATCCCTGTGATCTAAAGTTCTTCCTTTCTCTTCCAGATATCGGATTGGATAGCTTACAAGAAGAGAGTGATCCCATACGACCACAAGGAAGCTCTCAACCACATCGACTTGGTTTCCAGAGTGAGTGTGACACGAGCAAGGGAAATGTTTGACAATCTCCCGGCCGACTGGAAATCCCGAGAGGCCTACACGGTTCTTCTTTCCATGTACGTGAGGCACAGCATGGCTGCCGACGCGGAATCGATCTACACGACGCTCAAGAGGTGGGGATTGCGTTCTATCTCACCGATCAACATGATGCTCACTCTTTACCAGAAGCACCAAGTTTTCTGGAAGGTGGCCGAGCTCATCCGAGACGCCGAGGAGGCTGGCCAGTCTCTCAATATGTGCTCCTTCAACATTTTGCTGCCGATGACTTTCAGAGCCGGGGGTGTGGCCGAGATGGAGAGCCTCGTCGAGATGATGGAGTCCAAGAACTTCCTGGACGAGCACACGTACTGCATGCTTGCTAGTTCCTACGGGAGGGCCGGGATGGTGGACAAGGCCAAGGAGATGCTGATGGTGGTGGAGGACGGCATGGAAACCGGGAAGTTTAACAGGCTCCGAAGGACTTACAATGTGATCATCGTGATCTACGGGTTTATCGGCGACGTGGAAGGGGTGAAGAGGATCTGGGACATTACGAGCAGGATGGATCCCACTGCCGAGGACTACATCTGCATGATCAGGAGCTCCGCAAAGGTTGGGCTGTTTGAACTGGCAGAGTCGGGATTTCTCGCTCTCGCGGCCCAGAGAAAGATGCACATAACTGTGTGCAACGTGATGCTGCAAGTTTGTCAGGCTGGAAACTTTGTGCTGCGGGCCGAGTCGTTACTGAGAAAGATCCATCAGATGGGATTTAAGCCGGATCCAGCGACGTATCACCACCTGATTGCGATTCATCTCAAGAACGACAACATCCAAAGGGCCCTGGATTTGTTTCAGCTGGAAAGGCAGGTGTTCCGGGTCCCGTTCGAGCTCTCCCCGCAGGAACGGAAGTTCATGTCGACCGAGCCGAGAAAGGACATAAAGCCGTGGGTTGGGACGTGCCGGATGGTGATGCTGGCGTTGGCAGAGCGAGGCGAAGTTGTGGCTTGCGAAACTCTCTTCCGGAACTGGAGGCTGGAGAAGTGGAAGACGGACGTGAGGCTGTTCAACGCGCTGCTCAGGGCGTACGAGGTGGCGCGGGAGCCTGTGGCTGGATTCATGGAGAGATTGGAAGCTGACGGGGTGGAAGCCGACGAGGAGACAATAGCGATACTCTCTCGACTTCCGGAAAGGCCTTTGATCAAGCAGCTTCACTGAAAGTCAGTTTTTCCCAGGAGAGCTTGATCCGATGCGACACACCACCCAAAAGCTCTCGGGTTTCTTCTTCGTTGTCCGGCCGAATCACGGGAAAGTCCCGCTTGCTCAGAGGAAGCTCGTGGAAAGCTCTAGAAGGGACAACAAAATGGATATGGTGGAGCCTGGAAACGCTCGAGCGAGATTGCGTGAACGAGGTACATTTGACCACACTTTATTTTTTGTATGTGTTATTCTTTATTCGCTTCCCAGGATTTTGCGTGGATCAATGGCTTTCTTCAAGAATCACGATTGTCTTGCGACTGAATGGTACGAAAGTTCTCTTTCGCCACCTCCTTTGCTACAAAGTTCTTTGCAGGAGTTCCCCAAACGCGTAGATAAGTTACAGATAAGAATGAAACCACAAACGCGGAGACCGAGTACTACAAAGCTTCGCGATAAGAACGAGACCACACAATCACTTCTTTTTCTTAGAAGGGCGGGATTCGAGTCCCAAGACCACACAAGGTACTTTGATACAAAACTTTACACTATTTTTCATCATCATCTTCATCGCCATCGATGGCTTTGGATGAGAGCCACCGCGCAGGACCAGGCCGCGTTACGCACCAGGGATCTTACAGATCTTCCAAGTGTAGATCGTAACGATCGATCACTTGTCCAGAGCACTAATGACCATCCTGCCAAAAAAGTCGATTCCCTCCGTGAGAAGATGTCACCAAAACTTTGGTAGGAAAATTCGGCAGCGGAAAGGAACTTACAGATCGGATTGGGTCGTGAAACTATTGTTGCATTGACGAAACAGACTGTGCCGCATTCTCGAGGCTGGAAAGGTGAGAAAGATCCAAGCGTTAGCGAAGAAACGATAGCAAAATCTAGAACTAGGCCTAGAGAGCCAATTTGTGAAGATAGCAAAATCTAGAACTAACAAAACGCAAAACTAAAGAACAAATCGAATGTAGAAGACACTGACAAAGGGGGAAATCTAAAGACGATAGCAAAGAGAGAATTTCAAGACACTGCTAGAGATTAACGATAGAGAAGATCATACCCGGAGATGGCACGGGCGATGGGGAATTTAGAGGGCTCGATCCCAGCGGCGTCGACGGCAGCGACGACGAAGAGGGCGACGAGGCCTCGCACTCGACATTCAAGGCCGGCGGCCGCCTAGGAACAGCGATGCTCTTGCTCCGCTGCTGGAATCGCCGATCGCCGTTCTCACCCGCTGGAATATCGACCGATCCATCACAAGATCAGCTAAAACACAAGCAAGAGCAAAGAAATCCAGCAAAATCCGCCCGAAGAAAGCGAAAAGCAGGGAAAGATCGATCGATCACCTGGATTGCTCTTCCTCCTCAGCTTGCCAAGGCCCTCGGATGGCTTTGGCCCCGCGACTACATCGTCCCACAGCTTGTCGAGAAGTCCCATAGCCGGAGAACCCAAAGAGAGCAGCGAAAGAAGAAGCGGACCCTTTCAATGCATGAGCCAAAACGCGCTAATATATCGCAATGTGGCGCCATCGCAGCCGTCGGTTGAAACGGTGACGATGCGGGCTTGGGTTTATCCAATAGCCGTACCGCCACGCGGGTTTTGGCCAGTGGCCCATACCCTGGCCCAAGCACGTGGCGCGGAAAGAAAGCTTGCGTGGCCGTGCACGTTAACTATAGCGCGAATCTCGAAATTTAAATTCGTGATTTTGACCTAAATTCCAGGGTGCCCTAAAAACAGGGGAATCGCTGGGAGTTGATTGTTCGTCAAGACGAAGCATGGCAGGCGCGCCTATTCCATTCCACCCGACGTAACGAACCGGGCGCGATCATCGCAAAACAAAAGGGAATGTCGCCGTGTGGAGGAAGCGCCGATCGAGAGAGAGAGAGAGAGCTCTTTTGCCTCGAAAGGAGAGAAAGATCTCTCTCCTGCGCGTTGCTTTGCTTTTGCATTTATGCTTTTGTATCCCAGCGGCAAGAACATGACCAGCTTTATGTACCCTGGAAGAAAAGAGGGGTTGAAATGGTCAGCGTTTTGTTTGGCATGGCTCGGCAGTGACCACCCAGAGAGATGCGGCAAGCGATCCTCCAAGGCCATGAGAAAGGAGGCGGCGATGGGCGGTGGGCGAACGGCACTGGCGTTTGCAACGGTGGCCGCCATCGCCCTCTTCGCTAATTGCTGGTTCTTCTCCTTCTCGTCCTTTGTTCGTTGGCCAGGAAGCGAAGATGGCGCGTTTACCACTGCGCCTGACATTGGTGCCAGGCACGAAATCGACCTCTCTCCTGCCGCTGCCGCTGCCGCTGCCCGGAGCGCCCCCGCCACCGTGAACACGAGCGACCCACCACGAGAAATCGACAATTCGCCAGCTCCAGGTATTGGTTCTTCGTCCCCATCGGTCGATCAGCAATGCGAGGGGTGCGAATTACCGGGAGGGAATGGCAGTTCCAGTGACCCAATAGAGGAAATCGCGAGCCCAGGTACTCGGTTTTGGGAATCGGTCCCAGGATCCTGGACCCATCTGATCGATTCTCTTTCTTTCTTTCGAAGAGTGTGACATCTCTGTGGGAAAATGGATCCCCGATTCGAGCCGGACGCCACTGTACACGAACGAGACGTGCGCGTTCATCCAGCCCTCGCAGAACTGTATGATGAATGGGAGGCCCGATCGAGGGTACTTGGATTGGCGGTGGAAACCCGACGGCTGCGAGCTCGAGAGCTTGGATCCAGCCAAGTTCCTCGACTCCATGCGCGGCAAGAAGATGGTGTTTATCGGCGATTCCATCGCTCGCAACCACATGCAATCCTTGCTGTGCGCTCTCGCCCAGGTAAATCTCTAACAATCTCTTAGAACTTTTCCGGTGGAGCTCTAAAGGTTGACGATGAACAACAGGTGGAGGAGCCCGAGAAGATCTTCTTTGACACCGATGACAAGATCATGAAATGGGGGTTTCGATCGCACAACTTCACGCTGGGCCACCTCTGGTCGCCGTTCCTCGCGCAGCACGAGTTCGTGGACGAGATCTACCACATCCATCTCGACGTCCCGGAGAGCGTGTGGGAGACGCAGCTCCACGAGTACGACGTCGCGATCCTCTCGTCCGGCTACTGGTTCTTCCGCCCCAGCGTCTACTACTCCAACAACACCATCCTGGGATGCAATCCTCGGTCGCACCTCAACTTGACCATCTTCGAGGTCCTCCCGGCCTACAGGCTCGCGCACCGCAACATGCTCGAGTTCATGGCCGCCAACTTCCGGGGGGTCACGGTTCTCCGGACGATCACGGTGGATCACTTCGAGCACGGCTCCTGGAACACGGGGGGGCTGTGCAACCGGACGATCCCGTTCGATCAGGCAGCCGGCTTGGAGCTGCCGTGGATGAGCAACGAGATGAATCACATCCAGGTGGAGGAGTTTGAGCGAGTGTTGCGGGAGGATCAAAGTGGGAAGAAGAAGATGGCGGTGTTGAATGTGACTTGGAGCTCGTTCTTGAGGCCCGACGGGCATCCAAACACCTTTCGCGTCCAGCCGCCGGGCGAGAGGCCGCAGAACGATTGCTTGCACTGGTGCTTGCCCGGCCCGATCGATACGTGGAACCAGCTTCTCTTCCACTTGCTGATCGAGACGAGGAGGAAGAGCGAGATGGGGGACTCCAAGTTGAGGCAGTTTCACAAGGTTCGAGGAGGATGAAGTGATCGATCTCGAAACTCGATCGATCTATTCTTTGGTTTTCTTTTTTTCTTTTGGTTTTTCGGTACGATTCTTCCAGCTCGAGCTCGAGCTGTTCTCCGGCTCCGAAGCTAACAGTCCGGTAGTAAGCATAAGATCGAAACGTTTTCACGGTCGATCCAGAAAACTTTTCTTTTACCTCCAGTGTTACCGATCGAGCAAACTTTCACCATTTTTTTCTTGCAACCAATGTTTGTTTTGAATTGGTTTCTTTGATCGTGTCTTCAAACAGGAATGCTCCACGACAAGGATTGCTCCACCAAAAGTTCCAGTGGGTCTCGGTTGATTATTAGTTCCCTTGTTCTTTGTGACAGCACAGGATGGTGGAGGTACCACTTTGAGATTGACAATCCCGCGGACTTAAACGCCCCACCAAGTATCACACAGCGTGTCGTCGTGACTGGAAGGTATGTTTATTTCTTTTTGGAAAGATGCTTTTTCTCTTGCTCTCTCTCTCGTAAGCACGTAGTGACAAGCACAAGGAATAGTTGCGATGATGCCGATTGGAGAGCTACTTCCCGGCTGGAGGCTTTGAATCCGTCCATCCATTCGATTGGCGATCCCTTGTTTCCTGCCTGGTTTTTCTGTCTGGATTTCTAGAAACACCATGAAGCTATGGCGAACGCCGCTGTTACATCGATCATAGTGGTCGTCTTCACGCTGCTCAATCTGTGGTTCGTTTACTTGTCTTTCCTTCCAGGCCAGGATTTTGAGGCGGAGCTCGCCGCCATCAACAGCAGGATCCGGGATTCATTGTCAGGTTTGGCTAAAGTTACCCTCATTTTTAGTGGTTTTGCAAGTCTTTCTCTTTGGATCTGAGAATTTGGTTCTCTAGACACACCCAGCAATGCAAAGGAGACAACCGGTGATGCTCCAGCTCCATCTCCTTCAGGTATTTTTACTTCTTCTTCTTTTATCCGGTTTCCTGATTGGATCTATGTTCCAGGATCAGGTAAAGTTGTGGAATCAATCACTTCCCGTTTTATAACTGGATGATTTCAGAAAAAAATGACCAAGCCACGGACACCCCAGGTAAATTCTCAAATTGGATTGGTCGATCCGTAGCTTATATTCGATTTGTTTCTAGAGGAGAGATCCAGCAATCCACCATCAAGCTCAGGTAGCTTTTTTCGAACTTTTTGCCTTTTTTTCTCCTTTTATCTTTCTTTTTTATTTTCAGGAGAAAAGTGTGATCTTTCAAAGGGTAACTGGGTGCCCGATTCAACACCTCCGCTCTACACCAACGAGACGTGCAAGTTCATCCAGCCGAACCAAAACTGCGTGAAAAATGGAAGGCCCGACCTCACGTACCTCAACTGGAGGTGGAAGCCCGACGATTGCGAGCTGCCACCTCTGGATCCCCGCGACTTCCTTCGCCGCATGACAAACAAAAAGATGATCTTCATCGGCGACTCCATGGCCAGAAACCATATGCAATCTCTCCTCTGCGCGCTCGCCCAAGTAAGCCCCCAAGTTCCAAGCAAATAGCTCTTAGAAACTTTTGGAAACTTTCTCGTCTAGGTGGAAGAGCCCCACAAGCTCGAGAGACCCCAGATCATCTTCTTCGAGGAGTCGGACAAGGAGATGCGGTGGGGATTCGACCGCCACAACTTCACGCTCACGCACATCTGGTCACCGTTCCTCGTCAAGTTCTCGCCTGGAACATCTCCTAGCGATCCCTACCGCGTCTTCCTCGACACCCCGGACGATATCTGGGCCTCCAAGGTCCTCCAGTACGACGTTGCGGTGATCTCCACGGGATACTGGTACTACCGCCCCAGCGTCTACTACAACTCCTCGAAAGTTCTTGGTTGCAACCCATGCAATGCTGCTGGCGACGGTGTCACTAAGGTCGACCAGCTAGAGGCCTACCGGTTAGCGTACCGCAGCGTCCTGGGCTACCTGCTGCGGGAGTTCCGCGGTGTTACCATCGCGAGGACGGTGACGGTCGATCACTTCGAGCACGGGGCGTGGTACACCGGCGGGGTGTGCAACCGTACCGTGCCATACTCCCCCGGGAGCGTACGGCTGCCCTTCATGAGCAGCGGGATGAACAGGATCCAGAGGGAGGAGGTGGAGAGAGCAAAGGTGGCGGAGGTAGAGAGAGGAAAGGTGGCGGGGCTGGCGAATGCTGGTAGGTTTGATGTTTTGGACGTCACTTACAGCGCATTCATGAGGCCAGATGGGCATCCAAATTTCTTCAAGACACAGGAACCAGGTAAGCCACGGAGAAATGACTGCTTGCACTGGTGCTTACCAGGGGCTGTGGACACATGGAACCATTTCATTTATCAAAAGCTTTTGACTTAGATATGACAGATATTCCCAAATAGTTGTGAGCTTTCTTCTAAGAGACTGCGCACCACCGGATACGCTTTGAGGATGAAATTCCACACGAGTACATTTCTTAGAGATATCATGTGAAGATGCTTTCGTGATTATTTTGGGGATACACTTGTATGATCATCTGGAATTAGCAGATCGTACACTTAATAAAATATTATTTCTGATTTAAGGGTAAGATATAATATTTAAGTTGTTGTCCCCCCCATGGGGGGACAATTTAAGGGATTGTCCCCCCAATAGGATGTCGCCATCAATCAAGGTATTTGTATTTGTATGATTGTTCCATGTATAGTTCTTCAATTTTCCTTCTTTGATTTATGTTGTAGAAAAAAACAGCCGGAAAGAAGAAAATCCCACTCAAATACATCCAGGACCCGGAAACAAGAAAAAGTTGCTTCCGCAAGAGAATTTTCGGCATCACAAAGAAAATATGGGAACTACATGTGCTCACACGTACAATACTCACGGTATCGGCTATCTCTCCGGACACGGGCAAGAAATACGCGCTCGACACTATCGCCGGCCTCAATTTCGAAACTCTGCCACCCCAGATGAAGCCCTTCATCCAATCGTTACAAGGTGACACTACCCATAAGTTGGCGGAGGATCGTCCCAAGTCTCAAGAGCCAGAGGAGTTAACCTTGAACAAGGATTCGCCACCACCTCTGGTATCCTCGCCTTCGCTGAGCTCTGCAGATGGTGATTTCGAGGATGCAATTCAAGCTGTGCAAGGAGAGTTTGTGGGAAGTGATATCGATGGCAAGCAGCCGCAATCCAGAAGCTTGGAAGGTGACGAGCAAACGTTTACACTGGACGATGCGTTTCTGGAGGAGCTCTTCTCGATCCCGGATAACAACATCGAGTTCGATGAGTCTTGGCTGGAGCAGCAGCCGCTTCTGGAGTTTGACACTGGCAAGATGCTCCTGGAAGCTCCTTGACGGAGAACTATGGTATCATACATTGCTGCAAAATGCAATATACCGCAAAATATATACTATGTAATGCAAACATACTCTATTCTGCGCGCCCGAAGAAGTGTTCTATGTGCAATCCTTCGTTGCTGCCGTGATTCCTGGCACGCTTGGATTGTTTATGCGCGCTTGCTTTGATTCCCTGGAATTTGGAAACATATATGAACTTAAACACTGTGAGACTAAAGTGATCGGACTTACCGGAGGCTTCAAGATCGTCACTCTTCCACCACGGCCATCTGCACCGCGGAGTATGAAGCTTCCCTTGTCACTACTGGACGGTGTCAATCCTCGAGGAGAGCTCGTCCCGCTCGTTGCGGCGTACACTCTCTTTCTGGTCGACGAGTCTTGCGCACAGACGTGCTCTTGGTTTTTCGCCAAGTCGCCTGCGATTCATGGTGCTGCTGGTGAGGAAGTGAGACGTTTCAGTGATTTACCTGGAAGAATCGGGCTACATATTGGAGCGTCGCGCCTTATGGAGATTTGTAGAGCTTTATCAGAGCAGAGATTTGTAGGCTTAGGCACAAAGCATCCATCCTCAGTAGCGGTTTCATGCCTGACTTTGTTCTCATGTTCCGCGGTTGTGGAAGCCATCTGTTTTTCAGCTACAAAGTTCGTATTACTTTGTTCGATCTTCCTCTTCAGGTCTCGAAGCTCCTTGTTTTCTTTAACCTCTAGAGCTTTTTCTAGCTCTTGGACGCGAGCCTGGATTCGATAAGTAGAGAATAACCATGGATCAAAGCTGTGCATACCTTCAGAATTCTGAGTTGCTCAGATGCTTTGTTAGCTTTTTGAATAGCAACTGTCTCGTTCATTCCCAAAGAGCTGCACTTGTTCACCAAGTCTCTGTAACTCCTGGATATAGATGGCTTGGAAGGATTGGTCGTGTCAAGAAGAACATAGAAACATACTTGTTACGAATGACAAGGGATCTTGTGAGCGTGTCAATAATATTGTCCTTGTTCTTTGCCTGGCCTACATTTGCAAGCCGCAAGATTTCATCCTCGTCCAAGGAAATGTCTGCTACCCTGTGACAATGACGATTTTAAAACACTGCAAATACAAGGCACTACTTACATTTTCATGGAAGCAAGCTCTTTTGCTAGCGACGTGTTCTTTTCAATCAGCTTCGTGCGGTCCTCTAAACTCCTATTCACTTCCTACATGAAGAACACACAGGCTCATGCTGGACGTCTAAAAAAGTTTGAATATACCTCCTGGAGCCTTGACGAGGATTCTCTGCAGTTGCCAAGGTCACTCATAGCTTTCCGTCGAACACACTCTGATTTCTCAAGCTTGATCTTAAGATTGGCGAGCTGCGACACAGATTTATCAGTAAAAAACACTTTTTGATAAAAGGAAAATCCACCTCGTCATCGAGATGCTTGTTTTCTTGCTTGATCGCTTGTAGTGCTGCATTAGCTACCGAGAGCTGAGACTCCAGCTTCCCAAGCACCTACAAGGAAAAGAAGAAAGTAAAGAATTTGAGCAAAACCATGGAGAATAAAATGTGGAGATCTTACTGCGTCAATGGTTGCGCTGCTGTTTTGCGAGTGAGAAACTGATTGTTGGTCGGATGATAAAAAGTATAGCCGATGGATCTGTTTCGCCGGGCAAGATTCTTTACACACCGGGCAGCACGGTTTCCTGTGGCAATACTCGAGCCATTGCTGGAGACTTGACGAGAAGAGAATGAGGATCAGAAGAAAGGAATGAATAGATTGATCGCGCGAAATGAATCACATACCAAAGCTCGTGAAACACATGTCCGCATCCAGCAATAGCTTGGAGATCCTCGCTTCCAGGCTTGGCATCCTCATAACACACCGGACAGACGATGCTGCTCATCGGGCCCTAGACGACGCTGCTCATCGCGCCCTAGCTCAACGAAGAGAATAATCTTAGGGCAAAAAGACGCGGGAGATGTTTTGAAACAAAGCGCACTTTTTTACCCTTGTGGTTTCTTACTTGATTTATTGACATCAAGTAAATACCTTTTCTTTCAACTTTGTCTCGAGCAATTGTCACAACGATTTGGACCGGTTGGACAGCCGTTCTGCGAGGAGTTCTCACCAAAGTACTCGAGAAGAAGCTTTCTTCGGCACTGATTCTACAAAATGGAAGAACTTTTAGAACCACGCTCAAATTCAAGGAAAGATCTTACCTTTTCTTCGCAGTATTCTTGCATTTTGCGGCCTTGTTCTACTCCGCGCTTGAAGGAATCCTTGGAGCGGCCATAGCCGCTGCGCAGCATGCACGCTATGCGGCTAAAATCCTTCTTCTGGTATAGAACGAGGCACGTCGAGGACAAGCCATCGCGTCCAGCTCTTCCGGATTCTTGGTAGTAGCCTTCGATGGCTTTAGACATGGTGTTGTGGATGACAAACCGCTGGAACGAAAAAGAAAATGACGAAGCTTTTAGTTGGTCCTCTCCTCAAATAAAAAAGCGAAATTTTCTTACCACGTCCGCCTTGTCGATCCCCATGCCGAAAGCAATGGTGGCACATATTACTTGAACTTCGTTCTTCTGCCACTTGTTTTGGACCAAAACTCTCTCGCGGTTGCTGAGGCCGGCGTGATAGAACGCTGTTTTGATCTTGCACTTGTTGCTGAGGTAGTCGCAAACGTCCCTGCACTCGTTCTTGGAGAGGCAGTAAACTATTCCGCACTGGCGTGCAAAGTCGTCCTTTATAATCTTCCCAAGCTGCTCTAACGGGTCCTTCGGATCCTTGATCACAACCTTGTATTTCAAGTTGGGACGATCGAAACTCGTCTCTATGACTGTCGCATGAGGTATACGAAGAATTGAAAGTATATCCTGCACAAAAATGGTTTGCTAGACGATAAGAACACTGAAAAGTACCTTTCGGACACTATGTGTTGCTGTGGCTGTTAATGCCATCAAAGGGACTCGGGGGAATTGCTGCTTTAGAATTCCTAAGGCTTTATAATCCGGTCTGAAGTCGTGTCCCCATTGACTGCAAAGAACCAAACCATAAGTTTCCAGCAAACAGAAAAAAAAAAAAAAAAAACAGCGGTAAAGGTACCTCACGCAGTGTGCTTCGTCAATAACAAAACGAGCCAGCAACCTCTGCATTGTAACAAGATCATTAAAGCTTCTACGAAAATGACTCGGAGAGCTTACATGCCGGTCCAGGCCGTGCAACACGTCCTGAAAGGAAGCGCTCTTGGCGAGCTTTTCAGGCGTCACATACAGAAGCTTGCAAGAGGGTCGCTGTTTTCTGCAAGGTATCAAGATAAGCACCTAGAAAAATAATCCTTATCACGGCCATCTTACCTCAGTTCCTGCATGACAGCTGCTGCTTGAGAAGACGATAATTGAGAGCTCAAAAATGCGGCAGGAATCCGAAACTTCTCGACGAGTGCCAGTACCTGGTCTTGAATGAGCGACAAGAGTGGTGACACCACGACGGTTACTCCAGGAGACATCACTGCGGGAAGCTGATAGGATGGTGTAAGCGAAGGAGTAGCTTCTCATGAAAAATAAACAAAGTCATACCTGATAACAGAGACTCTTTCCTCCACCCGTTGGAAGCAAAATAAAGAGATCTTTCCCAGCCATCGCAGCCTCGCATCCCATGCGCTGGAACGGCCTAAACTTGTTGTGATAAAAGATGCCAGTGTTTGCAAGGTCGAAGTCATCCAACAAACGCAAATGTTCGTAAGTTGGGCGTCGCGTAGCCGAGTTCTCCGAAGAAGTGGGAGTTCCAGGAGATGGCGAGTAGAAGGATGAGATACGCCCATCCAATTTCTTTGCTTTCTTCGCCTGAGGAAAGAAGAAGAGAAGTAGATCTCACATGAAAGAAAATGAAAAGGAAAAAAGAACTTACGCTTCCGGCAGTGCTGGGAGGATGATTCTTTTGGGCCAAGCTTTTCTTCTCATTTGGTTTGATTGGAGTTGCTTCATCGGCCTCAATGATGATAACATCGTCGTCCTCCTCCTCGGCGCTGGAAGAACTCACGTCTCTCACCATCGAATTCTCCACTTCCTCGTTCTCGCTATCAGCCACAACATTCTCCTTGAGCTCAAAGGCATCGTCCCCATCCTCGGAAGCAGCAAGAGGGCTACTCGTTTCCCAATCCTCGTGAGCTTGCGTGCTATCAGCCAGCCTCGCGAGAAAATCATCCCCGCAATGCTCTACAGTGACGAAATCTCGGCCCTCGTACCCTGTGCCCAGGGATCAGCATTCCAGCCTCATTCTAATGAAAATCCATTTGATACTCACCATAGAGACTAATCAGCTGATCCAAACACGCATTCACGACATCCCGATCGAAGCCGACATCCAACGCCAAGGCGACTAGCCGGGATCGCTCTCTCTCCATCACTAGCACCCTAGAAAATTGGCGCCAAAATTTCATATTCTTAGGGCTCTTGAGGAGAATGGCGCCCACTGTGCTGCCGCTTGGCACCAGCGCCACGGCATTTCAAGTCTTCTTCTCGATCCAGGTATCCTTATCAATCGGATTCTTCTTTCTAGTGGCGATTTCTTCCTTCACAGAACCAGGAATTCTCGTTTTCCCTCCATGATGTAGATCCTAGCTCTAATCCCTTATCCAACGCAAAGATCGAGTGTGGCGCCCCGATGCGCGCAATGTTTCGAGGCTTTGAGGAAGTTCTTTGGGATGTGAGTGGCAAGAGTTTTCTCTCTTACTCTTTTCTTCAATGCTAAAGTTTTTTTGCAGAGGCTGCAGAAGAGTAAGAACATCGATGCGTTTTGTGTGGAAGTTAAAAGCGTTATGGTAAAGCTTTCTACTTCGATTTCTCGAGCGAAGGCTTTACTTACTGTGGTTGTAGGAATGTATTTTGCATGCTCAATCCAAGCCAGTGTTATCGCCCTCGCAGCTCTACACTCAGGTAAGCATCTTCTTCTTCTTCTATCTTTCCAAACACTTTAGATTTATTTTTTTCAGATCGATGAGATGGGATGGGAGAACATTGCTTACATTAGTGACGACTTCTCTAAGCTCTGGCTTCGCGTGATGTAAGATAATTGTCTTCTACGTTTCTTAATCAAGTACTCTCTTTTCAGCGACAGCGCAGATCGAATGCACACTCTACGTTTAAGTTTCTCTCCAGATTTTCCATTGTCGCAACCCAGTATTACTGCTGTAAGCACCCATCCTGCCAATTAGTTTTTACCGGAACTTTTTGTAGGACCTTCCATCTTCGTGGTCTGTGGAATGGACCTCCCGTGCTGGTTTGAGAGATGCTCTATCACAGTTCCAGTTGGTAACTTCTTTCTTCTTTTTTCCTTTTGGAACTTTAATCTTTAAACAATGTAAATGCAGGCCGTGGATAGCTATCAAGATTTTTGGAATGTGATGGACGACATTGTCAAAAGAGCTTGGGTGCATGAACCTGTTCAGCTCTCTCGAGCTGACATCTCCAGACGAATTTATTTGGGTTTGTCGTTGTTTTACGTGTTCAAATTTCACACTCTCTTTTTCACAGGTGGTCACTGCTCAGTATCAATCAAGATCAATCCAGCAACTCCGCGTTCTTTACCAGAGTAAGGTAGGATAGTTTTTACATGACGCTTAGAATTGCTTTTGCTAGGTGCACCTTTTTCGGCCCTGGAACTGTCGTCTCGCCACTGAGGCAAAGATTGATTGGGAGTAGCATGATATGGTTCTGAAACATTTTCTTTCTTACGATCCTTTTAACAAAAATGATATTTTTCCTGCAGGACAGAAGATAAGAACTTGCTTGACAATCTAGAAACCGTTCTTCAAGTTCCTATTCCTCCTCCTCCTGAAACTCATCAACTGGGAGGACTGTCAACGGAATGTGGAATATGTTACGCATACAAACTACCAGACGGTAAAATCTCGTGTTGGTAACTGCTGTTTTACTGCGTTGTTATGTTACACAGAGGACGGCATACCGGATCATGTTTGTAACAATCCAAGCTGTGGCCAAGCGTTCCACACAATATGTCTAGCTGATTGGTTGCCGTTGTTGCCCACAACTATACAGTAAGCATTGCGTTCTCTTACGGTTTCTTGACGAACGGCGCGGTGTCAGGTCCTTCAATGTACTTCATGGAACTTGTCCATATTGTTCTCATACTCTTGCTGTCAACAGCGTCCATTGACAGGTATGAATGAAACGTTGTTAACTTCTCAGCTTATGACTTGAAAAGAAATTTTACTTCTTGCAACTCCCAGCCATGGCCACCGAAGGAACCTTGCAAAGCGTTTCTTTGGCGCTGGACTGGACGGCCAACACAAATCATGTGGGCTTTTATGTGGCACAGGCGTTGGGCTACTACAAGGAGGAAGGCATCTCCGTGGAGTTTCTAAGTCCCCATGTTTCCAACTACGAAGTGACCCCAGCTTCTCAGGTTTCTGCACGACAAGCAAGTAAGTGGTCTGGTTCGTGCTTTCAGAAACTAAGAAGTGTTTATGCAGCATTCGGGCTTGCACCTAGCGAGACTGTAATAAGTTATCATTTACCTCCAGCGAGGTCCAAACTCGTCGCTGTAGCAGCAGTTCTTCAAGATGATCTCAGCGCAATTGGTACTTGGATTTTTCGAAATCTTGTTTGTAATCTTTCCCTGTTTGTGCAGCTACTCTAAAACAGAGTGGATTGTGTCGTCCTAGAGATTTGGATGGGAAGGTTTATGCGTCCTACGCAGCAAGATTTGAAGGCAGAATTGTCCAGAAACTTATCCAAGCCGATGGTGGTGCCGGGAATTTTGAAGAGGCTACTCCCGACAAGTTGGGAATCTGGAACACTCTATTACAAAACAAGGCAGACGCAACCTGGATTTTTCGAGCTTGGGAGGGTGTGCAGGCGAAGCGCAAAGGCATCGAACTAAACGAGTTTATCCTCGAGGAATACGGGTATGTTTGTGGCTTTTGTGAAGTACCCTGCAACTGATTAGCACCATCCAATGTATCAGGATTCCTTACTGCTATTCTCCTGTCGTCATAGCTCACCCGGACACTCTCGAGTAAGCTCCTTCGTCTCGTTGCGTTTTCTTCCTAATGTTTCCAACAGGGAGAAACCAGACGTTGTGAGGGGATTCTTACGAGCTTCGGCAAAAGGATTCGCTTACAGCACAGCAAACATCGAGTCCTCGGCAAAAATTCTTCTGGTAAGCTTGAAGTTGTAAGCAAAAAACGGTTTTTAAAGCGCTGCGACAGGCACAAGCTCCCGAGCACCTCGATGATTTGGACATGGTGATGGAGTCCCTCGAGTTCCTATCAAAGACCTTTCTTGCCAATCCATCGGGCGAATGGGGGACCATGGCGAGCGGCAAGTGGTCCAAATTTTTGGACTGGCTCTCCGCCAACAAAATGCTCACCACAAGAATCCAGTCGCGAAATCCAAATCCGGGCGTAAGCGTCTCTCTCCGTGATCTCTTAACATCAGATGGAAGCAGCGAAGAACAAATCCGCGTAAATGCCAATGACCTCTTCTCAAACAACTTTTTGTAAAGTTTTAAAGGTATGGAATATTCGTCGGAACGTTCTATACCGTCCGTACATATTCCCGCTTTCACAGGAAAGCCGTTATTGGCACCTACCCTGCATCCCACCGCCCACGTGTCCCACTTGAGCGGCTAGGATATAAAAGCCACTCAGAGGCACTGCAAAGGTTTAGGGTTCTTGCGAAGAAAGAGGAGAGAGGAGGGGAAAATGGGTCTGAATTTGGGCGACATTGTGCCGGATTTCAAGGCGGAATCCACAATGGGAACCATCAAATTCCACGAGTATATCAACGGCAGCTGGGCGATTCTCCTCTCCCACCCCAGCGATTTCACGCCCGTGTGCACGTCGGAGCTGGGCTCCCTGGCGTCGCGCATCCACGAATTCGATCGCCGCGGCGTCAAGGTGATTGCTCTCAGCTGCAATGACGTGAATTCCCACCGCGAGTGGCTGGGCGACATCGAGAGCTACTGCCCGGAGACCAAGGTGAAATACCCTATCGTCGCCGACCCAAGCCGCGATCTGGCCGTCCGATTCGGGATGCTCGACCCCGTGGAGAAGGATGCCGCGGGGATGCCGCTGACGTGTCGCGCGTGCTTCGTGATTGGCCCGGACAAGAGGGTACGGCTGTCTATCCTCTACCCGGCCAGTACGGGCAGGAACTTTAGCGAGCTCGTGCGCGTGATCGATTCCCTGCAGCTCACGGATAAGTTTAGCGTGGCCACGCCCGCGAACTGGGAGAATGGGAGGAAGTGTATGATTCTTCCCACTATCTCGGACGAGAAGGCCAAGGAGATGTTTCCAAAAGGATTCGACACCGTCAAAGTTCCATCTGGCAAGGCCTACATCCGTCTCGTGGAGCAGCCAACTCTCTAGGAAAGCTTGGCTTTGCTCCATAGCCTGTGCTCTAGTAGAAAGCTATGAAATAAAACCTGAGTTTGTTTCCCCGGAAGAACACCTCTAGAAAAGAAAAAACGATGGATTCATGCTAGAAAAACACGTAAGTTCTGCCGGGAAGAACGATGGCGAGTTGGAAACAAAGTGGTGGATCGATCGTGATGCCCGTGGATTGTCAAACTTTGTCACTCCTTTTCTCTCGCCTCCTCCGTGTCAGCATAAGTTTCGTATGATCTCGGCTGCGGTGGCAATGGCTCCTCCCGTGATCATATTGTGAACGACGTGGTCTTGTCGAGGTCTGGGATTGGCTAGAGTTATGGCCGCTCCGGTCACAGCTCCTGCTAAAACGGCGTTTTTCTGGAAAACAAAGCGTCAAAACAATCATCGAGAGCTCGTTTTATACCTCTGCTTTTAAGTTTTCGAGGATTTCTTGAGAGTTACCCAGTCATTGACGCCTCTGGCTTCTTGGATCCCGTAAGAAACCCCAGTGTACATGCCAGCAGCTAGACCTGGTTGGATCAAAGTCGTCACGGAGTTAAACGAAGAGAAAAATCTTAGAAAACGTACCCCAGTTCACCGAGTCTCGGCCCATACGTTGGACCTGCAAAAACCGGAAAAGCTTTGTCAATGCTTTGAGAGAAAGACATCTCGACTTCTATCCCGCATCACTGAAGCCACAAGAACAAAGAAAAATATACAAAGACAAAGCAATGAAGCACAAAACAAAAGGGAACTAAAAACGAGTCTTAGAGAACTTAAACGAACGAAACAAAGGTTGAGGAAGTAACAGCTGTGGTTTCCTCCTCTTCCTCCGGGTTGAGTAAATGATGGACAAATTGACATACCGCTCTCTCAACAGATCTTCTGCTGTTCGTATCGTCTGCAAAGTCAAGAATATCGTCAGTTTAAAGTGGCCAGGAAAGAAAGAACAAAGGAGAGTAAGCTTCATTCTCCTAGAGAAAATCAATGTATACCATGGACTAAAATCCGATATGACTCCTTGGATGCTGCTTGAATTGCCCCAACCTGCCAAAATTCTTTGTCAAACACTTCGTCTCAAACTAGAACAGCGGGCGTAAAAAAAAAGAAAGGAAAGTTTTTCGATACTTACTCCTCCAACTTTGATGAATCCATCCACTACACTGTTGAGCATAGGATTCCCTGTATCAAACATGGCTTTTCCCCTTGGCTTCGACATGGTGAAAACCAGCTAACTTGGCAGGATAAACGAACGGAAAAAGAAAAAAGAAGCCCTCGAGAACTAGCAGAGACGATCTTCTCTCGAGCTCTTGACGACGAGAGGAAACGAAATTCCCCTGCGCGCATTGTGCTTGTGAGCGATGGAATCGAATCGATGGCAAACCGAAAGTTTGATCGGCGTACCTTTAGAGAAAGCTCTGCAAGCTGTGAAGCTCAGCGCGAAAAGAGATGGAGCTCGCGGATTGATTCGTGTGCGCCCATCGTCGCAGCGCCTCCACCGCGATCGCCAAAAGCCCTAGTGATTTGAAAGGACGTTGCTCTTCGGCTAGCTAAACTGCCACGTCAGTATGAGTTAAAGCTGCATTATCCTTCAAATTTTAGGTCAACTGGGTTGTTTCAAGGATGCTGTATGTGGCGGAGCTTCTATACGGGCAAGGAACTCTTCTTGGATGCGATGAAAAAGGTGGCGTGTGGAGTACTCGTCGGCAGGTACCTGGTGTGATGTGCTGCAGTACCAAGACTTCGAGAGCTTGGGTTGATGCACGCGAGGCGCTGCACTCCGAAATGAAGATGAAGCGTAACTGTTCCTTGTCTATGACTGCATCAGGATGGTCGCTGAAATCTACCGCGACTCGTGTGAGAGCGATCTAGATGCTCGCACCCTTACTTGCGAAGGCTCTGCGACAATACCGTAAGGGTCGTGGGCCTCGGATCGTCAGCTTGGGCCAACTTCCAGATGTGCGGAACTAGGGCTAGCGTTACGAGAATGGGTGACGTTCTGTAATGTTTGTGGTTGTGCTTGGAATGATGCAACAAGGGAGAATGCACGCCTCCTAAACGCAAAGGCTATGTTGTCCAAGCTGATCGAGGCAAGGCTACCGAGAACGAGCAAAGTGTCTCTGCTTCACTTTGGCAAGTACGTGGAGCAACACAGGCCTGATGGTGTCACTTCTCCTCCAAAGTTACCACCGGTATGTTTTCTTAGTTTTGCCAACATTCTTTTTAACGGCAGACCCCTTTCTATTTATTTAGGTATGTGTTCTTTCCTTGTTTCTTTAGTTCTTTTTTTTTTTTCCTAAAGACTTATGGATTTTTTTATGACGACGGCATTGATTTACACTAAAAACACTAAAATTCTTGAAGTCCGAAGATCCAGTGGAATGCTTTGTGCTCGAGCACCTCCGCCATTTTTGTGGAAGATGTGGCTTGCTTCGGAGACTTTTGATTCGCTGGATGAAAATTTGTGGGTCTCCATACATTTGTGCTAAGATGGTGGCGCAATTTTCAGTTTTTTTTATGTGAACTTATCATTTTTCTGCTCGGAAAAAGGGAAGTACATTGTAAATCCTGACTACTCGTTCTCGCAGCCAGGATTGTAACATTTGTAGCTTTGGAGACTTTTGAAATCTTCCTGTGTCCTTTCCCCTTGAGTTGGACATGGTGAAAACCAGCTCTCTAAGAAAGTAAACGAAATTCGCTGCGTGTGCGTCCATCGTCACAGCGCCTGGCCAAGTGATTTGAAAAAATGTAGGCACTATTCTAGGGTTCTTTGGGGTTTGGATTGTTCGCGATTCCTGGAGCTCCTCTTTGCCACTGCCATCAGAAGATTCCCATCTGCAAGTCTCGTCCAGAGTGGTTTTTCTTCGAGGTATTCAAAGAAAATCCCAATGTTCGTATAAGCAGTAGCATTCTGGAGCGATGGAAGGAACTACATGGTAGCTTCGGCAGGCAAGGGAATTTCCTTGAGAGGTACGTTCAACCAAGGCTTTTAAATTCGACAGAGCTCTCTAAGTCATGTTTCCTTGTTCTTTGCTAGATGTATCGTTGAGAGAAAACAATTCCAATGCTCTCTCCGAGCGTCGCAGATGCGGGAGTACAAACTCGCAACCCGGGGAAACTTGTAGCTTTGATGATCACCGAGCATTCAACTCTAACGGCAACTTGAAGAGAAAAGATAGCACGACACGAAGGAGCATTCCAGCGCTCCTCGCGACGCTAAAGTCTTGCAGCAGTAAGGAGGAACTTGAACAGGTGCTCGCCAAATGTGGACGAGATGGGAACGTTTTCCTGGCGAACACGTCCATCGACATGTACGCCAGATGTGGGAGCCTGGACGAAGCTCGGCGAGTTTTCGACGACATGGAGCAGCGAACCGTGGTGTCCTGGAATGCGATCATCAAGGCTTATTCTCGGAGTGGAGAAAAGGATTTGGCACTGAAACTTTTCTCCACCATGCTGGATCAAGGCTTCCAGCCGGACGCGAGAACCTTCGTGGCTGTTCTTGGTGCCTGCGCCGGCTTGGCAGCGGGAGAAGACGGCAGGGAGCTGGCTGGAAAAATGGTGAAAGTGGTCTCTCTGGAGAGAGCAATGGCTTTTCACTCAGAGCTTTCCAGGAGTGACCTCGAGTCTAACCGGTTTCTGGCAAGCACGCTACTCGACTTTTACGTGAAGTGTGGATCTCTGGAAGACGCTCGACGGGTTTTTGACAGGATCCAAGACCGCAGTGTGTCGTCTTGGAACGTAATGATCCTTGGATATGCAGAGAGCGATCAAGGCGAGGTGGCTCTCGAGCTCTTTTCTCGCATGCAACGCACTAGAGGTGGTGAGCCGGATGCTCGGACATTCCTCGCGGCAGCCATTGCCTGCACGAGTCTGGCAGCTAGAGAAAGCGCAAAACTTCTGCAGGGAAAACTTGTCAAGGTGGTCAGTTTGGAAAGAGGCATGGTACTTCACAAACTACTTGGAGGAAATCTCCCTGCAAACCTCTTCGTTGGGAGCACCCTGATCACCTTGTATGCGAAGTGCAGGAGCATGGTGGACGCTAGTCGGGTCTTTGAGAAGATGAGAGAACGCGACGTGGTGCTGTGGACTGCTTTGCTTCTGGGATTCGTGGAAAGCAAAGAAGATGAAGCGGCCTTGGAGGTTTTCTCTCGCATGCTGCAGGTGGAAAGCTTGGCACCGGACTCAAGAACTATCGTCGCTGTCTTGAGGGCCTGTTCAAGCCTTGCAGCCAAGGAGGAAAGCCAGAGACTCCAAGGACGAGATCTTAAAGTCAGGTGGCTGGAAACAGGCATGGCTTTGCATGCTATGCTTGCGGAGCTCGGGCACAGTACAAACATTTTTGTGGCAAACACGCTGGTGGACATGTACGCGAAATGTGGAAGCATGGACAACGCGCGGCTGGTTTTCGATAGCATGCAAAGGCATAGTGTGGTTTCGTGGACTGCTATGGTCTCGGGATATATGGAGAACCATGAAGGCGGGCTTTCTTTAAAGTACTTTGAAGCGATGCTAGCTGAAGGCTTCGCGACTGACGCTCAGGCTTATCTTCCAGCGCTCATGGCCTGCACAAGTCTGGCGGAGAAGGAAGAGCCAGCGGGTTTTCCAGGCGATGGAACAATACTGGTGAAAGTTTTGAGCTTGGAGAGAGGCATGGCTGTTCACTCTCGAGCTCGAAGATCTGGTGATGACTCCAACTCGTTTGTGGCAACTTCGCTTATCAACATGTACGCGAAGTGTGGCAGCCTTGGTGATGCTGAGCGTGTCTTTTTCGTGACGAGGCATCGAAGCTCGGTGCTGTGGACTTCGATGATAATGGCGCTTGCGGAAGGTGGTGAAGGCAAGATGGCTCTGGATTTGTTCCAGAGGATGCAAGACGAAGGTGTGGAACCGGACTCTCGGGCTTTCATTGCGGCTTTAAGTGCGTGCTCAGGCCTTGCCAGCAAAGGAGAGAAGACTAAGAAACTTACTGGACAGCAGCAGCAGCAGCAGCAGAGGTGGCTGGAAACAGGGATGGAACTTCACTCTCGAGCAGCAAAGCTGGGATTTGAGGCAGATATATTCGTGGCCAACACTCTGGTGGACATGTACTCAAAGTGCAAGTGCATGTACATGGCGAGATGGGTTTTTGAAGGGATGCAGCAGCGAAGTATAGTATCGTGGAATGCGATCATCAGTGGCTACGTCGAGGCTGGGGAGAGCCACACGGCTTTGGAGCTCTTCCAGCGCTTGCAGCAGCAGCAAGAAGATCCAGCACCAAACGCTCAAACTTTCTTGCCGGCACTCAAGGCATGCACGATACTTGCATTGCTCGAGGTCGGGAGAAAGATTCATGCCAGCATTCGCGAGGCTGGGCCCAGCGACTGTGTTCTTCTGGCCAACGCACTCATTGTCTTTTACGGGAAGTGTGGAAGCATGGCCGAGGCAGAGGAGGTTTTTGCATCAATCCAGAGGCAGCAGCACCTTGTTCTTCCAGTGATCATCTGGAACAATCTTCTTGCGGGATACAGCCAGTGCGGGGACTCCAAGTCAGTACTTGAAACTTTTGAGAGGATGACGAAGGATCGATCGGTAGCTCCTGACGGCGCGACTTTCCTGTGGCTTCTAAGCGCTTGCAGCCACTCAGGACTGGTGGAAGATGGCAAGTGCTACTTGGAGGCCATGGCAAGAGATTACGGCATTGCTCCCGGCGTGGAGCACTACAACTGCGTGGTGGATCTACTTGGACGAGCAAACCTTGTGGAGGAGAGCGTGGCTGTGGCCGAGAGCATGCTGGTGGAGCCCGACTCAATGGTGTGGAAGACGGTGTTATGCGCTTGCATTGAGTGGAAGGATTTGGAGAATGGAAGGGCTGCGTTCCAGAGGATGGTGGAGCTGGACGAGAGTGATTCTGCAGCCTATGTTTTGATGGCCAAGTTGTATAGCCAGTGTGGCATTCCGCTTCCCATCAAACATCGGGAGCATTCCACCATGGACGAGCATTATCTACAGCGATGGCAGCATGAGATCTGATAAGTTTTCATTGACAATACATACCTCCAGCTCCTTTTCCCTCTCACACCCCAGGGAGACAAACACTTTGGGTTTTCACCCCATGTGTTATAGTCTGAGAGACTGAGTCCAAGAACGTAGAGATGGTGATCTTGAAGTCTAAGTCGAGGAGAAAACCATTCCAAAGCAGGAATATAAACTTTCAATTATCAACTATCATTCAACTAAGAGAAAAGATGGTGCGACACAAACAAGGATTCCAACGCTAAAGTATTGCAGCAATAAGTACAAGTCATTTATTTTGAGAAATGGTATAGTATCCCCTTACGTCCTTCATAACATACGTACCTTGAAATGTGGCCGTCATGGTCAAACTGAAAAACGATCGGGGCAACGGGAGTGTGCAATTGGTTTGACTTGGTCAAATGTGTCAGAGCTATTTGACCTTGAAGACGGTTGAGTCGAATAGGACGATGTGGCTAACAGCAGCCCAGGAATCGCAACATGTGTTGTTTCTACTTCTTTCTGGCCAACAAAAGAGCAAGAAATAAGGGAATGCGGAAGAGAAGAATTGGTTGGAGACTTTTGTGTCGCTGGATGAAAATTTGTGGGTCTCGCATTCCAAGTATTCGTGCGTGAGCGAGTCATGGCGTGGATGGCTATGCCGACGTCGGTGCTCAACAATCATCCTCCGTTACTGCTCCCCTCAGCTCCTTTGCTTGAAGCTCTCAAGAGAACCGGCGAGGAGCGTGTCGCTGCAGTTCACTTCCCAGGCCACGGCCGCGGTTCCTCAGCGCCCTCTTCGATTTCCAAGCTTTTCGAGCTCAGCTCTTCCAGTTTGATCTCCCGGAGCTGCCAGGCATGGATAACTTGCACTCGCCATAAGAAGCCATAGCCGAAGCGCAGCAAATGGCTGCGGAGCTTTTTATTAGTGGTTCTTGGTAAACGGCTCTACGTGTGTAATTCAAGCGGCGGTGATGAGCTGCTGCAAGCCAGGTGACGTTTTGATCCTCCCCAGGAACGCCCACGTCTCAGCATTCTCAGCTATGGTTCTTGCTGGAGCAATGCCTCACTATGTTCTTCCTTCTTATGAGCTCTGGGAGATTTCTCACGGTCTCTTTGCCGAGAGCATTGAGCTGGCCATCTTGGATCTGCAGAAAGGAAAAGACGTGAGCATTGGAGCTGTTCTGATTGTCTCGCCAACTTACTTTGGAGTGTGTAGCTCAGTGGAGGAGATCGCAAAGGTGTGTTCACAAGCATGGTATCCCAATCATAGTTGACGAGGCTCATGGAGCTCACTTCAAGTTCCACTTGAGGTTTCCAGCAACGGCACTCGAGCAGGGAGCCGACGTTGTTGTCCAATCCACGCACAAGGTACTCTCGTCTCTGATGCAGTCCGGGATGCTCCATCTAGTGAAAGGCTGCGAGATTGTAAAGCACGGGAGAATTAGCAAGTGCCTTCGAGCCTTGCAAAGCTCCAGTCCAAGTTACCTTCTCTTGGTCTCTCTCGATGCCACAAGGGACCAGATGAGTTGTGCAGCAAGCGATGACCATCCAGCGTTTGATACAGCTCTGGAGCTGGCTTCCACAGCTCGATGACGCCTTGAAAATATCCCACAAGTTTTAGTCCTTGATAGAGCTTGGCAACTAGCTGATACCATTTTTTATGAGCTTAGGATCACCATTGGTTTGTGAGAGCTCGGAGTCACAGGAACTCTTCCCAATGGCTTTCTGCGTGATAAATGCAAGGTGGTGGCTGAGCTTCCTCTTCTGAACTCCATAACTTTTGCTATGGGAGCCGGCACTAGCAGCAGCGACATTGAGAAACTTACCAAAGGCTTTCAAGAGCTTTAGAGTTCTTCCAGATTGATGATAGGTTCTTATTCCAGACCCGAGTGCCTGATTGTAACAAAATCAGATGGAAAGCACTAGTTAGACCAAGAGATGCATTCTTTGCAGAATCTTACTGCTGCAAAGCTGACGAAGCAGAGGCTCTTGGCTATTTGAAGCAAGCCCATGCTTCAGGAATTACCATCAGTGGAGCATCGGATCCAACTCTTTCCACAATTCATGTCTCGAAGTGGACATCACAAAGATCCAGCTGCAAAGAAAACAACAAAGCTTAGATAAATGCAAAGTCATAGAAACTTAATTATGTACCAATCACTTCAAGGTTGTGCTTTCATTGTTTGAGCCTGAGTACATGTTTGCCGTGAGAGCGTAAGGTGTACCACCTTGATCGTCAACCTTTGATTGCCTTTCCAATCACCGCATTTTTCCACTTGAAACAAGCCCCATCCATATCCTAGAGCACACATCTTCCAGGCTTTCCACCACCGGAAGCGCATCCTCCAGCCGATTAGCACGTCAACCATGGAGATTACGTGCTCCACACTCGGACTAAGTCCATAGTCCGAGTGAAAGTATTCCATCCCCTCGACCAAACCAGCGTGGCAGCAGACCGATAGAACTGAAGAGAATGTCAGAGCGTCCGGCTTGGCGAAAAGATCAAACTCTGCGTCACTGTCCCCTTGACGCCTGTATCCTGCGATCAGTGCATTCCAAGACACTGCGTCCTTGTCTGGAAACCCATCGAACACTCTGGCGAGATTCCACCATGTCACACTTGCTGTAGAAACTTATGAGCGAGTTTGCCACCGCCGGAGAGTTCTCGACCCCAGCTTCCTCGATCAGACGATGGATTGTCTGTCTAGCCTGTAGTGCTCCAAGACCGGTTTCAGTCCTTGGAGTCCCATTTTCGAAACCTCCTGCAGGTCAAGCCCATGGTTGCCACTCGGTGTACGCTTCGATCATGATGTTCCTGTCTGTGTTGTTAAAAACCCGAGCACATCACCCCAAACTTCCACACCGTGCGTAGAGACTGATAAAAGTTGTTTGTAGAGTAAACATCTTCCAGCCCGTGGAGAAACCAACGTCAATAACTTCTCCAGCGACGCCACTTTCAAGGGCCTTCCATCCACCCCTTCCTTCTCGGCCATATCCAAGCACGCCTGGAGAACGGCCACCAAAGTTCTCGAACTGACGACCACGTCTCCCGCTTGCATCGCCGTGAAAAACTCTCGGTCTCGCCACCTTTTGCATATCCCATGATCATAACATTCCAGCAGACCGCCATGATCATAACATTCCAGCAGACCGAATCCCGCTCTATCATCCCATCGAAAACTCGCCGACAATCCAGCAATCTCCCCCACTTCGCATCCATATCCATCAGACTGTTGCAGACGAAAACGCTGGACGAAATCTCTGTCCCTGTTCTTATAAGCTGGGAGTAAATCTCTCCGCCCCGGTCCAGTCATCCCAGATTCGTGCAACCATTGAGCACGGCCGCTCCACTCCATCTTCCAAAAGCATAAGCGCAAAGAGCTCCAAGGCTAGCTCGTCTTCCCCTCCTTGCGAGCAAGCACTGACCATTGCACTCCACAAAACCACGTCCTTTGTTCCCAACTTGGCAGCAGCCTGGAAAATCTCTAGAGCTTCTCTCACGCTGCCACACTTTCCATAGAAATCCACCATGGCGCTGGCCACGAACCTGTCCACCAAGAATCCACCACTCTGGATCTGGGAATGAAGAGCCAAGCCTCTCTTGAGGCTCCTGAGCTTGATGATCTTCCCCTGTTTTGAGACGAAGACAAATCCTGACCGTTAAAACCAATCGTAGTAAAATCTATGTATCTGGCGGTCTGTGGAAACATAGAGTACTAATATAACTTATGACCATTTTTCTGTTCGTTTTCTTTCTTTACAGGATAAAAAAAAGAGTAAGAAGGAGGATAATCAAAATGCAAAACTGTGCTTGCTCTATGCAAACTCACTGGATGACGAGAGAGCGTATCTTGTGAGATTTGATCAGGCCTCCCAAAACTTGGCCGGGTCTTCGGTATAGACAGTCCGGTCCTGGATCTCCAGATTTGCAGCGTGCCAATCTACGATCCTTGCCTGGGTACATTTACAGACGAGCAGAGCGACGGGAATGAGCCACCAGTTGTTCTCCTCCCTGCCAATTCATAGACACGGCGAGTGAGCGAGTGAGAAACTCTCGATCGAGCAAAATACTTACGAACTAAACGCCAAGCTCAGGAGGGACGACAGGTTTTTCGATGAGAACTTGACTTTGTAGTGGAAAAAACCCGAGACAAACGCTGCCACCTATGCACATTTCCAACAGCGTGTGATCACAAAACGCGAAGAAGAAAAGCCAAGTTGGTTTACCGTGTTTGTGAGAGAAGTCATGTTCCAGAGGTTGTATACTCTAGCCAGTCCGGCAGCTTTCCGGGGGCCGTGGCTGAAGAGAGCGTTGATTCCTGTAGGAAAAGGAAGCAGCGACGCCAGGGGTAGAACTAGGAGCACAACAAGGAATGCGTCCAACGAAATCGAGTAAAACTGGAGCAACAATAGTAGCGTAAGGCTGAAATCCGCGAGGAGCAAAATTGAGATGACCAGACCCACTAAAGCCTGCCAAACAAAAACGAAAGAGAAAAACTTAAAAAGTACAGAGAGAGCAGACTACTTACGTGGTGGCCGACACACCGGGTGTTCTGCAATAACAATGAAAGAGGATACAGTATGTCTCTTGAATCCTCCAAAGTACGCAAGGTAACCGTGTCTATTAAACCTCCCCCAGCTCTTCTTAGTCGAGGAGTTTGTTCATGCTGCCGCTCAGAGGAAAGAAGTGGAGCTTGGACGCCGTTGTTTGTCCTACATTCGAAGAATAGCCACTCACTGAGTTTCCAAGAAAAATGCACCTCACCTTGGATGCTGAGACCATAATGAAGCCATACTATCCAGGGGCATTGAAGAAAAGGACTCAGCAGTATTTAGAACAAGTCCCAGCTGATAGTATCCAGAGGCAGTGGCCTGGAACCATGCCAAACGAACAGCGACACCGTGATGCTCCAGCCTCGGGTTTGCATGCGAATTCAGCCACTCAATAACTGGTATCAACGTAGATCTTAGCCGCCCCTTGCGGACCAGTCTTAACTGTGCATTTAAACCGGCTACCATTCGATACCATATGGTCGCTGGTATAGCCTGCCATAGAGTAGAATGTTTGAAGCAAGCATCAACTTGTAAGGACAGCCAAACCTGTCCCATGAGACTTGTCAAAAGGTTATCGCTGTGAAGGTGGTAGGGAGCCATGTAGCTACCATCTCCACCAAAAATGATTGACATTGGAAGCCTTTGCATTAGCTTTGGAGGTAAATCCGGTCGTTTCTCGTCGCCACCCAGAAAGACGTCAATATAGCCCAGGACTAGCTCGGCGGTTGCAGCCACCTGAAAAAATTTGCAACTTAGAACAGCGAGAAGCTTTGCACTACAAACCTTCAGGCCCTCGTACAGTGCTCGTGATCTACACGAACGTAAACATGCGTGATCATACTCGGACCTTACAAACTCACGAAGTTGCTGAACTTTTCTCCTCCGGCGCCACTGCTGCCATGACCAGCCAACGGGATATGCAGCAAAGCACAGTATGCTGTACACAGACCCTTCCCACCACTGGTACGCTGCAAGGCAATTGATCTCATCAACGAATCTGTTGAAAGCGTCTTCGTACCTGTACAAGAAACTTAGTCGACAGTAAATTGAAGATGAAGTATTCAACGTACACAAGATCAACGATTTGCTCGGGCGGAGAATGAGGAAGATGCCAAGGCTCTGCGAAAGAATTACATCCCATAAAGAACATCCTATGTACATGGCTTTGGGATTCTTCGACTCTTGTGGTCTCTAAGACCTGCCAGATGCAAAAAGTTAAAGAAGAAAAACGAAACAGACATCCACAGGCAAGGCGTACCTCATTCAAAGATTCCAAGAAGGGAAAGGAATGATCAATATGAGCGCCCTGTGGGGCTGGAGTAGGCCCAGAGAAGTCGTCTGTACCGACTAGCTTCGCACGAGCAATGCTCAGCACGAGAGCCAAAGCTATCATAAGACCAGATAAGAGCAGAGTAAATAGCCAAGGCCCTCCCAGCGCATATATCAACTCTTCTAATGGTGTATAACAGTTTGGCATCCTGTACTTATCGGAATGGCACTGATAGGGGCATGTAGGCTTGAGTGCTCCTCCTGAAAAACAAAGCCAGAGTTGCGTAGAGAGTTTGAAACACATAAATCAAAACACTAACCACGAACATAGACATAAGAAGCCCGCCGAGGCAATTTTTCCGGAGGGCAAGGTTTGCACAAGGAAGCATCCGAGCCAGAGTCATTCTTGTATGTTCCAACAGGGCATTCCTGTCAAAAGAGAATCACTAAGTGTGAACTTTATTTCTCTTATTGCAAAAAACTTACCATGCAGAAAACTCCAAACAAACCGCTTGGGCACTCTTTTCCGGTTATGGTACCATCGTCTCCGGCATAGCCAATATCCCCTCCATTTCCACCTCTGTTGAAAGGTACCAAAAAGCCTCTGACATTGAAACAAAACTGCAAGAACTGCGTACTTGGTATGTATAAGTCCTTTTATCGTTGCAATTGCAACAAAATCGTCTCCAGTTGGTACGTTTGACCAATGAAAATGAACTCGTCCGCCGCCGCCACCGCCTCCACCTACATACCCACCTTCGCCTCCACCCGCAGAAAGGACTGATCCATTTTGCAAGGCCAGATTTTGCAGGAAGAGCAAAACACTACCGCCGGATCCACCACCAGCTCCTGTTTCTTCTTTGGCATCGGAACCACTCGAGTTGGTAAGACTTCCACCGTCAGCGCTGATAGTTCCATAAACTTCGAGAGTTGAAAGAGGGTGATTTTGCGATCCCATAACTGCAAAAGCAAGAAATTAGAGATGAATTCGAAAATTTATCTTACGTACCAATCACTCCACCACCACTGCTGCTTTTATTTGAGGTTGAAGAATTTCCACCACCACTTCCTAGTTCGCATGGAAGAGTCTTCTTTCCATAAGTATCTCCTCCCTCGCTCCAGCTGCCTTTGTAATACCCTTTGCCACCTCTGCCTCCAAATCCTCCACCTCCTCCAGCGCCTGACGAAGACGAGTGACCTTTTCCAAGACCACCTTTGCATCCTGCGAGCAAGACAATGAGCCTTTCAAGCAGACTGAAACCTACGTACCAAGGCCAGCAGCTGATATGAGTCCTCCGGGATTGACTGTAACAGTCCTGCCACGTTGAAGATGGACGACACTACCCCGTATAACACCGTCAATTGCAATGTCTTCCACACGGCATATCTATAGCATAAACATTCAGCTCAACAAGGACTTTAAATCACGAAGACCGCACCTGAAGGGTGAAAGGGAGTGAAACATTTAAGGTACAGTCCTCCGGAGGATTGATAATCTCGGCAGGGCATTTGGAGGTGTCGCAATAAAGTTTTGAAGACCTGTAAACAAGATTAATAGATGTCGAAGTTCGTCGACATACATACTCGTCTGTAGTTGTAGTCTCATCGGGTGGAGCTAATAACATGGCGCCTGGACCAATCTAGAACGCCACAAATGCTGTTAATGCTCAGATTCTAGGAAACTTTATCAAACTTACATGAATGTTATAAAAAAGCGACAGAAATAGTCTTTGAGCTCTGATGTAGTCACCAGCACCGGCCAACTTAAGCATCCCTTGTCCATGAATGCCAAGATTTGTATTGGATTGCAAAGCTGATTTACCCTGACAATAAGAAACATTAGACCACATTCACTGGTTTTAAAGCTCACCCTTATAAACACCAAGTTGCTGGCTTCCATAGTGGATGTGCTGACCATGACATCTCCGCCACCATCAATTTGCAAAATAGAATTCCACATCAACAGCATCTTTACAGACAGCTTGAGAGCTCCATAAACCTGCGTCGCAAAGCCTCGTAAGATTCTAGCTTTCAAAACACGAACATCACCTTGATTATTGAATTCTCCATAACAACCTCCTCCGCAACAAGTTCAAACTCAGAGCTTGGATAGTGAGCCAAGCCAAATATAAGTGTCCCTTCGTACGATAAACTTATCTGCCCTCGAACCTGGACAACACCAAAATGTCGTCAATGCCTTAACAAACATAGTAGTCGAGTGACGTACCAAAACTCTACTCCAGAGCAGCGGAACTACCACTCTAGCTCTACAGAGCACTTCCACATCCACCCAGAGAGGATGTGTAGGGAAGTCCAGTAGAGGAGTATCAGTCACAGTCGATTTGTTGTTATTGCTGATGGTTAAGCTCTGCCGAACGACATAAAAGAGCGTTCCTGCGGCCCCAGCATTTTCTGGACAGCCAAAGCTACTCCCCCCTGCAAACATCAAACCGGTTGAAATGCTCAGTTGAAATTAAATCAAATGCAAATCGTTGAGCTTATACCATGGACGTAAATGGAGACATCTTCCTGCCTATAGCACTTGACAGCCACGCGACCACCGCCTCCCCCACCCCGACCATCGCCGCCTCTAGCCGTTATTGTCCCAACTCCTGTCCTACAAACGTTTCCGAGTAAGGCAAGGAATAAAAGTAAAAAAGAGAAAGACCAAACACTCACAATCTAGCAGCCCCCACAATCACACTACCACCAGAGCCACCACCACCTTTCTTCCCCCCGGATCCTCCATCTGCACTAATAGTCCCATTCAGCTCCAAAGCGTGTATTACTGTGACGTTGATCCGGCCACCACCACCACCACTATAGTCTACAGTCTCGCTCGTGCTACCTCCACGACTTCCATGGCACCAAGGCGTAGCAAGCGACGACCAAGCATACACGTCACCACCCCATATATCACCTTGATCTTTGGTGGCACAGCAAGCCCCTCGTCCCCCGTGACCGCCACCAGCGCCTTCGAGCCCTGAGGGAGTGCCACTTGTCTGTGCAGGTGGTGCTCCACCGAGACCAAGCGATGAAAGTGACGAGTTCGCCCTCAAGTACGTGTTCTCGGCCTGGATGACGATCGTTCCCGCAACGATGGACGCATTCACCCCCAGAATCACGTCCCCGGAGAGACTCACTGCTATGGTGCATCCGGAGAAGGGGCAGTCGAGTGTCACGTCGGAAGAGATGCTGAGATTTCCCGCGCCGGCGATGCAGAGATCCCTGCCCACCGACACACTCTCTTCCAAGTAGCAAGTCGTGTCGAACGAGCCGCTTCCATGTAAGTCTTCTTCACAGTGAACCGGCGAAGACTTGGCAAATGGTGAGCAGCCGAGATGGGGAGCTTGTGCCTGGAAGTCATTGGCGATGTTGTGGGCGCTTGAGAATTCGATGGAAAAACTTCCCAGAGTGAGCCAGAGTGCTAAAACCCCTAGGAGAATTGCCTTGAGCTCCATTCCCAGGCAACCTCTTCATCCCAGACGAGAAGTCACATCGGTCTCGGAACAAGTGGATTTTAGTGCGTTGTTTTCCTGCGGCAATAAAAACAAAAACCGTTGTCTCAGAGACCATGCATGCAGTCTAGAACAGCTGCCAGAGGAAAACAAGAATGGAGAAGAAAAAGAAAAATTGGAAAGATTTTTAAAAAATGAACGTTGTGAGCGCTGGAGCAAGAAAATGCGATTCGAGGAGCCTCTCGAAGAAAGCCATCGCAATGGAAGAGCGAGAAGCGAGAAATTTCGCGAATTTCTGCCGAAATGCATCCGAGCCAAGCAGCGGCGAGAGAGATCGTACCTGTGAGGCGCGCCCGGCGTCGCAGCTCCCAGCAAGGCGCCCTAGATCCGCGCACGCGAAACCCTAGCGCCCTGGGGGAAAACTAAAGAGCTCCAAGAACACCATAGCCAAGGGGGAAAAAGAAAACACTTTTAAAACGCCATTTTGCTTAAGCTGGGATTTACACGTCAGTCCGTAACTTGAAATTTACCCCTCGTCCGTACGACGCGATGCAAAAGGAGAAAAGGAGTGGCTTACTTTTGATAGAAGTCTTCGTCAAAAAACATTTCCATCACAGGTGAAAAAGACAATTACAATTGTTTAATCCAACTATTCTCACGCCAAAGAATCATCTTTTCACATAAAAGACCGATTTTTAGCTGCTGCTTAGCAGGCGAACGTAAGCCATCTGTGTGTAGCCATTGAAAACTCGCTTTTCCAAGCTATGGAGGCCGAGCTTCCGGAAGAGAGCTCGGTCTCCATCGCCCACCAGCGGCCTGGAGCTCCTGGCGGGGTCGTAGCGGTTCTGCTTGGTCAGGCTCGGGCCAGCCACCGGCGGGAGCTCCCAGTAGAGCTGGAGCATCGATTCCACCAGCCGGCCATTGTGGAGGTGCTGCTGGTGAGAGATCGGAGCGTTGCTATGGTTGAAGTTGTCACGCATCTCGCCGCGGACGCCCCACCACTCGCCGCCGCCTCCACAAAGTTGGGACGAGTCCATCGCCTTCTCCCACTTCTTGCTCCTGTACTGTCTCGTTCGTGCCTCTTCGCTTTCGGGGTCACAGTTGTGTCCGCCACCTGCGAAGAAAAGGAAGCTACAAAACGTGAAAACCAAGAAACTTGAAAAGCAAAAAACAAGAAAGCAACGAAACGAAGCTACTAGGGAAAGTGAAAGCTACTACAAAACCAATACCTTCGATGTGGAGCTGGTCACAGATTTGCCGAAGCGAGTAGTGATCGCCAGTCCCGGTGTCGTAGTTATCTTCGAAGACGAGGTGCTGGAATCCAGCATCCCTGGCTTGTTTGATCCTGACATCCAAGTTGGTTGTAAGAAAAAGAGGAAAGTTTGCTCCAGAAAAAATGTACCTTTTCAACTGGCTCTGGTGGTCGTCGAAGAACACAAGTATCCTGCTCCTGTCCTGGACACCAGCTTCCTCGAGAACTTTGTTCCACTTGACGCTTCCGAAATCCACGAACTGCTTTCCTGCGAAGTAGCGAGTGTTGCGATCCACATATGCGGGACCTTTCTTGAGGTACTTTTCTGGATGGCGGGGGCTTATCGAGATTATCGGCGTCTCCGGCCGAGCCTGTCTCATGACCCACGTCGAGTGCCCTTTGAACGCGCCGCTTTCGATGAGGAGCAAAGGTTTCACTTGACGAGCCAGGAACCAAAGGCCGAAGGAATGATCAAAGCCCATCCCGAAAGCATTGTTCTTGATGGGTCTCTTCTTGTACACCGGAACAAACTCCTGCAATCCTTGTACGAGCTCCTCTCTCGTCCAAGGAACCGCAGAACCTTCCTTCGCTCTAAAAGGAATACAGAAAAAAACGAAACTTTTAGCCGAGGAGAGATTCCAATCACAGACTCGATGCTTACTTGCACCAGGGAACACCCAAGACGCCGAATTCCGCCGACAGTGCAGCAGCAGCTCGGGCTTTCTGAGACGATTTCCAGCTCTGGTTCCATTCTGCACTGACCAAGATGAGCAGCACCACTGCGAGTAGCAGAATGCAAATCACAAAGCCCAGCCGGAAAAATGCGGGTAATCTGAGACCACCATTCTTGCTGCTGTTAGCGAAGAACCAGGCTCTAGTTCCTGCTAGGACCAGTGTCCTCCCTGAAAGAGCTCCCATTGCTACAAAGCTAGCTTCTATCCTAGGTTAGCAAAAGGAAACACAAAGGACATCACCTCCTTAGAAAAAGCGGAATTTCTAACAGTCCGTCGCCTTCAGGAGAACAACCACTACAGTAGCAGCATGTGAAATCCTTGATTATATTGCACATCTCCACTGCATAAAACGAAGGACAAGCATTCTTGAATTCACAAACCAACCTCGTGTTGGATTGATCGATTGACTTATCCAACCGGGTTCCTGTTCTTGTCGATGGAAAACTTGAGGACGTTGTCTGGTTTCGCGTTGCCAGGTCCCTCGCTGTACAAAGTTTGGAGGTAGGCCTTGTATGCGGGCATATATCTCGCCACGAAGTCCGCAACCTGGAAAGTATTCTTATGGTCAGCTCGTTTTCTAGTGAGGAAGCTTTCTAAGTTTTCTAAAGAACCTGTTCATCGCTCATGCCAGGTTTGCCTTTGGCTTTCATAGCGATCTCTGCCTGTACCCACGACATTATTAGAATGCCTCGAAGCGAAACAAAAGTTTCTTTAGTACCTCAAGACGCCACTCATACACCCAACCGGGATCGTCCACTTTGACAATTATCCATGAATCCACAAGATTGAACCAGCCTTTTTGATAGGCCACCAAATTCTTGTCGACTACTTCCAGCTGCATCAGGAGACACAACCACCGGGTTTAAGCAACCGAACAAGAGTTCCTAAGTAATCAAAACAAGTTACCTGAGGATCCACGGAGCTAACTGCGGCTTTACCCAACGGCTTGAAGCCCAGCATCCATCCTTCGAACAAAATCACCTGTTGCAACGCGTTTGAGAAAAGCTGTGCGTAAAAAGAAACGACAACGAATACCTGCAATGGTCCTGTCACTTTGGACCATGTCGATGGATCTGATCTATCACCTCGACCATTGTATGCAGACTTGTCATAGTGTGGCACACTGGCCACTTCTCCTGAAAAACAAAAGCGAGATGTTAGCATATGTAGCACAACAAACAATCCTGACAGACCTTCGGAAAGATTTTGAAGGCACTTTATTGTCTGAGTCCCAAGATCTAAGTCGTGGCTTCCAGCGTTTCCGCGAAGCTGTAAGCAATTGTAAGAAACGCACCAAGGTCAGCAACTTCTTACCTCCAAAAGCAAGTTGCCTTGATTCTCTTTCGCAAGTTTTTGCTGATCGGCAGCCGTAAGGTAGAAGTCATCAATTGACACTGACGCAGCGGTTCTGAAGACACAGGTTGCGTCCTTCTGCAAATGAACAAAACACCATACCTTCCAGAATAGTTGAACATGTACTCAAGAGCATCCACAAGCGTAGTCTTCCCACAACCTTGAGGTGCACTGATCCCAATCTGCAACACAGCAAAACCAACTCCATGTTTCAGCAACATCCTCGTAAGGCAAGTGCGCCATGCATGCACTAACAGCAGCTAACAGAAGCCTCGGAAACACAAAACAAAGTCTTACCACTAACGCAGGAATCGGCTTATCGCCGTCGTTAAACCGGCCGCGATGGCGTTCCAGCTCCCTCTTGCACCACATATACACCGGCAGGTAGTAGTGATAAACTCTCGTCTTCTCCGACTCGCTGAGCATCAATTCCCTGAAGCCCAGAATCCGAGACAGCCTCAGTCCCATCTCAATCCACTCGTTCATGTCCCGCCTCACGTCCTCGGCATCCAATCCAATCGTCTCCAGCAGCGGCCCCTTGCAGATAAAGTCGTAGAGATCCGCGAGCGGCGTCACAGCCGGCATGGACGCAGCCTCGGGCATTGGGCTTCCATCCCGGACGCTCTTCCTGGCGACGTTGCAACCCCACAAGGAGCACGTCCCCATCGTCGCCCGACTTGTGAAGCACGAAGGTGACGGAAGGCCACTTGTTGGGCATGCTGCTACCCGTGACCCATTTGAAGAACTGCTTGCTAACTGCCATACCGGAATGCTAGCCACTGCCGCGGGCATCGTTGCTCCTCCTTTCACCTTCCCTGTTTCCTCCCCTAAAGCGCTACGAGGATAAAATACTCGCTCTAAAAGGCACACGAAAAGGAGAGAAAGGCTGTTAATCGGCGAAAGGGTTTAAATTGAAGATACCAGTGCGCAGCGCTATGAGATCTCTAAGATGGATCACCCGGCCAGAGCGGCCAGGCGAAGCAAAGTTCTTCGGTGATAGAGAACCCTTTGCTGCCTATACTTTTGGAGAAACTCCGGGAACTCAAGCTCGCCGCTCAGTAGCTTGTGGTGTAAGCTTTCCGATTCGTCGTCCGCCGCGTTGGCTGCCTCTGGAATGAATCAATACACGCGTCGTCAGCAAAGAAGAAGAAGAAGAAGAAGAAAAAAAAAAACTCTCTAGACCTTGTAGCTTGTTTAAGATTGATGCTGGCGAGCTCCTCGCCAGGATCTCTTTCTCTCGCCGCTGAGCGTCTGAAAACTTCTCCTGTGCTGTGGCCAACTCGGTCGTTCTGATGATCATACACTGCACACAGAGAAAAAAATTAAAAAAAGACGAAAAATACAATTTTTTTACACGAGAAAAGAAGCATACCTGGTTTCTAAGCTCAGCCATCTCGGACTCCTTCCCCAAATTATGTCCTGACAAGCAAAAGCAATGAGTTTTTTGTTCAACAAAGACCAATCAATCACTCACTTGCGAGGTTCACATTGCTCTTTCTTAAATCGTTCCGAAGCTGCCAAAATTCCCAAATAAGAAGGGATCCAGCCAAGAAGAAAGGAACCACGCTCACCGTATCCAGTTGCTTCACCTCCTCGATCGAATGGAGGTAACTCTCATACGCGTCTTTATCCGACAAGAGCTTCCGGAGCTCCTCGACGCTGCAAGAAAACACTCAGGGGTCACGCTGGACAAGAGATCGATCAATCCCCACCTCTTCTCGTGGAGCCTGGATTCATTCATCGCGGAGCTCGACATAGAAACCCTAAAATAAGAACCCAATCGCTGGTCCATCTTAAATCTTTACGGTTCTTCTCTCGTCACGACGCGGCAGTGTACGAGTAAATGCTTTGGACTCCCGCTAGCAGCTCCATCGCCTTGGATGCCAAGGTGCCGAACAAAGGTAGAGGCTTTGCTACCTTTCCGATCCTTTGGAATTGGTGTCTGCAAATAAAGGATTGATACTAGCAGTGACGAAAGTTCACAAAGCTACCTCGAGTATCTGTCGAAAAAGGGACTCCTGAGAAGATAGAAAGCCCACAAGAGTTGTCGTCGCTTAAGCTGCAATGAACAAAAGGTTAAAAAACCTCCTTGAGATGTGGAAAGCTTTAGAACTTGCCTCATTCTTTTCGGCAGCTGATAGTGGTCTGGATGGACTCCCTTGAGAAATTATCAAGGACTCGTTGCTACTCTTGCTACTCCATTGATCTGTCAAAAACAAGATGCTGAAACCCGTAAGATCTATGGCGAGTGAAGCCAGCCAAGGTTTCCATGACTTGAGTCCATATCGGCGGATGAGAAAAACGTAGATCAGTGGTCTCAAGATGAGAGAAGTTTCACCGACGATGAACCACCTAGCGGCTGGTTGCTTCCAAAGCGAGAGCAAGCCTCTTTGCACAGCTAGAAGAAACCAAAGTGAGAACTCGAACGAAGGAGAGGTGATGTTCTTACGATGTTGAGCAGCGTCCCTCTTTTGTAGCCACGATGGTCTTCCAGAGAGGCTGTTTCCAAAGCTATACAAGGCTCCCATAGCTTTTCCTTGAACGTTTTGTGGTCGACCGCTTGTTCTAGCTCCTCGTCTCGCGTAAGGATCGCAGTACGAGGCCTCCTCTTGATTCTCGGTCTCTCCCCCATCGATGAGCATCTTGTATCCACTGTCGTGGAAAATCTTTAGCCTGATCAAGACCCTATAGAGCAAACAAAGTTAGCAGAAAATTCTCTTCTTCATAGAAATAAAGCTTACTTGATTGCTTCCACGACGGCTAGAGTGCTCCATTTCCCATTTGGACCGCGATAGTGCTCGGCAGTCAGCTCCACCAACACCTCGAGCTCTTTCACAATCGAGATGAAAATCGGCCAAGGAATGCTTTTGTCACGATCGTCAGCGCCGCTGCGCATGAATGGGGGAAGATTTTTGGGACTGGCAGACTCCACAATATATTGATTCATCACGGTGACGAGCCCAATCGCCGTCGACACTGCCACGATCGCGATCAGAACAAAATGCTGGACGGAAGGGCCAAAGAGAATTCCTTACGCGCTTCCGGAGCCAGCTCCGAGCTCGCGAATCTCTCCGGCAGCAGCCAAGTCATGGTCTGGAAAGCAAGAAACTCTCAGGACCAAGAGCGGCGCGATAGCAGATCTCACCGTAGCAATGCTCTCGATTGAAGCGAGCCATTGCCGATTGCCACGCACCCACGCCTTGTACGCCTCCATCGCTATGGCAACCAAGAACCCTAATGCTAGAACACTGTAGAAATTTAGGGTTTATGAGGAAGGCAAATTCTTTTGCTGGATTAAATCGAAAATTGGGACAGGCCTTCTTCTATCTAGGATTCTTCTTTCACGATCTCTTTCGCTAGCAGCGCCATGCGCTTCCTCGAGTAGCGCTGGTTCCTCAGGAATTTCGGATCCATCTGCCGGTATTCGGATCGATCAATCACAAATTTCTAGAGAAATCTCTACTTACCCCTTTCTTGGAGGTGTAGCGCTGCCTCTTGGGCTTCTTGATGCCATTGCGGTGCGCCTTCCTCGACTGGTTGTGGGCAGTGTGATTCTTCGACTTCGCCATCGCTGCCGCTCAATCTCCGCCGCTTACACTGCCTAGAACCCTAGCCTCCCAAGAACCCTAAAGGAATATGCTCCCTTCCCGTACAGGTGGGAATTCGAGCCGTTGGATTGACACAAATTTTCTAGCCGTTTGCTTCGAATGAATGAAGAGGTCGGGTGTTGTTTGGTCGTTTCTTCTCTGGAGTGATGACCCCGGCGGGTCGGAGAGGGGTGTGACCTAGGATTAGGCGCGCACGAATTCGCGAGCCCGGTGGGAGGGCGCCACAATGCCGCGGAGCAGCGCCAAGATTTTTGGCCAAGAAATGCCTGAAATTTCGCCTCCGGCGCTCCAGATCGAAGGCTAGGCTAGTTCTTGGGTCGATTTTTCATGGGAAGCAGGAAAGATTCAGTGGTGGCCGCGGGGATTTGCTTCTCGGACGAAGATCGCGGGGTCGATCCTCACTTGGGGTATCCTCGGGCCTATGCGAAGCTGTGCCGGAACGCCTGTGCCTGGCTCCAGCTCCAGGGATTCTTGCTGCCTCACGCAGATGGCCCTCCCAGAGCGTTTCTTCCCTACACTGCTCGTCCGGAAGAGGTGCGGTTTCTTACTGTGGTAGGGTTTGGTTCCAACGAGTTCTTTCCAGGTTGCAAAGCTAGAACAAGTCCAAGATTTGTTCCCGATCGTTCTCAGCGACAGCAGGAAGGAGCATCCCTCGCATCTCCACAAATTCAAGGATGTTCTCTGGCAGCAGCTTGATCACCTCGGGTAAAAAGTAGTTTTTTGCTTGTCTCTTGCTAAAAAGTATTGTGGATTTCTTTGCGCAGCAATGCTGGTTTTGATCCAGCGTGTTTTAGAGTAGACTCGTATGGCAACGTTCTTTACTGGCATGCTGACCCCGCCTCGCCACTAGCCTGGGAAGTCTGCCACTGGTTCCCCTATTCAAGTATGTTGTGTTTTACTTTCCTACGTGACGATAACTCTTGTCTCTCTCCCTGCGTAGGAGGCGGCAAGACGGTTCTTAACAATCTAAGGCTCGCGCAATGGCAAGTGAGTCTGAAGAAAAAGGAGAAGCTTGAGTTTCTCATTCCTTGGTGGGATCTCCAGCTTGGGGTGTCGATTAATCAGTTTCTTACAGCATTTGATTCACCGAATATTGGATTCCGGTAATCACTCGTTGTACAATCTATGCTTTTTGGCTAATACTTCGTTCTTTTCAGACAAAGGTGTTTTTCTTTTTTCTTTCTTGGTGGTGAAGACGAGCTTCCAGATGGAAAGACGTGCATAAACGATCATCAATGGTCACATCATTTTCTAGAGAAGAAGAAACGCTCGGGGCTTGCAGTGGCTGGGCTCGTCCGGCTTCAGAAAGGAGACGAATCTGCAAACTCCAGGCTGTCGTCTTCACCTTCAGGTTGGCATTTGTCTTTGTCTTGTTCCAACGTACGAAAAACACTATATTTCGCATGCTACTTCCAGGATTACACCAAAAAGACTGGACTATTTCGGAGGAAGATGCGCTTTTGCGAGGATATCAGAAGTTTGGTTTTGGAAATTGGAAGGCTATAAAAGAAAGTGAACCACTTCTTACAAATCGTTCTCTGGTTCAAATTCGAGATAAGGTAGGCAGTGTCTGGTTAATATTATGTTAAAACTGACACAGTTTGTTAATCAGTATCGATCCTTGACTGGCCTTCAAAAGGAAAACCTTCATTCTCCGAGTTGTCTGTCACCTCTTCATTCACAGGACGGTGACACTAACAGCCGAATTTTATCATCCATAAAGAGAGAGTCAAAGATCAAGCTACTGAGGGAGGAAGAAAAGCATATGAGGGAAGGCGAATCTTCAAAACTGAAGCAGGCCCTGCAGAGTATCAAAGACCAAAATGAACAGGAAAAGGCTTCCTTGGACACTCTGGAAGCAGAGCTACGAAAACAAAGAAAGCAGGTGGAAAAGCAAAGACAGTGGAACGAAACACAGGCATCATATCGCATCTGCCTTGAGCGGATGATTCAGGAAACTATGCACCAGTAAGTCATTCTATCGTATGCAATCTTTACGTGACTAATGGTTGCGCGACCGTTAATCAGGAGCGTGGTTTATAAGGAAGAGTCGAGGCTGAATGAAATTGCCTGCAATTCTCTCATGGCGCAGTTGGAGTCTCAAGCTGAGACATGCAACGCGGCCGAATCTCGGCTTCTGCATAACGCTCATAAGAGGCAAGACCTGCTGCAGATGACCAAGCCAGTTCCTCTTTTAGAGTCCGGAAGCGTGGACGAGGAATGCGTACCAGAGAAATCTTCAACGCAGCTGGTGAAAGCAGATCGTCATGCTCCTCCCAAGAAGCAGAGAAGCAGCACCAGAGACAGAGAAGTCTTGAAAGCAAGGGATCTCCAAAACCATCCGCCAGCCAACGTCTCCAACAAGCAAGACAGCTTCAGTGACTCCGAAGATCAGCATCGTAGTCATAAGCGATTCCGGAAGTCGACAACACCGGCCAAGAGCAGGAGATCCCAGTCCGCTCCACGGCAACGACTTGACAAAGAAAACAGTGTGGCTCGTCGGGAAACACCAGCGGCACCCGCGTCTGCAAAACCGTCAATGGACAGAATTTACTACGAGGGTGGTACTGCGCCAAGGGAAGCTGACGATGGAAGTAACATTGCGAATGCGGGCAGTGATGGTGAAGGATCGGAGGTGACGAGAACATTCAAGCTGATGCCTGTTATCAAGAGGGATAAGCAGAACACTGACAGCGGTTATGCGAGCTGCGGGAGCCAGCGATTCAAAGGCATACTCCATGCACCACAGAGCAAGGAGAGCAGGGATAGCAGCGAGCGCTTTGAGATCGACGTCTCCGCGATAGATTCCCGCGTGACAGCAGGAAGTTCCAAGTGCTCGAGGACACCGTCGGCTAGGAACTTTGTGGAGCTGCATTCGCCGGAGGCAAGGAAGGCACTGTCAGAACGCGGGGAGATGTCATGCGACGAGGAAAGCATCAAGGAAGGGAAGAACACTCTCGATAAGTGGCTGCAAATACTCTTGACGAGCACAGAACAGGTTGCGGGAGCAGAAAAGCAGGATCCACCCCGTCCCGAAACTCAGGACATCGTAACAAAGCCAGAGATAGAGCAGGAGGAGGCAATTCAGCTACAGCCGAGCCAAAGCAAGTCAAGAGGATGGCCAGAGGACATTGCAGTCCCTCCCCCCGGACTGGCTCGAGGCTTCAGCCAGAAGATACCAGAGGAACGAGCGCAGGCGAAGAAATCAAGCTCCGACAAGCTCAAGGTCCCATTCTCCGGTCTCCTCCGTAGGCTGAGCTTGAGGCAGCAGCACGGCGCTACTCCAAAGCCAGCGGCAACCGGCGATGCCGACGCAAAGGATCCTCCCAGGAGGCAAGTTACTTTCGAGGACTGGGAAGGCATCTCCACCAAGCTGGTGGCCATGAACATCGACAGCGGCAGCAGCAACAACAGGCACTCGGTAGTGAGAGACAGGAGAGACGCTGCAAACCATCACCTGAGAAGCGCGAGCGCCCGCGGCTCGACGAGCTCCCCGGCGAGCAAGAACACGACGAGCAGCGTGATAGCAGTGGATCCTTCTCCTCCGCCGCCCAAGCTCGCGAAGTCCGTGCTCTACTACTCGACCGATAACTTCCGGGGCAACAGCGTAAACCGGAGCCATGGCAGCAGCAACAAGGAGAACCAGGGGGAGAACACCGCCACCACCACCATTGTCAAGCATCATCCAGTTCCAAATCTCAAGGCCATGTCGCGAAGAACTTCGCGGCGAGCTTCCATCGACGAGTGCGCGCAGGCGTGGAAGAACCAAGTCAGTCGCTTGGAATCACAGCAGCAGCAGCAGCTCAAGGCCTGATCGAGAGCCAAATTCTTCCAAGAATTTGCAGCAGCAGAGAAGATTTCCAGGCGGCAAACCAAAACAATTCGTCCAAGAAAGAGTAAGTGTTCTTCACTTCGTCGTTGTATGTCTATGTAACACTATGGTTATTTTTCGTCGCGTGTAACAACAATACAGCATTGATTATTTTTCTCTCCAACATTTCAAACTAGAAGCATATTCCTCGCACAAGAATATTCATCGAACATAGAATATTCTTTGCACATTTTAGCCCCTTGCAAAATGGAGGAAGATCTTGGAGGGGCATATTCCGCGCCCGGGGCGCTGGGCAATGGCGAGGGGAGCTCGTGCCTGGCGCCAGGATCCACGCACGGCGTCGTCATCAGCTACCAATTATATGGAATTGGCGCCACAAAGCTACTGCTCATACCAGGTAAGAGGATCTCTTTCTCTCTTTTCACTTCGATGGGATTGGATTGGAGCGGAAATTGGAACTGTTGATTGATTGATGCATTGATCGATCGATCAGGCCCTAGGGCACTCGCAAAAGATAACAAATTCTTTCTTTTTCTTAAAAAAAAAAATAGAAGTTTTGTGCTGCTACGCTGCATTTTAATGAGCTTGTGGGTCACAGAGACAGCTAGCTCGCTGGATATGCTTCCCAAAATTCGGGAGCTCTCCAGATTCCTTTTGGCATTTTCTTGTTCCTATCTCCTTCTACTTTGCTGGTTGCGCTAAGAACTTTAAGTTCATTGGTTTGTAGTTCTCTCTGTCGATTTCTTCGTAGTTGAGTTCATTGGTTTTGTACTGAGTTTTTTCAGTACTTTCTTCTTTCGAAGCTCAGATTCTTCTATTCGAGTGTTTTTCTTTCGGGGACTAGATCTTGTCGATCGACTTCTAGACTTATTTTTCTTCTTCTTTTGAGGGCGTTCGTTGATTTTTTGGTCATTTTCTTTTTCCCAGGACTTGCTTGTGGCCATGGTTTCTGGGGGCCTTATGTTCGTGAGCTAACCAGTAGTGCTTCTAACAGTGGTACGCCGAGTGAAGTGGAAGAAGAAAGCAATGAGTTTTGTAGTAGCTTTGAAAACGATGGCGGAGTTCAGATCTGTACTTTTGACAACAGGGGAGTGGGAAACAGCTCAATTCCCACACAAAAGTCCGAGTATTCGTAAGTGTTCTTCTGCTTCTAGTTTTTCTTTTCTTCGATTCATTTTCTACTAAATTCTTTGTGAAGTGCAGGACGACAATCATGGCTATGGATGCACTTTCTTTGCTTGATTTCCTCGGCTGGAAACAGGCTCACATCTGTGGTCACTCCATGGGTACAAACACCGTTCATGAACTTAAAACTTTCAGATTTTCTCTCGACAAGCTCAGAGTTTTTCTTCTTCCAGGTGCAATGATCGGATTCAAACTGGCAGCAATGGCCCCCCAACGAGTTCTCTCTTTGACGCTTATAAGTATCACCGGTGGCGGATTCCAGTGCTTTCCAAAGGTATGTCTTTTTTTGTTGAAACATAAACTTTCTTCAGCTTTGGACTTGCTACAGATGGAATGGCGGTCACTCTCGATTGCGTACAGATTTCTCACGGCTAAAACACTCGAGCAGAGAATTCTTGTGGATCTAGACACGCATTACACGCGCGTATGTCATGGTCTCATTCTTTTGTGCTGTCGTAACAAGCTACTTCCAGGACTACTTGAATGAAATTACCGGGGGAGTACAAAGAAAGAACATCCTTTACAAGGTATAAACTTTTGTAGTCATTAACACGGAGATGAAACGTTTCTCTTTTTTGTTTTTTGGTTCTTTTTGGTTTTGCGCAGGAGTACCTGAAAAACATGGAGACTGGTGGAATGCAACCGAAGGCTGGCTTAAATGGTCACATTCATGCCTGCTGGTGTCACGAAGCCAAAGACTCCGACATACAGCAAATACGCGCGGCTGGATTTCCTGTGGCAGTCATCCATGGCATGTAAGTCGAGAACAAAAAGAAAAAAGAAAGCTCGCATCGTCATACATTGAGTCCTCTTTTGTTTTTCTAGAGATGACGTTATTGCACAGATTCGCTATGGAAAACGCTTGGCGCAACGATTGGGGAGCTCAGCACGGTTTTGGGTGCTTTCTGGTGGCCACCTTGTAACTCACCAGAACACAAAAGAGGTTTGGCATCTTGATTTTTTCAAAGAATTTTTTTATGATCAGTCATCCTACAGGTTGCTAAGATTTTGGCTGAGGTAATTCGCACTACCTCCCTACAATCAAGTGACTGGAGCAGGAGCAACACAAAGACTGGTAAAGTTCGTTCTTGCATTTGTCTGCCGACTCTCAAAACTTCACTCTTTAATGAAGAGAGCGAGGAAGGAAGAGAAAGCCGAAGCTTTTGGAAGAGAGTACAAAGGCTTCTCTGTGGTTGCTTCTGCGTCGTAGCAGTTACTTCATGGCTTCTCGTAACCTTTGCGCTGTGATTTTGTAAGAAAAATAAGACATTCTCCATAAACAGTGTTACAACATAACAGATCAATGATAATTGTTTTTAATCCATCTATGGAACAAATATAATTCCTTTGCATTGTTTATATAACTCTCTTGTTGGTCTTGTTTACAGTTATATGTATAAGCTTAAATTGTGAGTGCTCAGGATTACGAACCTTACAAAGTATGTTTACTATATTCATATTGTGTAAGCTAGTACACAAAATCTATTTGTTAAGTAAAGGTAATTTATTGACCCCTTCTGTTCTTTATCTAATAAAATACCTGATAGCATGCTTTGTGAGTGCTTGGAATATAGAAAGGGAATACAGAAATGTGCATATCAATTAGCCAAAAAACCCTAGTTTATATACAAGAGTGAGTGGTTCGGATTGAAACTAATCCGACGGCTACCAAAATCCCACTACACTAATATTAGTATACGGCATCGTAGCCGTACACTTGGCCCTCACATCATCCCCCCCTCTCAGGATAATGGAAGACCATCAGGGTTCTCTTGTAGACAGGCTGGGATTTAGAGGAATATCAGGAGGAGGCATCGGTGGATCTGTAGATGGTATTAACTGCTCCTGATCCCTTTGTATGAAGCGTTTCAACCGCTGCACATGCACAATCTCTGGAGGATCGGCCTGCTGGACATCATGTCGAACCTCATAAACTTGTGGTCCAACTTGCCGCAACACCCGATACGATCCTTTCCACTGTGCAAGGAGCCCCTTAAACAAACCACGTACTGTAAGATGGGGAAAACGGACTAACACCAAATCATCCACTTTGTACTCCGCAGGTGGATGATGACGGGAGTTGTAGCGCCGTTGTTGTCCCACTTGTACACGGCCTAAGTGTTCGGCAGACTCCGCTCGGACAAGTGGAAGAATGCTTGTCAAATATTGATCCCATGACTTAGCATCTGCAGCTCGTGGCAATCGCGAAGGTAAACCCAGCTCCATTGGTAATATTGGATTATGACCATATAGGAGTTTATATGGTGAAGCACCAACAGAACTCTGCACCCTAGTGACATATGCATACCGAAGAGACGGCAAATAACCATCCCAATCCGAATGCTGAAAGTTCACATACTTCGCAATCATCCCCTTGAATGTCCGAACGAGCCATTCCACCAGACCGTCTGATTGTGGATGATAAGCACTCGTGAAAGTGTGGTGAATCCCCAACCGAGACATCAAAACATGAAACGCCTCAGCCATAAAAGCGGGACCATTATCCGAAAGAATCCGCTCTGGACAAGAATGCTGGAACACCACTCAATTGAGGAGGAAGTATCCAACAGCAGTTGCAAAGGCACTAGCAAGAGCACCAACTTCCACCCAACGAGTCAAGTAGTCAGAAGCAATAATAACATACTCATTGCCAACAGTTGACCGTGGAAAATGCCCCATAAGATCAAATGCCACCAATTCAAACGGACGGGAAATTGCAATTGACTCCAACCGTCCTTCTGCAGTCCGAGGGGGAGTATTACGAGCTTGGCACCAAACGTAGCTACGTACATACCGGATAATATCACGTCGCATCTCCGGCCAATAGAAAGACCTGCGTAGCTTCTCGATTACACGACGATGTCCCATATGCCCACCTAGAACAGGAGAATCATGGTAGGCATGGAGAAACCGCGGAATAAAGATAGAAGGCACCACCAGCCGTAAATGATCATCAGGATCTGTCCCCATAAAATAAAGAAGGCCACCTTCAAGACGATATTGAGAATGTAAATGCCGGAAAGGCAAGTCATCAGCAAGTGATGCAGGATTCTCAAACCCATCTCGAAGCCTTCGAATCTATGGCTCAATCTTTTGAGCCTCGCGAACCTCATCAAGCGAAGGTAGATCTTGCTCTGCACCTTGTGGACACTAAACGTCAAGTATAGCAACCGCCGATGGCACAAAATCCTCGTCTAGAAAATCCACAGATGCTGGAATAATAGGCTCATCAGAAACATGAGAAGAGAATGAAGAAAGAAGAGGAGCTCGAGAAAGGGCATCAGCATCAGCCATAGAACTCCCTGGGCGGTGAACAACATCAAAATCATATATCTGAAGCTTCAAAGCCCACCGAGCAGTATGACCAACCAGGTTCTTTCGCTTTAATAATGAAGTAACAGCAGCATGGTCACCTTCAAGTAACGTCCAAGAACCATGTAGATATGCATAAAGTTTCTCGAAACCCCAAACTGCTGCTAAACACTCCTTCTCTGTCGTGGAGTAGTTCATCCCCGCTGGTTGTAATGTACGGCTTATATATGCAATGGGATGGCGCTGACCAGGCACACTCGAGCTCTCTTGCATTAACACACCTCCAAGACCAATGTCAGAAGCCTCCACGCGCAAAATAAAAGGTCGAGTGTAGTGAGGATATGCCAAAACCGGAGTTGTTAATAACTTTTTGAGATCCCCAAACGCTTGCTCACAATCCGGAGACCAGAAGAAAGATGATGTTGATGACTTCAGCAACGTTCGCAATGGCGCAGTGCGATCAGAAAGATGATCCACAAAACACCCGAGATACTGCACCTTGCCCAAGAAGCACTGCACATCATTCACACACTTCGGAGTAGGGAACTTTAGAACAGCCACAAGTTTGTCAGGATCAACTTGCAAACCCTCACGAGAAATACGGTACCCAAGATAAGTTGTGTCTTTGGATCCAAACACGCACTTCGACCACTTCAGCTTTAAACCAACATCAGGTAGCCGATCCAACACTTTACAAACATCAAGAACATGCTCCTCTCACGTCCCCTCCGAGTGGATCAAGACATCATCAATGAAGTCAGCAGTCATCTCCGGCATATCGCAAAGAACCTCGTCCATCATCTGTTGAAAAGTTGCTGGAGCATTGTTCAAACCAAATGGCATCACCAAGAACTCATACAAACCAAATGGTGTACGAAAAGCAGTCTTAGGAATATCTTCTTCGGCCATCGGTACTTGCCAGTACCCAGAAGCAAGATCTAGCTTGGTGAACCAACGACTTCGCCCCAGACGATCTAAGAGATCAGCAGTGTGAGGAAGAGGGTACACATCCGGGATCGTTACGTTGTTTAACGGACGATAGTCGATGCAGAAACGAATACTCCCATCAGGCTTCGTCACAAGATGAGGTTCACATGCCCAAGGACTTCGCGACTTCCAAATAACACCCTTTTCCAACATCTCCTGGACATTTGCACGTAAAATCTTAATTTCCTTTGGTGACCGACGACAAACAGGAACCTTGATTGGACGAGCATCCCCAGTTGGAATCGGATGACATGTAGCAATCTTGGCTCCAGACGATAGGTCAAATTCAAAGAGATCAGAATACTCCTTCATGAGCTGGTCAACAGCTGCAACACAAAGATCATCGGAGGGATTGGAAAAGGGAAGAGTAGAACAAGATGGAAACACAAGAGGAAATAATGGGGGAACAAAAGTAATGGAAGCAGAGGTAGAAGTAAAGGGACGAAGAGGTACGGAAGTGAGAGGAATGGATGAAACATAAGGAAGTATGAGACAAGGGGGAAAAGCCTCAAAGTCACACTTGGCATGATTGCGCTGCAACCAATCCATACCAAGAATGAGGTCAAAAACTTGACTCGGCACCACCCGCAACGACTGCAACTCAAGCTCGAGATCGCCCCCACGCACAACCAGGTCTGCCTCATCCCGTGCACATGCATGTGTACGGCCGTTGCCATAAAGAATGAAAACTGGATCCACCGCACGACGCAAGTGTAGACGACAACGTGTGGCAATAGGTTGAGCAATAGAAGATAAACTCGAACCTGTATCAACCAACACGGAGAGAAGAATAGGAGACCTCTTGTTATAAAAACGAGCTTGGAAAGTAAACACTGGATGAACCGGTGCCGAGTGAACCCCTTGATGATACTCCCGAAAGAAAGATGGAGGGGTCACTAACTTATTCGCGCAAGGTCCCTCCATTACTCGCGTGACTCCTCGTTTCCCGAATGCACCTCGGTATCCAAACCTTCCACCGCAGCAGCACCAACAGGACGTTGCTGATGCCAAGGTCTCCACCCAGGAAATGAAGGTCGCCAATCCGGAAAGCGCCGACAACGCCGATAAGTATGACCAACTTCATCACACGCCCAGCAACGAACATCACGGCCACGACCACGTCCTCGCCCTTGTCCTTGGACTCGAGTAGCAGCAGCATCAACCTCCATGGGAACAGGACCATCACTCATAGGAAGTGGAGCTGAAGGACGTGTAGCAAGAAGTGGAAGAGGCGACGTCTCATAACGTTGTGCCAAGCGAAGAGCATCGTCAAGAGTGGCAGGAGCAAGTGCATGCACAAGTCCAACAAGATCTTGACGAAGTGCTGGCCACAACATTCCTAGCTTGATCCGCTCCGACATATTTGGCTCCGCACGAAGCAAAAGACTTCGGAAACGAACGCCAAATTGCATCACCGACTCAGATGGCCCTTGGCGAAGACGATGCAATTGTTGGAAGGCATCATCACAATCGTCGGCGTGTCCGAAGGCGCGTTTGAAGACGTCCGGAAGAACACTCCAATCGCCACGAGTAGCTGCGCTCAATCCATTGTACCACTGCAATGCCATCCCTTGAAGACATGTGGGGAACTCACGCAAACGTCGAGCATCATCACAAGAATGATATGTGGCAATCACCGTGAAGTGATCGAACCAATGGTACACATCATCCCCAGGATTCCCACGAAAGAACTCCGGCCGAACGCGAGGATTGGCACCAAAAGCAGGAGGAGTTGTACCATGTGCCGTGAACACCGCCATCAACTGAGTTTGGTTGTTCAATTGCAGGCGCATAGCATCAAGCAATTGAACCAACTGCTGCTCTAGAGTCAAAGGAGGAGATTGCGGATCGGCCATGAAAATGAATGAGAAAGAAAGAGCAAAAGAAGAGAAATGACAAAAAGCTGGAAAGAAATGGTAGATCTAGACAATGCAAAAAGCTAGATCTAAACCAAAATCCTGAAAGGAAAGAACAAAAAAAAGGAAATGGAAAAAGCTAGATCTAGATAATGCAAAAGCTAGATCTAAACCGAAATCCCAAATCCAAGCACTCCCCAGGGACAATCAAAGGTGCCCCTCTCCTCCACCAATGTGAGTGCATGGAATATGGAAAGGGAATACAGAAATGTGCATATCAATTAACCCAAAAACCCTAGCTTATATACAGGAGCGAGTGGTCCGGATTGAAACCAATCCGACGGCTACCAAAATCCACTACGCTAATATTAGTATACGGCATCGTAGCCGTACACTTGGCCCTCACAGTGTCTAATATTTTTTTTAAAATTAGAGTTCTTATTTTGCTTGTAAAGTGAAAGTAAATCAAATGGTAAAGGTGAAATTGGAGGTAATATAACTTGGTTATTCTGGCAACACATTGAAGAGTTTTCATCTTTAAAATGCAATGCATTACAAAAAGTACAAACAAATGATAAACTACCAATATTAAAATTTATTATGTTAAAGTCATTATGGTAGTGTGGTATTCATGGGTGGGAGTGGTGGATTTAATATTGCTTGATATATGTAATCATCATAATGACATGCATGTAAGGTTCCAGATGCTTTTAACTGTCCAACTGATTGCTGTATATAATCATTATCATGATTAATATTTTGGTATATGGAATCATTATCATGATTATTTTGAACAGCTATAGTATGTGTATCATGGTCAATCATAGTTTCAGAGGCATCTAAATCTCCATTAGATTGTTTACTATGTCGTATGGTTCTCAAAAGATGGCGGAGGCGAGGCATTTTCAGTCACTTCGATTATAGGTTTGATTATATATATATATTTTTAATTGAGTTTGTATAGAAGTTTATGCAGAATAGAAATGCAGGATATATATAAATTTCACAACTATGTAATAATCTGAAAGGAAAATATTAGACTTTTGCGAAGCACACTCAAGAACAACGAAATAACTCCAATGTTGTGTTTACCAATCTCTGCCTCATAATCCACAGCTTTGCAATTTTGAGCTGCAGCCCCAAGTGCTGCTCCTACACCAGCATCAGGTTACCTGGCACAGAATCCCAGCACAGCATCGTTGAAACCGGCCCTCAAACTCTCGGAAACTGGAACTAAATTTTAGATTCGACAGAAGCAGTATCGGACAGAAAAAAAATCTCATCATAGAATACAAAGATATTCAAACTTACGACTTACCTCGATCTAAAACGAAGCTAAACCAGGCGATGCTTGCGGTGGCGCCTTCTGCTTCTCCTTCTCTTTCAAGTGAACCCAGACATCAGTGCTATGTCGGATTTCCAAAACTTCAGGAGCAGTGTTGGCTGGCGCAGCCACTCAACAGCCCTACGTCAACTCGAAACACCTGGTTCCTACAAACGGAGTTGATCCCGAGCATGTGCTGAAACAAAAATCCCTCACCAGGCCCAGCAGCAAGGGATTCCTCGAGAGAATCCGGGGATGAAGAGGGAGTGTCCTTGATAATTGCTTTCCTGCAGGCCAAAGAGCTCGTGAGGCAGTGGCGAACAGGGATCAAAGCTTTGCTGAGTTGGAGATGAGCCAATTTGCCTCTCACAGTCTTGGATTGTGTGCTCGACTACCATTCTACTCGCCCACACAACCGTGTCCAACCAGAGCAGCCATGGAGCCCTAGGAGTGCATGGCATAACGCCTGTCACCACGCCCTCTTCCTTTCCCAGCCACGCGTGCATCCTGCCCATTGGCCGCCACAACATTGAGCCGATATTCCCACTAACCATAGCCACCCGCCCTGGCCCGAGCCTGGGCTGGCCTCCCCTTTCCGAGAACCATGGCTTCCGAGGCTGCCCCGGGCCTGGGATCGGACGGCTGCGGGGGTCTGGATTTCTTCGTTCTTATTATTATAGATAACTCTAAAAAAATGCTTTAATCTCGTTTCTTCTAAATCAAAAAATGTGAGCTGCCTTTGAAACTTCATAATAAGAATGAGATTCCATGAATTGTACAACAGGCACTTGATCAATCTAAATACAGTTAATGCAAGTAAATGATGAAAGTTGTAGTAGAAAACAAATATCCAAAAAGAACCATCAAATAAACGAACTCTTCTTTTATTGATAGTTTTATATAAAATCTCATTTGTCCAATCAAGGGGGGTTAATATGGTTACTGGACCCACTCCACCATAGAAGGCTCATAGTCCGACGGCGCTACAAGACCATGCAAATTCATCACCGTCGCAGCAACGTTTGCAAGTCCTGCCGTAGGCAAATCCTTCCTCAATTTTATCTCTTTTGCCAATCCAGGCCCGCCGATAATAAATGGAACCTGGTGACCATGGTTTAAGTGAGGCTCAAAGATCACTACTACGAAGTTACGAAGCTTACCGGAGCACAGGTGTGAGATGTGAGGATTTGAATGTTTCCGTCCTTGTCCTTGATAGGCTCCCCAGTTTTGGGGTTCCTCTTTGCCATGTCTTCCGCGTTTCCATGGTCAGCGGTTATCACGAAAATTCCGCCAACTTGTTCAATAGCATCAACCATGAGCTGCAAGAACAAAAAAGAAAAACATCGTCTGACACAGAAAATAAAAATGCAAGGAACTTCACCTTAACAGCCTTATCGGCCGCTTCACAAGCCACAATGGTCGCCTTGAGATCTCCAGTGTGACCAACCATGTCACCATTGGGTAAATTAACCCTTATCTAAGAAGAGAAAGAATACGATGGCACGATTCAAACTTTGGAGTTACCTGATCAAACTTTTTGCTGAGAATGGCGTCCCGCGCCTTCTCACCGATTTCCAAGGCTTTCATCTTTGGCTGCTCGTTGAAAGTGATGCCAGAATCGCTAGGAATCTCAACGTACTCTTCCAGCTTGTTATCAAAATAGCCAGACCTGTTTCCGTTCCAGAAAAATGTGACATGCCCGAACTTCACAGTCTCGCTGCAAAGAGACAGTTTAGTAGCGGATACATTGCAAAGAAGAGTAAATCTTACCTGCAAGCGAAAGTCCGGACGCCGTTCTTTACCAAAAACTCACCAGAGGTTCTGTCAATTTCCGGGGGATCAACTAAATACTTCGTGGGAAGTTTCAACTCGCCATCATACTGTAGCATGCCCGCGTACCGAATCTTTGGAACACGAACACGATCAAACTTATCGAACTTCTCCCACTCTAAAGCCTTTGCAAGCATGATCATCCGATCGGCACGGAAGTTGATGGTGACAACGGCGTCACCATCAACTATCGGTCCAACGGGTTTGCCCGCCTCGTCAACGATGACGAACGCGGGACAGTACTGGTCATTGAACTTGGGGTCCGCTTCTTTGAGCTTCTTCAGCCCTTCAAGTGCATTCGTGAACTTATGAGGTGCTTCACCCAACACTTGAGCATCCCAGCCTCGTTTCACGACGTTCCAATCATTCTGGAGAGCAACACAAGTTAAACAGGGATAAAAGAGAGAAGCAAAAGAGAGAGAGAGAGAGAGGAAAACACATACGTCGTATCTGTCCATGGTCACGTACATACGCCCACCAACAGATGCAACTTGGGCGTCGCACCCCTTCTCACGTAGTTCCTTTAGATCGTTCTCTAGCATCTCCAAAAACTTAAAACTCGTCCCGTCAAGAACATCACGTCCATCCGTAAGAGCATGCACGCGAAGTCTCTTGCAGCCATTTTCCACGGCCCCTTTCATCAAACCCTGCAAATCGAGAGTCAATACCCCACACAGAAAAGCGAAAGAAAGAAGAAGAAACCTGAAGCTGGTCGTATCTAGAATGGACACCACCATCACTCAACAATCCAATGAGATGGAGGGTACCAGTAGGAAAAGCCTCCTTGATGTGATTGAACCCCTCTCCCTTAAACAGCTTCCCGGTTGCAATAGCCGAGTCGACGAGCTTCGCACTGAAATGGGAAGAACAAAAAAACTGTGAGAAAGCTCACGAGAGAAGCTCTACAAAATACCCTTGAGCAAAAATACGTCCCGCTCCCAAAGCATTGTGACCAACCTCACTATTTCCCATGTCATCCTCGGTTGGAAGGCCGACGGCAGGTCCATGCGCCTTGACAAGTCTCCACCGATCGGGGGCGGTCTAAAAGAAAAAAAGCAACAAGATCAATCGATCGAGATCCGGATCCAAAAAGCGCTTTTACCTCGCGGAACGAATCCATGCATGGAGTGGGAGCGACATGGATCGCATTGTACTCGTCCTTGATTTGCTCCCCCCATCCGTCCAACACAATCATGGCCAAAATCTTGCCTTTGGGCATGTTCGGATGCGCCTCCAGCTTCCAGTTCGTCGCATTCGACCCCATTGAGCTTCCTCCTCCTGCCGCTGCTGCTGCTTTTAGTGCTACTCCTCCTCCCCCTCCTCCGGGCTTCCTGCCAAACAAAAAGAAAGAGCTTTTAGTCAGAAAAATGGGATTTTTCCGCGAAGAAACCAATCCAGGCAGACACAGACCTTCTCTTGGCGACTTCTAGAGACGCCTCCCTGCTCAAGCGGAGAAGCAAACCCCTGGTTGACCTAAACCTTTCCCCTAATGCACCGCTATAAACACGCTCCCTTTTTTTGTCCCAGAACTCTTCTGGACTGGTGGAATGCGTTGAGTGGAGGAAATGGAAATCACCGGAGGAGGCCGCGCCCAATGACCATCATCATCTTGGAAGTGAGCGCATCAATCAATCTGCCCAACGAAAAAAGAATCCGCGTGGCCTTCCTGTGTAGCAACCTTTGGCGCTCCAAAGGACACGCGGCAGAATATCCTCTCCGAGATATTCGCGCAGGCGTGGCAAAGCTTTACCGACGTGGAGTGCAGACGTGGCACAAGCGGCCTGCGACACGCCACTGCCGCGTTGGCGCCGGAAGAAGCGGCAATTTCGCAAGGAGCTCCTGGGCATCTGCTAGATACCCTCCGCGCTGGAGGAGATCGACCATGGCGCTGTAGAGAATCTTGGATGCCTGGAGATGGAAATCTTGCTGGAGCGAGAGAAAGAACCTATTGCCGTCGTCGATCACACCGAAATGGCTGCATCCGGCGATGATCGTGACAAAGGAGCTCTCGTCGGGCGCCTGGCCGCCAAGATTCATGAGCCTAAAAAGCCCCATCGCCTCGGGCAATCGGCCGTTCTGCGCGTAGGCGAGAATCATCGAGTTCCAGAGAATGACGTCGTAATCCTGCATTGCCTCGAAGATCTTCCTGGCAGCCTCCACGGATCCATACCCCGAATAGGCGCGCAGCATCGCCGTCGACAGCACCAATCCCCGCTCGCTAACCCTAGCAAAGATCGCTGCCGCGCGCTTGAAATCCCCATTCCGGGCCAGCCCGGTGATCATCGTGCTCCATGAGAACGAATCGCGATGGCCCTCCTCCATCGCAGCGAAGAGGAGCTCGCCCTCTTCCACATACCCGCAATTCAAGTAACCATACAGCATCGCGTTAGAGAGCCCTGGGTCTCGAACGCCTGACCACTCTTCAAACACCCACCTTGCCGCCTCCACATTCCCGCAATGGGAATATGCCGCTACCATGAGCGTCGCGGATGCCACGCTCTGTACGGGCATGGAGTCGTACAAATGTTTGGCTTTGCCTGTGAGGCCGTGGGTGCCGTACGCAGCGATCATGGCATTGCACGACACCACGTCTAGAGCGGGGAGGGATTGGTAGCATAAGTTTGCCATTCCAAGATCCCCATTTAGGGCAAATCCTTCGAGCATGGTAGTCCAAGCGCATAGATCTCTCTCGAGCATCTTGTGGAAGATTTCACTTGCTCTATCGATAAATCCAGCCTCTGAAAAAGCGGCGATCATTGTAGTGCACAGGATTCGATCCAGCTCCGGGGCTTTGTTGAAGAACTCTACAGTAAAATCAATATGCCCTCTCCGGGCATATGCTGTAACCATGACTGTCCAAGTTACTAGACTCCGCTCTTTCATGGAAGCAAATAGTCGTTGAGCTAGATCTAGGTAGCCTTTTTCCTCTAAAAGCGCTAGCATCGTTGTGGAAGAAAAGGAATCTCTCTCAGGCATAGCCTCGTACAAACATTTACATGATAATAGATCCCCTGTCCGGGAATATGCTGCCAGCATTGTCGCCCAGGATACCATGTTCCAAGCAGGCATTGTCCGGAAGATTCGCTCCAAATCTTGCATATTCGTGTCACGGGAATATGCCGCTAGCATGCAATTCCAGGAAACTAGATCCCTCTCTGGCATGCTTTGGAAGATGTTTTGGACACGAGCAAAGTGCCCAGCAGTGGCAGATGCTGATAGGATCCCATTCCAGGCAACGAGATCCCTCTCTTGCATCGATCTAAACACTCGATCAGCCTCCTGGAGATCGCCGCTGCCAGCGTAGGCAACGAGTAGAATCGTCCAGGCGACCAGGTTCCACTCGGGCATTCTATCGAAGATCCGTTTGGTTTCTCGCAGATCCTGGCAGTGCACGTATGCGGATAGCAGCGCGATCCAGGTGTGTATGTTTCGACTCCTGGAGGAGCTCGGGATCTGGTCAAAAATCTCCCTCGATTTCTCGAGGCTACCGCACTCTCCATACTTCTTGATGAGGAGATTTGCGACAAAGACGTCGGAGAGGACCGATTCGCCAATGTCACAGTGAATCTTCTCCACCGCGGCTGCGGTGTCGCATGAGCGAATCTGTGAGCACAAGCTCGCTCGTCTTTCCATTTGCCCTCTTTTCTAAATCTCCTCCGTTTCATCTGGAGAGATTTCCAGACCTTCCTTCCTAGCGCTCAAACTCTCCAGATCTTCCTAGCGCTCAAGCTCTCCAAGATCTTCCTGAGAGAGATCCGATGAAACCCTAAACCGCGTTAGCTACAAAAGAAATTACGCGGGTATCGGGGCCGTTGGCGCAAAACCGAATCATGGCCGTTCGATTTAATTCAAATCGGCGGCTTAGATCGGCATTATGCATTTTCGCCATAGCCAGAAGTACGATTTTAGGGCACGGGAGTGGTAGCGTAAGATCGTGACGCTTAGGGATCAGTGTATGGCGCGGTATGGGCGGCGCGCCGGGGCGCCGGCACAGATTTTGCGATGGATTTCCAGATTCCGGGGCTCTGGAAGCTTAGATTTTACCGGGCATCGGATTTGAGAGCTCCGAGGCATGGATTCCAGGTCTGTGATCGGGGATTTCCGGAGAATGCAAGGGAATTCTGCGCGCGCTGTGATAGTGTAGCAACTCTAGTGTTACGTATGTAGCTTGGACGGGGTGGGGATGGTGTCCTCCTGCTTTGAAAATAATGCGGCAGGAGTGTCTGGATCGCAGGCATCGTCGTGCTCACAGTGCCAGTCAAAGAACTTGTAAGAATTTCTTATGTTTATTTGTTTCTAACAGTGTTCTTTCTCTCTACTTAGAGCGGACAATGTTTTGCGTATGCTTGATTGGAGACAGATTTCGCCAAGCGTAAGAAGACCTTCGAAAAGGTTGTGGAGGGATACAGCTGCATCTTCCAGTAAATGCCATGGGCATTCTCGCGAAACTACAAACGCCAAACATGCTCTAGTTAACTGGTGAGTTGATGACTTTGCTACAAACAACTTACTGAATTCCTGAGATTTGCTCTTAGGCTGGAAGCTGAGTCGTTCAAGCACTCTATTGCGAAGTATTGTTCTTTGGTGCCGGCACCAAGGTCAACTATTGCTGCAGCCTTCAGTCCGGATGGATTGACTTTAGCATCAACACAGTGAGTAAATCTCTTTGTCGACTTCTTTGTCTTGACAACACTCTTGCAGTGGCGATCATACCGTGAAAATTATATGCTGTCAAAGCGGCCAATGCCTTAAAGTGTTGAGCGGACACCGAAGAACGCCGTGGGTGGTATGTTATGGACGTTCTTTTCCATAGCATGGATCTTTTCTACCTACTTACATGCAGGTCCGTTTTCATCCTAGCAGCCCTGAAGTGCTAGCAAGCGGTAGTTTGGACTATGAAGTTCGTCTTTGGAACGCTAACACTGCAGAATGTGTTGCATCTCGGGATTTTTGTAAGCATTCGCATGGAAGTTTTGTTTCTAATAGCTGGTTTTTTCCTTTCAGACCGGCCTATTGCGTCTCTAGCATTTCACGCACGAGGGGATTTACTCGCAGTTGCTTCCGGACATAAGGTTCTACCTTCTAATTTCTTTAGCATACCATTCTAATGTTTCGATATTTAGCTTTACATTTGGCAATATACGAAAGAAGGTGATGCAGCATGTCCAAATATCGTTCTTCGCACACGTCGATCGCTTCGTGCAGTACATTTTCACCCGCTAGCAGCGCCCCTTGTACTAACTGCGGAGGTGATACTTTCTTTCTCCTCTTAAAAACGCGTCTTACGGTTTTTCTTTCTAGGTGAATGATCTGGATTCACCAGACTGTCCTATGTCCGTCGCCACATCGAGGGAGTACCAAGTGTATCCTTATACGGAACTACATTATTCGCATCCTGGTGGTGCTGCCCCTCAAAACTGGATATGGACTGGCGATGCCCAAGTGCAACGGGAGTCTCTAACCACGACTGCTCCAATGGATATTTCTCCCAGACCATCGAATGCTGCGGTACCACCACCTTCAGATGGCATGGATCCAGTGGAAACTCCAGGTTTAGTTTCGGAGACAGGCAGGGTGAGTCCTACGGTTGTTGGCGGCCCCTGGGATCCTCTCGTACTTCCTGAAGCAGCAACTGGCCAGGTGGAGAACATTTCTTTTGGTGGCGCTAGTGCTTTGCGAGTGCCATTGGTTCCGGTAGCTAGAAGACAGGAAGAAGCGGTGGAAGTTGGCACTGGCTCGGGAATCTGGCCGATTGGATTGTTCCCAAACATTCAGGCATATTCAATGACCGGACAAACACACTTGCCACGCTTTCTTCATGTGACCGAACCTGTGGTGCTGGACCCGTTTCTTCAAGGCTGGGTACGTTATGACCAGCCGGAAAACGAAGGTGAACCGCAACATCAACCTCAACCGCCCGAACCATCTGGTACGCGGAGAGGTGGCCGGAATGCAGCTGAAGGACGGACGCAACATCGTGCTCAGGGAGTTAGCAGACCTCAGTTTACTGGTTTCGGTGTTGCTGAAGCTGCCGTCACCGCAGCAACAGCAGCAGAGCTTCCTTGTACAGTAAAGTTGAAGCTTTGGCCGCACGACATCAAGCAACCCAGTGCGCTTCTTGATCCGGAGACGTGTAAATTGACCATTCCTCATGCGGTATTATGCAGGTTCGTTTTTTGGTTTTTCTTCTTTCACTTTCTGTGTTTTCGCTTTTTTCCCGTTCTGTTTTTGTGGACTAACCTTTCTATTGTCTACGTAGTGAGATGGGTACACATTTCTCACCATGCGGCCGTTTTCTCGCCGCTTGTGTTGCTTGTGTGTTACCACCGGAAGCCGAGCCTGCGCAGGGTCGAACAAATGGTCCTGGTGGCCCTGGATTTTCAGTGCAGTCTCCTACACAACATCCAATTTCTACTCAGCAAGTTATATACGAGCTGCGGATCTACTCTTTGGAAGAGGCCACGTAAGTGAATCTTGAAGGAGTTTGTTTCCTAATTGCTCTTTACAGGTTTGGAGAAGTACTCGCTTCTAAGGCTGTCCGTGCAGCACACTGCTTAACTTCAATACAGGTTCTTTTCTTCCCCATTAAACGCTCTTCTTTCTTTTTGTTCCTCTCTTTTTTATTTTCATAACATGAATTCTTATTGCAGTTCTCTCCCACATCTGGTCATATACTTTTGGCCTATGGTCGACGTCACGGCTCACTCTTGAGGAGCATCGTGTTGGATGGAACAACTACGATTCCTGTATATACAATACTCGAGGTTTGCGCTCTCTGTTTTTTGGACTCCATTGAAATTTTCCTTTTGTTTCTCAGATTTATAGAATATCAGATTTGAAACTAGTGCGAGTTCTCCCAAGTGCTGAAGATGAAGTTAATGTAGCGTGCTTTCATCCTCGAGTTGGCGGAGGGCTTGTTTACGGCACAAAGGTTCGGCAACTTTCCTTGAGATGGATGACTCGGCCTAATGCACAAATAACAGGAAGGCAAGCTCCGAATCATCCGTAGGGACTGGATCACAAATTCTTTTGGCTCGTCCAGACAACATGGGCTGGAGGATCAGCTTCTGGAGGTGAGCCTTACTCTTATTACATGTTACTCAAATCATCTCTATCTTAACAGGCAGAAACATCTGATCCCTTGACTTTTGGAATGGTGCCTGGCGATGGAGATTAAGGTAGATGCTACACTTGTTTCAGTTATATTCATTGCAGCTTTGACGCAGGAACTTCATTCGTCAAAGCGGGGTTAACCGTAAGTGCGCAAATACGACACCAAGGTCTGTTGTAGCATAATTCTTTGGTGGAGCAGCATGCAAAATGTAGGGAGCAGCTTTGAAGCCTATGAAACAGACTTTTAAGCTGCAAACCGCGTTGTTCTCGTATCATGCAAATATATGTATACTGCTTTTGTTCTGTTCTCGTCCATGTCTAGCTATAGTATGTATGATTATCGAAGACAAACGGTGAGCAGTGGTTTTCTTCTTCTTCTTTATTTGAATTTTTAGTTTTTCGTCTGCGAAACTTATGGCTAGTTTCTTCCAGGCTATGAAAGTCTAGTGAGCCATCCGGTCTTCATATGTGTAAGCAGTGCATGGTTATTATTTTCTTTTGCTTCAAAATTTCCTTTGAACTTACAGGTTCAGGTCTGACAAATGGGATGAGAAAGCTGGAAATGCACCCAGAAATCTTTCTTCTAAAGCAGCGATGGTACTCTCTAGAAGGGTCAAGTCGCTCTGGAAGTGCCTACTATATATCTTCGAGCACGCGTGCTGTCGTTTCTCAACGTGAGCCGTGGACATGGCTCTCAGAGCTGCAACAATGAGGTGGATTTCGGTGGAAGGGAATTGCAGCAGGCACTGATACCAGGTGGCTAGATTACTGAACGGTTTTACGTAGTTGTCGACGATCAAGATTGGTATTGCACCGGCACTGAGGACCTCTCCAAATCTGTAGGAGTTTGGTTGGACACCAGCAGGGACGAGGCCAAAGGTCGTATTCATGAGATCCGAGAAGGAAGAGTACTGAGAGTACAGGTTCTCATCCTCGTCGCAGTGGACTCCCAGGGAACTGTTCTCCTTCCGCTTGAGATCGTTGACAAAGTGTTTGCACGAAGTTACAACGACGATGTCAGCACCGTTGTGAAGGTTTCGGAAGCTGTCAAAGCTGCGAAGGAGGCCCTCTCCTCTGCCGATATACCTGAGTCCTTTGAAGGTGAGGAAGTACTTCCTCTCAAACGGCTTCAGGTTCTGGAACTCATGGAAGTGGTAGAAAGGCGGAAGCGGGATGCTGATGTCAAAGCCAGGTCGGAAGATGGTCTCGTGAGCTTCCGAAACGATCAACGACGCCAGGCCAATGGACTCCTCGGCAACCGCCCTCTGGCTCCACTTGTCAGCAAAAGTCACGAGCGCATGGTTGAGGCCGTTGTTCCAGTGTGGGAGGTCCCGGGGCTGCTTCTGCCATGGACTTGAAGTGTCCAGAAAGACCATGAAGATGCAGGCCTTCTCCGGATCCTTGGTATGCCACCTGGTCTCGTTGAGCTTGGTGAAGTAGCGGACAGGGGCGTTGTGGTCCTCGTACGTGAAGACCATCAAGTTGTCCATGTTGGAGCAGCGCGAGAAGTTGAAGCAGGCGTCCATGGAGCACCTGGGGAACTTTGCCGGATAGTGCCAAGTCTTGCCTTCGGCCCACCACGGCTCGTACTTGACAACGGTGGGTTGTTTTGGACACGGCTTCTCCACTTCAGCATGGACAACCTTTGTCTCGATGGGGTCGGGGGCGGTGGAGTTGGCTCCAGAGCACTGGCACTCGACGTGAGGCTTCGAAAGCGTGCCGATGGCGCCAAAGTCTACGGAGCAATTGCACAGGCCTGCAGGAAAGGTTGCAAAGGTAGCAGCAGGCACAGCTGGAGACAAGGACTTGAAATAGTTGTAAGCGGATGGCAAGCGTTGGCTGCTGAGAAGCGTCCAAGCTATTCCGGCTACTGCCAGGAGCGTCGTCATCACAGCTGCTGGTAGCAATGGAACTGGCTTGTTCGCCATGCTAGTACGAAGGTACGCGGTTCTTTTACGCTTTTTGCTCCTTTTCGTAGAGAGCAATTACTACTACCGTTGCCTCACCTCAGGTTCTTGCTGTTCTGTGCGCTGCGCTCTCGCTCTCCGTCGAGCAAGTCGATGGATCGATGGATCGTTCCTCGAGGGAAGACTATGAGCAAGTTCTTCTTGGGGATCGCGAATACGGAGGTAACGCTTGAATCTTTGCCAGTCGCAGCCAGACAAAGCAACCTCCATGTGACGTAACGCTAGTCTCGGGGCGGCTACAAAGACGTGGATGTATGTATGTATGCGCATGATGAAACTAAACGTGTTTCTCTCTTTTTTCTCTCAGGTGGCGTGAGGGAGGAATGCTTCAACAGCTTCGATCCATCAAGTAAGCTTCCACCACCTCAATTCCTGCGTCCTGCAAATGTAGAGTTCGTACCATCGCGCCTCTCTAGCGACTCACTATGAGAGTGGAAAAGGAATTTGATAATTCCACAAGATTACAATGGTAAAATCACCTTGAAACTGGATCTAACACCCTGTGATGAAGATGAATTATAAACTCTCTGCTGGCTGGGCTTAGATTCGTATTCAGTTTAATAATGCCAAACGAGTGAATGAGAAGCAAACGATTCTTTTTAGCTCAACGAAAGCAAAACAAAAAGAACCTCTGAGCTCTGCCATCTCTTGACTTGAAAATTCAAAGGTAAAACTTTAAAATCCAGAAAATATGCTGCTGTGGACCCATTATTTTTTGTAGTGGTGCTTTCTTTTCTCTCCTTTTTTCTCTGTTTATCCAAAATCACTTATCTATTTACCTTGTCCCTTTCCCTCCTTGAAATTTCAAGGTCAACAAACTGTCCTGTTTGCGTGTAAACTTTGCTCGGTGAATCACACTGTTTTCATTCACTCCACTGGCTTCCGGGAGCAACAAGTCAATGAATGCGGGGAAGAAAAACAGCAGAAATAATCAGATAAAATAGAATAACGACTCCAAAGAGATTTATTAGAGATTAGTGTGCTCGTAAAAAAGTTTATATACTTTGGCGCTAATCCCATTGATATTTGATAACTACGGGGAATCTTACGTCGTGCATCATGATTGGCAGCATCCAGGGGGTCTATCTCATCAACTGGGAGCCTCACGTATTTATATACGTCGAAAAAAAGTACGGGGGCGAGTCTTTTGTGTCCTGGCCACCAAACTCTTTGAATTGGTTGCCTTCGTCTCTTGTGTTGCACGCCATTCCGGCTAGAAACAATAATATACACGCTGGGCGCTCGCTTGCACCACCCAAACACCCACAGTTTGGACTTTGTAGAAATTCATGCATTTGGTCCTTTAGCTTTTCTGTGATGGTGTGTCCTTGTTTGCGAGAAGATGTCAAGATATTTGGTTTGATTTGAGCTTACAAGGACTCCCTGCATCAAGGGAGAACCAAATTGGTTCTCCCCTTTTCCTCCCCACAAGCCTGGCATAAATTGGCACTGGTTGGGACAAACAGCTAGATGCCATGCTGGCCAAGATAAAGACTCTCCCTTCCATCATATGTGGAGAGAAAGAACACAACAGATCAAAACTAATCTAAATTAATTAATAATAATTAATGACTTGGCTTGAATAATTGAGGGAGATTTTTTTACCCCGGGGGATGTGTTTTCACTCTGTCCACTTGAAATACAAGGTCTGGTTTTATTTTTTGTTTCTACCATGCGGCTGCCGCCTGCATGGTAAAAGAACGATTTACGTGGTGGTAACTATTTCCACATATAAATACACACAATATGTACACAAGGGCATTACCTCATTGTGACAACATTCCCTTGCTTCTCCATTTTCCTCTTATTTTTGTCCCTTTTGTTGGTTCTCTTCCTCTCTGCTTTGCTTGAAACAATTTAAAGAGGAACATACATTGAAGATCCAGAGTTATTCTGGAAAACGCACACATTTCTCTCTAGCAACTCACAGCTTGAGCTTGATGATCCAAGAATCCGAGAATCTCCTCAGTGTATGTGTGTGAATTTCCATGAGTTGTAGATAAGTTCTTAAGATACTACACTCTACCTTATAGTACCTAGCGTGCTCGCGATACATAGATATCAATTCACGAAGAGCATAGAGAAATGGCAAGCAGCAGTAGCAACAGTGGCAGCGGGAGCTCCTCCAGTCCCAATTCCGGCTACGTTCTAACCATGATCGAGAATCAAACCGATCGAACGCTGCTGCTCAAGGAAGGAAGGGGCATTTGGAGGCAAGAGATGCGGTACCAAATCGAGCCGTGGTCGACGGCAGTGATCCGGCTGGAGCTGGACGATGCGAGCCGCCACAACGCCGCGCTCGTCATGGTCTATGGCGAGGAGGAGGAGGAGGAGATCCCCGATCGCCACCACGACCACCACCGGTATCACCACTACTTGAACATGATCAACTTGGAAACTTCCCCTGTTTACGTTCCCATCGATCAGCTTCTGTGCCACAAGAGGATCGTCGTGTGCTGGAAGAAGGGAAGGTACCTGTGGACTGGTCACACAAGGTAGAAAGAGTTGTTTGCCTTTTCTTTAACCTTTTTATCGCCTTTTCTTGTCAATTTCTACTTGTTTGTTTCTCTCTTTTTTGATCTGGCTACGTAGATTTCTACTGGAACAAGTCCATATCACTTGTATCGATGTATGATCCTGAAGAGATCAGTTTGTGGATGCCTTCAATTGCTATCAAGAAGATCAAGGCTCTTATGATCTGTAACAAAGAAAAAGTGGTGGAAAAATGCGACACACCAGTAGATCTATCAATTGTTGGCTAGTGGCTTAAAAGATCACATAGATAAGGAGAGGAAGAAAAAGCTGCAAAAGAGACACAGCATCCTTTTAATTGTTTTTTACATTAGAAAAAGATTGTTGTGTATATTTCTAATATAGATCGTGAGTTTAAAATTTGTTTTGACAATTTAGCAACACTTCTATTGTTGCTTGCGGTACATGCAGCCCTGTAAAAGTATAAAATAAATTGTAAAGAAAAAACATATTTCACTTCATTAGATAACACAAATGCAAAGCATGAGCACAGAAATATTATTTGATTCATTCCATCAGTATTGTGCTTGACAAAGAACATTTTCTCTTTTAATTTAACAATAAATGCTACTTTTTCTATTGTAGATGGAATGTTTGGCCAGGACCCCACCCATTCCAAAAGGTGACGAAGAGAAAGAGAGCCCCACCCACAATCATACAAGCCGGAAGGTGTCTCCTTGGGAATCCTAGAGCCATAAGAGTGTTCTTCTGCACAATGTTAATATTAGTGGATTACATACTCATTTTATTAGCATAATAGTTTTTATGCTAGTGGGCATTACATTAGCATCTCTATAGGAGTTATTTTTTCTACTATTTCTCCGATTCTGTATGCAAGACCTCTAGAAGTTTAAATCAAATATGCTGATTCAAGAGATGTACAACTAATAGTTTCAAGCTCAACTAAGATTTAGTCCTAAGCACTTTAGGCACTTTTTTTTAATCAGATGAAGTTGAGACAAGGGGACCAAGTTGGTCACCTGAATTTGAGAATGCTGCTCTTGTTGTGTTTTGGCTTCGCGGCTGCCGTTGCCTGTGCTTGTGCCTGAGATTTCCTCTTCTTTTTCCGCAAAACCACACCGGAATCTTCCCCTTCGTCGCCTAGAGCCGCGGCACCCGGTTGGAGCGTACCCTCTGCTGCGGCATCCTCTTGTTTTTCGCCATCGCTGTGTCTGGAGCGACTTGTAGTTTGCTCTGAGTGAACTGTGGATTGCGACGGCGTGTGCGCTTGTTTTATGTCGTCCAAGGTTTCCTGTTTCGAAATCCAACACTAGTTAGATATTGCCAAGCGCTAAGCTTCAAAGGCATTGTGGAGATCTCACCACTGTAGGAGAATCGCCTTCGGCCTGCTGCATCTTGGAGCTCGTGACAAGTACCACTGGAAGGATTAAAAAAGCAAGAGGGAAATCGATTTAGCACTGTGCTGTGGAATGAGACATGTCTGCCTATCGTGATCATACCTTGCTCGAGGCCCGTTCGCGACTTGCAACGTCTGTTTTCTTTGCCCTGTGACGAGAGCACATCGATCAGCAGTGATTTGCACAGCAAAAGCCAACACTACCTTGCATGTCGTCGTAGTTTTTGTTGTACCTTTCTTGGCCCGAGTTGTTTTGGACTGTCCAGTGCAAGTGATCGTTATGCTCTCGGTTCTCTGTAGAGTCAAGGCAGCCCACTTTTAAAACCAAAAGAAAGAAGAAAACGAAAGAGGCCACCTACAAAGAAGAAACCAAGAATAAAAAAGAGACCATCTACACAGGCAAACACACTGTTCCATCGAAAATACTCCACATCCACTCAAAAACAGTCGATGAAACAGTGCCTTCCTACCTAAAGATCTACACTCTAGCCTTACGCTTACATTGTCCGATTCGAGCACCTGAGTGATATCCTGGAGCGGCCTGCGAGGAAATCCATCGGGAAGAGGGCTTCCAATGATCCCTTTCTCGCCGTCTGGAGCCACATTCTCCTTGCCCTCAGCGCACGGAGGAGGAGGAGGAGGAGCAAGAGCCGCCGCCGCCGCCTTTGTCACGATCGCTCCTCCCTCCTCCGCCATCGGGCCCTCTGGAGCTCACCGCCGTGCCACGCCCTAAAAATCTTCCCTCCTCTTCTCTTCCCTCTTCTCTTCCCCCTTCTTTGAGCTCAACGTATACAAAAAACGAGGATTCAAATTTCCAGGACCAGCGGGAACGACGTGGCAGGCTGGTTAACTATAAATCATTTCCGTTAGCCTTAAACTCACTAATTAATCACGCGGCGCTCAAAAGAGCTCGTCTCCGGCGGCTAGCCTCCGAGCCGTCGGAAGAAATGCTCTTTGGGGTTTGATAGTTTCGCGCTTCCATCGCCAGAGCCCTCTTGAAAAACTCGTAGGACGCGAAGAACAGCGCTCCCTGCGAGACGTAGATCGCCAGCCTCGGGATGAGACCCCTGGAAGCGAAGAAGGATCAATCGCGCAAAGTCGCTACTAGTTTTTGATCGAGCTCTTTACCTGTATAAACTTCGAATGCCTTCGTCTCTGGTTATCATCTGCAAGGCATTTAAGACGCTGCTGTATTGATGTTGCGATCCGATTGTCTGGAAGAAAGAAATCGCCCAAGTTAACGTGAAGGAAAGAAACTTTGCAGTCAAAGATACCTGTGTCTGCAATCTTGTCTTCACCACGTCAAAAGGTGTGGTAAATAAGGCTGCCGTCGATCCTGCAAGTCCTCCACACGCGAGCTGAAGATTTTTCCATACCCAGACAATCTGTTATCACGCTCGAAGTGATGTGAACATCTTGTCCTTACCGTCTGCAAATTTGTGAGATGCGTGTCCGGAGGAGAATCACGAAGAACACGGTGCTTCAAAGCTTCGTACGTGAAGAACTGTTTCAAAGCGTTGAGGAAAACTCAAAAGCCCAAGGCAATGCAGCTCACTTTGATAACCGATTGCGGAACATTGCGGCAGAGGACGGCTTCCCATCCTGCATACAGCGCCGGAAAGCCTCCTCTTTGTAGAATCCCAACAAAAGCCAGCCTACCATCCATGGTTTCTAATACGTGAGCAGCAGAGAATACTGAAAACCCACCAGCTATTTCGATACACTGCTCCAATTTGCATTTGCTGCTTCACACGCTCACTTGGTGTGTAAACAAGAGACGTAGCGATGCTTGCACAGCCCCCGGCAGCGCAATGAGCGAGCGAGTGGTATTCCTACATAGGAAAACAATCGAAGTTATAAATGGTTACGGTTTCCAGTGATTGTGTGCGTTACCTCTGGAAGGCGTGGTAACAACGCCGCTTTCATGGTTTCATACGTAAACGTGTAGATTGCCGATATAGGGGCCGACGACGCGAGATTGCTTCCTAAACCTCTGTACAAACCAGAGACACCTGCAAAACTAAACAAAAGAATTATCACTAATCTCCACAGAAGAAAAGCAAGAGCACTTCGAAAGTACGTACCCCTTGTAGATACAATGGACGCAACAATCGGCAAGATCGCTTGCTTCCCGGTGTTCTTGGACTGGATCACGGTCTTGACGGTGTCGAGAGGATGCAAGCACAAGCTCACAAAAACTCCAGCAAGAGCACCAGCAACCGCGTGATTTTTGCCGCAACTTGCATTCTTCCGCTTCTCTTCTGCCACCAGCTCTTCACCGAGCTTCACGTTTGTAGACTTTGGTTCGTTCGGCACAGGCGCCAAGCTTAAGTTCTCGGCGAGCTTGACGCCCAAATCTTGCGTCGAAGATGGCATGCTTTGGACCTGGGCAGAAGAAACTGACATCTCTTGAAGCTGGGAAAATCTACTTTGATCGTCGTCGACCAGTTCGTCCAGCAAGCTAGAATTAACCATCGTCGTAGAAACACTGACACCATCACTGCTGCTGCGATCAATATCTCCAAGCTTGCTCACTTTTTCCAGCTCCTGGCTTTTAAGTCTCACATTCCCGGAATTCCAAGACGTAGCCGCGCCACACCGGCTAAGAACTGAGATCGCCGCTCTATTAAACTCCAAACCTGGGCCAGCATTGCAAGAGAGGCATTTCCGGTGGAAAATCTCGCTGTAATGGAGCCGGCAGCCTCCTCGATCGCTCGGAACGAGCAAGACCGGGTCGACATAGCGATTCGCGTTCCTGAGCTGCCTGGACACGAACCTGGCGATGGATTTCACGAAACCTAGCCGCCTCCTACGCCGCTTGCGCTCGCCCTGGAGCCGGATTTCTCCACTGCTGTCGAAGAGGAGAAAATCTGGCGATGGCGCGCCCGGCGCCACGACGAGAGCGCCGAGAGACTTGGCGCCATCGCCATCGCCATCCTCCATTTCGTGTAAAACCCCAAAATATCACTTAGGGTTTTTCAAAATGGAGAACTCGATCAATCCGGCGAAGCCAATCCAGAGAGTCCTCCTTGTGATCGGTAAGTCCTTGCTATGTCGATGGATCGTCCTGATCACAGCGTCCCTTAAGCAATGCACGCCGAGGCGATGCCGATCGTGGATGTGCTCAAGCTCACTCAGGCCGATTCGGCAATGTAAGCCCCCAAAATCCCTCGCACTGCTCGTCTTAGCTCGGATTTGGATCACTTCTGTGCTCTTGCTTGGATCAGTTTTCCAAAGGGCGTGCCGTGGATCCGATACACTGGGAGCCTGGAAGAGGGACTACTCGACATTGATGTGGTAGTGCCTGGGAAATGCCCCATTTTTGGTACGCGAGTCTTTCTTTGTTTCTCTTGCTTGGTGTTCTTGTTGCTCTTTGTGTTTTAGCAATAGATTCTTCGTGTTCTTAGCAAGTCCTATGATAGTTTGGATTTATTTCTCGTGGTGGTGGTAACTTGACAGTTTGGTTCTTTCTCTTGGAAAAAATTTTGTGGCAAGTTATCTTTGTGTTCTTAGCAAGTCTATCTATGATAGTTTGGATTTATTTCTCGTGGTTGTGATTTGGTAACTTGATAGTTTGGTTCTTCTCATGCTTCAAGAAATTTTGTGGCAAGTTACCTTTGTGTTCTTAGCTAGTCTATCTATGATAGTTTGGATTTATTTCTCGTGGTTGTGATTTTGGTAACTTCATAGTTTGGTTCTTCTCATGCTTGAAGAAATTTTTGTTTAGTTTCCATCGTGATTTTCTTTGGTAACTTGATAGTTTTGGTTCTTCTCATGCTTGAAGAAATTCTCATCGTGATTTTCTTTGGTAACTTGAAAGTTTGGTTCTTCTCATGCTTGAAGTAATTGTTGTTTAGTTTCCGTGCTTCGTGATTTTCTTAAAACAAAGTTTTTGAAGTAGTTTGTGTTCTTGGCAGGAGTAGACAACGTAGGAACTGTACCATTAGCTCTTGCGACATTCGCGGCGATCCAGGCTCTACAACCCGACCTGGTGATCAATGCTGGAACTGCCGGCGGATTCAAGGTGACGAATGATAAGCTTGCATTGGTGGTGGATCGATCGAATTCCTTTTACAAACCTCCAGGCAAAAGGAGCTTGCGTTGGAGACGTTTTTCTCGCGACTCAAGTAGCCTATCACGATCGAAGAATCCCCATCCCGGTGCGTCCCTCTTATAACTTTTTAATTTGATCCTCCGTTCTTTTCTTCCTTGTTGTTCCAGATCTTTGATACGTATGGCATTGCCACCACAAAGTGTACCGCAGTCCCAAACATGATCGCTGCTCTTGGTTTCAAGGTTGACTCTACAAGCATGCTTTAGTTTCTTATAAGCTCTCTCTCTTTTATCAGGAAGGCAACCTCTCGACTGGAAACTCTTTAGACATGACCCAGCAAGACGAGCAGCTAATCAAATCGAACGACGCCTCCATCAAAGACATGGAGGCAAAGCGCAAATTCAAAAGCTTGCCTTTGTTTTTAACTCGTTTCGTTCTTCGCAGGGAGCAGCAGTCGTGTACGTGACAAATCTCCTGTCAGTTCCAGCGATTCTTCTCAAGTCAGTCACTGACATCGTCGACGGCGTGCGGCCCACAACTGAAGAATTCTTAGAAAATCTCTCCACTGCGGCAGTGGCACTGCTCAAAACCGTCGTCATGGCACTGAAATTCGTCCATGGCAAGACCGTCACCGAGTTATAAGAACGCAAAAACACACCAATGGACATTAAACCGCTTCAAATACTTACAGGAAATCCTACGTACCTCTTCTCGCGAACAATATCAAAGAATACTTATTCTCATCAATAGTAGAGCTTGCGGGTCGACTGGCACCAGCCGTGGTAGCAGCCTTGGATGTTTGGCCAGTCGGACGAGGAACCAACGTACTCGGTGAGCCACATCGCGAGAACAAGCTCCTGGTAAGAATCGGGCAGGCGCTGGATGACTTTGGACAGGATTTGCTCCGTGTCGATCTTATCCGAGGAGCTCAGCGTCGTCTCGTCGATTGCATGGCTGGTTCTACACAGCAGCGGCAGCCAGAGAAGCAACAATCGCAGAGTTACCTCGGGCTGGAGCTCCACATCCAGCGAAACGAGCCCAGCACAAAGAAACGCTGCAAGAGAGAAACAAAGAACAGAGTTGGCCGGAGGAAGAAAGAAAGAAATTATGGTTGCTACCTGAGAGCTTGACGAGGAGCTTTTGGACTCTAGAGCTGGAAGTGAGAGACCACTGGGCTAGTTGGGTGGCGGAGCTCCAGTGGAGTATGGCAACCTCCAGCGCCGAGTTTTGCTTGAGGCGCTGCGCCATCCACAGCAGCTCGTTGGCCAGCTTCTCCGCCACGATCTCGCTGCTACTGCTGCTGCCGCCATCGCAGGCGCTCGACAGTCCCGCGGGAACGATCATCTGCATGAGTGGGTTGTGTAGCGCGGTGCCAAATCCGTCCTTGAGGGACGTGAGCAGCGGTGGAAGGCAGTGGAAGATGAGCGAGAATGGGAGATCTTTGAGCATTCTCCACGGCCACGCCCACGCCTCGACCTGCTGTTGGCGATGCAAGCGCGCCAGGCACTTGGTGAGCAGGAAGACAGTCCGGGAGAATCCCCCTTCCAGCGCACGGATGTTGATCTCCTTGAGCACCGGGCCGCCATAGCGGGAGTTGTCCGCGAGGATCCTGTCCGCCAGGGAGCGAGCGAATTCATACTTGCGCGACGTTACGGGGATGTCGATCACGAGATCCAAGACCTGGAGCGATGGAAATCGATCAGCGATCACGAAATATCCATCCAGTGATTCGAAATATGGATCGTACCTGGCAGAGCGCCCGCCCGATCGAGGATCTGACGAGCGATTCTCCTTGGCGGATCCATTCGCGCCTATTCTCCGGGACACAAATGCTCATATTGCCGCCGCTCACGTCCGCGTTGCCGCCGAGAATGGGGATTTCGAGCGGGACAAGGACGAGCAGCGTCCTAGCACACCATGCAGCCGCGCCGATCACCAGCGCCATCGTTGGATCGAAAAACCTTCCTCATGCTCTAGAAGAAAGAATCGACCGAGCAAGAGACCCTAGAATCGCAGCCATGCTCAAAGGAGAGAACCTAACGCTCAAGCCGCGCCTGGATTCCCTACCTAAGACTGCCACAAATCTGGCCGAGCCAGTGTTCTTGAATGGAAAATCTGGGAGTTCGGCAAATAGATGCTCTAGGATATTCGCCGGATCTGAACAGACGGCGGGGATGCGTCCAAACGAGCCCTAGATGAAGATTTATTGGCGGCTAGGGTTAACAACGAGGAGGGCCGAGCGCGAGCGCGATGGCGGGACTGGTGCGTGATTGCTTCTCTTTCCTCGTCGATTTGCAGGCGCTCAGCTGAATTCTCGCGCAGGTACTCCATGTGAATGCCGGGATCAACAAAAATGCGCACAAAGTTCTCATCGTGGCCGAGATTGTGGGAGTCAAGGTCGATCTGGTTCCTGATTTCGAGATGGGAGTGAGCAACAAGACGCCCGAGTTCTTGAAGCTGAATCCGTTGGGAAAGGTGAGAATTTTGGATGAGCGCTGGGCGATTTGTGATGAATTTTCTTTTAGGTGCCCGTGCTAGAGACACCGGATGGTCCGATCAGTGAGAGCAATGCGATTGCTAGATACGGTGAGAAGATCCTGGTTTTGGCAAGAGACGTACTAACATTGTTTGCTGGATTTTCAGTGGCCAATCTCAAGGGAAAACTGACCGGGTCGACAGTGTATCAGACTGTAAGTAGCATTTGTTGTGCTTCTATCTTCCATGTCTAGGTTCTATGTTTACGTTTTTGCTTTTTTCTCTCTAGGCCCTCGTTGATCAGTGGATTGACTTCGCGACTACCGAAGTCGATACCAGCTTGGGGAGGTGGTTGTATCCACGCTTTGGATACCTCCCTTACGCGCCAGAGGTTTGTACTTTGCTTCTTCTAGCTGTTCTCCAGGCGTTTGTGACTTGTGTAATTCTTGTGAAGGTGGAAGAGCATGCCATTGAGGCGATCAAGCGGGCTTTCGGTGCCCTCAACAGTTACCTCGCATCTCGGACATATCTCGTGGGTCACTTCGTTACCCTGGCGGACGTAATCACAATCTGCAACTTGACCTGGGGATTCCGGTCGGGAGTTTTTTCGGAGGAGTTCATGGCCCCTTTCCCTCACGTCGAGAGATACTTCTGGACCGTTTCCGCTCAGCCGGCGTTCAAGAAAATCCTCGGGGAGATTGTCCGTGGTTCAGTGGAGCTCCCCCCTCCCCCTGCCAAGGGACAGGCACCGCGAGGCTCGCAGACTCCAAGGCCATCAAAGGCGAAAGCGGAGGCTCCCAAGCCCAAGCCCAAGGAAGAGGCGCCACCCAAGCCGAAAGAGGAGGCCCCGGCCGCTGATGAGGAGGAGGCTCCCAAGCCGAAAGCCAAGAATCCTCTCGACTTGCTGCCACCGAGTCCCATGGTTTTGGACGACTGGAAGAGGCTCTACTCCAACACCAAGGCCAAGGACTTCGCAGAAGTTGCTCTCAAAGGTACAAGTGGTGTTTCCATTGATCGCTTGAAAATGCTGATTCTGATCTCTTCCCTTGCAGGATTCTGGGACATGTATGACCCCGAGGGATACTCCCTGTGGTTCTGCGACTACAAGTACAACGATGAGAACACGGTGCCTTTCGTGACGATGAACAAGGTGTCGGGATTCCTGCAGCGCATGGATTTCATCCGGAAGTACGCGTTCGCCAAGATTTGCATCCTGGGCGACCAACCGCCGTACAAGATCAAGGGGGTGTGGCTGTTCCGGGGGCCGGAGATCCCGCAGCAAGTCAGGGACGAGTGCTACGATCTGGAGCTGTACGAGTGGACCAAGGCCGACCCCACGGATCACGTCCACAAGGAGCGCATCAACGCTTACTTCGAAGAGCCGGACGTGATCGAGGGCGAGAAGCTGCTCGAGGCTAAGTGCTTCAAGTGAAGAGAGGCGGTGTTTTGTTTTTGGCTGGCTTTTATATTCTATACGGTCGTATTCTTTTTTGTTCCTGCAGTAGAGTTTCCATCAATCACACCTTGGGTGATTGCGAAGCAACGCATGATCAGATGTGGTAACTCGCTGCCAAGAACAAAGTGTGGAACTCGCGACGATTTTTAAAGTGTATTGTCGTTGTAGTATAGTGGTGAGTATTTCCGCCTGTCACGCGGACGACCCGGGTTCGATCCCCGGCAACGGCGAGAGTAGGATTGGTGTTTAATCCTTCATGCCATATATAGATAGCAAAGAAGTTACCGCTACGTAGAGAAGAAGAATTTTTTCAAGAGGTTTAAGATACTGGTGTATCATTGGCAACAACAAACCAATAAATTCGATTCATTTCATGATCATGAGAGTTTGCGGTCGAGGTCATGGACTCGTAGAGTCGATCATCATACGTCAGGTTGGCATTGATGGCGTTTTTTTATGCTTGTTTACTGTGGAATCTTAGCGCAAAGAGTTCTTGCATTCTTCACTGGCCATGGCGGAAGGAGCCACGCACCGCATTATCGTACTAAAACCGAAAGGAGAGAAAGATGAATTTTGCGACAATGATTTGATCAGGAGGGCCGACCGTGCTGCTGCTCCATGGCTTCCCTGAGACGTGGTATACATGGAGGTTCCAACTCAAGGCGCTGGCGGACGCTGGATTCCACGCCGTTGCTCCAGACTTGCGAGGCTTTGGGCTCACCGAGTGTCCCAAGGATTCATCCGGCAACTTGAAGCTCTCGCCCCTGGATCTCCTGGGAGACATTGTGGGTCTCGTCTATGCCCTTGGAGGAGACCCTGTACGTGATCCTTGATGAGCTCTTCCTTCCTACTGTTTGTAATCCTCTCGATCGTAGGTGTTCGTTGTTGGTCATGACATTGGAGCATTCATCGGCTGGAACATGTGTCGCATGAGGCCGGATCTAGTGAGAGCCTATGCTTCTCTTGGAGTTCCCTTCACGGGAGCCGGAGGAGCTCCACCTTTTGGATTTCCCACGGAAGAAGGATTCTACGTGAATCGCTTTGCTGTAAGTCCGTGAATGCTGCTGCTCACGGCTGATCTATAATTCGTTTCCAGGTGCCTGGGCGAGCCGAGAAAGACTTCGCTCGATTCGACACGGCCACCGTGCTCAAGAACATTTACACGCTTTTCTGCCGGTCCGAGCTCCAGATCGCCGGGCCTGACGAGGAGATCATGGATTTGGTCACCACCTCGGACACCACCCCGAGTTGGCTCACCGAGGAGTTTATCAAAGTCCAGTCGGAGCTCTACGAGAAGTCCGGTTTCGAAGGCCCGTTGTGCTTCACGTATCGCAATCTCATGAGGTTTGTACGCGCGTTTCCTGGATCGAGTTTGATCGATTTTGGGCGCAGGACGTTTGAGCTCTTGGCTCCCTGGATCAACATGGCAGTGACGAGCCGCTGCCTCTACATCACTGGCAAAGACGACTACGTGCGCAAGGTCCCGGGCCTGGACGAGTACGTGACCGGCGGTGGAATGAAGCGAGACGTTCCCAACCTTGTCGATGTCGCTGTTGTTCCCGGCGGCCATTTCGTGGAGGAAGACTCGCCCGAGGAAGTGAACTCCTTGCTCATACACTTCTTCAAAGAGTAAAGCACCGCCATTCCGGAAGTGATAGCAGTAACAACAAATATTTGGGTCTACTGATTGTCTAATGTCGTTGTAGTATAGTGGTGAGTATTTCCGCCTGTCACGCGGACGACCCGGGTTCGATCCCCGGCAACGGCGAGAACTTTTTGACAGATGTTTATCTAAGCATTGTGCTGCTCTCGACTCTGATAATTGTGCTTGGTTGGAACTAACAAAGCTTTTACGGCGGCGCACCGCGCGTCATGGACGAATGATATATACCGCGCGTCATCCTCTCACAGTAGTGACTACATTGTATCTATTGCCATCTATATCGATTCCCTGCGAGGATGATCCCGAAGGATCTGTGGACTTTTGCGAGCTTGCGCGTGATTGCTCTCCACTGCTACCCACCAATTTCGAGCGACTCGCCTCAGTGCGATTGCTCCCAAGCGCAAGAAGAAGCAGCACTGCCAAGAGCAATGCGTGAAACTTGCGAGCCATGACAAATGGATGGAAATACCTCGCGGTTTTATAGATCCCAGCGACTGGTTCCACTCCAATCGGTCGGACAAGGTCCAGCGTGCGAACGAAGAGCCAGACAAAAGGACCGCGTGCTGTTTCTTCCGACTCGAATTTTAAAAGACTTTCCACGTAAAAATCGTTGAATCGAGAGTTCGTTGCACCTTCAACAAAGCAGAAGTTAGATCGTTTTACGTGAAAATTCCGGCAGAGGCAGGACGGAAGTTTGCTTACCATGACATGTCACTGCAATAACACAAAACGATCTTATAAGAAACTTACACAGTTTGAGTTGAACCAGAATATGCTCGCTTTGTAACCGCCACAATTGGCGCGGCAGCATGGAGGCGTCCGAGACGAGCACTGCCAGCCAAGACAAGATCATCGAGGGGCTCACCGAGGAGCAACTGCGAGAGTTCAGGGATGCCTTCAGCCTCTTCGACAAGGATGGAGATGGTACTCTTCTTGTCTTCCTGAAAAAAAGAAGCAACTGAAAATGAAGCGAAAGAGAATAGAAAAACTTACACACTCGTCACCGTCGCCAGGATCCATCACCACCAAGGAACTGGGCATTGTGATGCGTTCCTTGGGACAAAACCCCAGCGACACGGAGCTCCTGGACATGATCAACGAGGTGGACGTCGATGGCAACGGCACAATCGACTGGACAGAATTTCTGGTGCTCATGGCCCGCAAGATGAAGGTATGTACCCTTGTCGCGAGCTTGCTTCTTGGGACAAGCTGAGTGATGCTCCCCCAGATCTTTCCATGATCTTCACAGGACGCAGATGCCGAGGAAGATCTCAAGGAAGCCTTCACAGTCCTGGACAGAAACAGAGATGGTTTTATCACAGAGATTGAGGTAACGAGAAAAAAGAAAAGCTGTCTTTTTTCTCTTTTTTATACGTACGTATTCCCTCGCAGTTAAAGCATGTTATGCACCAGCTCGGCGAGTCGTTCACGGACGAAGAGATCGCAGACATGGTGAGAGAAGCTGACACAGACAAAGATGGCAAAGTTAGCTACCCCGAGTTCGTAAAGATAGTCATGCCAAGGCAATAAGAAAATTGGTGAAGTACCTGACTTATAGTAGTAAAAGCTCGGGTTTGCTGCGTAACTGACTTTTGCAGCTTTTCTCCCATGTAACGAGCTAACGTCGAGATAGCCACGCCAGGCACGTTGGTGTCAGTGGACGATAGGACTGATGGCAATCTTGGTGTTGTCCCGGTTTTCCCTGTCTTAAACACTCTAAACCGGTGCACAATGCGTTCGGCATTTTGAGCATTTTAATACGATGCCGCGAAGAATCGTGTCTCAGCTCTGGACGGTACAGCAGCACACCCGGCATTCTTTGCGTTTCTTCCTGTTCCCGGTCCCCTGGTTTCGCTGGACGCCTACACACCGTCATATGCCTTTGCTCCCGTCGTCGGACATGCTGTTGCCGTCCTGCTGCTGCTGGAACAGCAATGACGACGAGTTCATTGTTCCTGCTGCTACTTGTAACGACGGCGTGCATGATGAGAGACGCGTCGTCGATCACAAAAGCACCGCCGCCCGACTTGCTGCCGCCAGGTGAAAGGCCTCTGTCTTGGCAGCCACCTTTTCAGTCGAGTTCGCCAGCACCAGATGGACCACAGCAGCAGGAAAGTAGCAGCCGTCCACCTTTTGCTTTTGAGCCGAATCCTAGCTTTTTCCCGAATCCACCCCAGTCCAGTCCACAGCAGACTCCCGGCCCAGCATTTGTGATAGAACCTCTTGCACCTGGTGCTGCTAACGATCACAGACTGGCGTCTCTAGCTCCACAGGCGTCCGACCTGTCGTCGCTTGCGCCGTCGTCTTTTGATTTTATAGCACCCGCTCCGCCGACGTCTTCTCTCAGACCGCCGCCATCTTCGACTGGACGCAGAGAATACGAAGGGGTCTTCAGCGTGGATGACTTTGGAGCCATTGGGAACGGCATCGCAAACGACACCCAGGTACGTACACGATGCTCATTTTTCTGTTTCATTCACGAAGCAGGGCCGTGGTTAGTGCAGTCCTTTATCAGCACCTGGCAGCGGGCATGCCGGCAAAGGAAAAACAAAAGCTCTATGATGCTGGTGCCAAGTGGGCAAGTTTACCTCGTGTATCCAGTCACGCTAAAAGGTCCATGCCAAAACAACTTCACTTTACAGGTATGGCTTGCGACGACGCCTCTCACCTTTATATCAAAATAATACCAGATAGATGGGAGCGTCATAGCACCTGATAACCGGAATCTGTGGAAAGGCTTCGACATCCAGACATGGATTCTCATAAAAAGAGTCACGAACTTTAGACTGGTTGGAACGGGTACAATTGACGGGAAAGGCCAAAACTGGTGGATGCAGTCCTGCAAGCGCAACGTTAACGAAGTAAGCTTTTGCATCGAGACGTTAAAAAGACAGACTACTCACCTCTTTTTTTCTTAGCCATGTCGACGAGCACCTACAGTAAGTATTCGCCACTGCTTTTTTTCTATAAAGAAACTGGAAGTCTCTTTTCTTGTAGGCACTTACTTTCAGACATTGCCAGCACGTTGAAGTGGACGGGCTGACAATCACCAACAGCCAGCAAATGCATCTTGATCTTTCATCTTGCTCGAATGCAGTTTTGAGGCACTTGACGGTTTCTTCGCCAGAAGACAGTCCCAACACGGATGGGATACACCTCGAACGTTCGGAATCGGTGTCAATAGTCCAAACCACCATTTCCACAGGTACTTGTTGTTGAAAGTTCGAAAGGTTGTTATCTTATTATCCTGATAGGTGACGACTGCATATCCATTGGCCCCGGCACATCACACGTCGTAATAGAGGATGTCTCCTGCGGCCCTGGCCATGGAATCAGGTGCTCAGGCAAGAGCTAGAGTTCGCTGCCTCACCTTTTCTCTTTGATGATGTAGCATCGGAAGCTTAGGGAAGAAAAGGCAAAGTTTCGACCGCGTCTCGCATGTAAAAGTCCGAAACGCTTTCCTAAGAGATACACAGAATGGCCTGAGGATCAAAACATGGGAGGTAAACGAAGTATTACCGACTTTCAAAACGTTGGTTTGCTTGTTCTGTGGCAGGGTGGACGAGGATGGGCACACGACTTCGTCTTCGAACACATTACCATGCTGCGTGTAAAAAACCCAATCCTTATTGATCAATATTACTGCGACCACGAACACTCTGGAACCTGCACACCAAAGCGGGTAAGCAGGCTTTTATTGAGGTGTATACTTACTTGGAACCGCAGATGGCAGGAGCGTCGAAGCGAGGACTTCTAATAAGTAACGTAAAATATTCAGACATAAAAGGATCCTCTGCTTCACAAGTTGCAGTCATGTTTCGTTGCAATCCGACGAATCCTTGTCATAAGATTTCTCTCGACGACGTGGCCTTACAATACAAGAACAGCCAAGCTAGCAGCTTTTGCCAAAACGCTTACGGATCATCTGCGAGATACGTACTGCCACCGACATGCTTGCTATCTGAAAGCAAGTACAAACAATCCCATTGGAACAGAAACAGGAGTAGACACACCTGACAAGTCGACCATCTGTTAACGCTATTTTCTAGTGCTTCCAGATTTAAAAGCTGTAGATTGCTCCAATAAAAAACTAGTCAGATTCAGCCGTGATACATCAGCGAAAACGAGAAAGCTCTGAAAAAAAATTAACTCATACCTTGCACTAATAACCTGTACAAGAAGAAAGCTCTTGGAGCTCTTGTTTTCGAAGTAGGACTTGATCTAGTGGACAATTGACGACGATGAACGAAGAGCCGCTTTCAGTCTTCGCATCCACCTCCACTGCTCGGTGCCATAGAAGACGAGTCCCATCCATCAAAAAACTTCAAAGCGTGACTCAATGCGTCCAGGTTCAGCACAGCTTCGATGTCTTGCTTTCTCTTCTTCAAATGACTGCAAACAACACGCAAGCTCGCATGAATTCCTGACAAAAATCCCAGTGGACAACGTACTCTATATAAACCTTGGCAGCATGAACCTCCTTCCGAGGCTTCTCACCACGTTTGTACATATTCCTTAGTGCCGAGATAGAATCCTCGTTTCTATGAAAGAAACGCTGGGTGTTCTTTCGGTCATCTCTTAAGCTGCAACAAGAAAAGTTTCCGCAACTTAACTTAGTGAGCACAAAAACCTCTTGGGGAAAAGCCTTACGTCCTTCTTGTCATACGCTCTCTTTCTCTGGGTGATGGAACTTCGGTGCTGATGTTCCAGGCGCCCCACATTTCCGGCCTCGCAAAAAACCTGCTAGGCCTTTGGATCTGAAAAGAAGAAACGAGTAAACAAACAAACTTCAATTTAAAAGAGAAAACAAAAGCTTACCCGGAACATCCTCGGCGCATCCTCGGCCTTGGCACCAGGAGGACGAGGCTGTCTCTTAAGTTTCGGAAGATACCAGCACTGGAGAGCCCGGAGCTTTGGGTCGTGAACGCGAGTTTCCACGGTACAGATGTTATCCAGCTTCATGTGTGACACCTCCCGGGTAAACTTTGGATTCACCCTGCTAACAGGCGCGCTCCTCCATTTTATAGGACGCTTCTCAAGTGGATCGGCAGTGGACTCAATATCCACAAAGTCATGGATTTCTTTGGCCTACACAGGAAATAAAACCCCTCACCATTCTCATCCTTGGATCTATCCCTGTGCTCCAGGAAAATCAAGACCAGAACGCGACGACGCCGGACATCGAGCAGGACCGAATCGAAGAAACCGGAAATCGAAGAAAATGCCCATACATGTTGCGGCGGCGGCGGCATGACGTGATCCCCCGGATCATAGTTCACAGGATAGCCGATGCGGCCCGCTGTGGCGACACGCACAGCGGGATGCATTGACGAACACGGCGTGCGATCAAATCGCCGAGCTCCAAGAACCCTAAAGAGTCCTATCCCTAATTTTGAGGCGCCAAATTGGCGAATATTCCCCAATAAGGTCGCAACGGTTTTTAATGCTTACGTGGCAACGGTGGTACTTCCAACACGGCGTAGAGCTTTACAGAAGGAAGAGCACTTCTTCCCATCCAAATCTCGTCACAGCAGCTGCTTTTCATAGAAGGCGTTTTGGAGCTGCTTGACGTGAGCGAGCCAGGCAGCAGCGTTTTGGCCATCGACCGTGATCCAATCCACCGCGGTTGCAGCTGGCTGCTCCCACCACTCGTTCACCTGCGCGAGAAGTAAATCTCGTGTCAAATCCAGCTGATGAGACGAGAAGTAAGATTACCAGGCCGCGAACTCGATGGCAATCTTCCAGGCACTTGTGCGCTTCGAGGACCGCGTGCTTGAGACTCGGTAACCATTCCTCGAGAGCAATGAGCTCCTGCTCTTTGGTTGTCACAGCACACGCGTTCGCAGTTCTGGAGCAAAGCATCCAAAGGAGTGAGACTTGGAAAACGTTTATCTGGTGTTTTTGTTCTTTACTTTTCGTAGTCGGGTCTGGAGATGTTTGCTGCTGTCAAAAGAGCTCGTCCGCTGCCAACGAGATCTCTCAGTGTCTGAACCAAGTTGATGGAGCGCGCCAGGTTTTCCAGAAGGCTCGCCGGAGAAGAGCAAGGCTTGAGACAGAACCTCAGCGCTTCCACAATGGCTATCATGCCAGCATCTTGTGCTTCAGCTCCTACAATACGAAAAAAAAGAAAGAGGAAAACTTGTTTGACGGATGAAACAAATTTACATACCTTGCGAGTATTGTGATGCTGCAGCTATCCGGCAGATTGACGCCATCGCTGAAGGGTCGCCTGCACCAGCTCTGGCAGCAACCATGTCGGCATTTCTCTCCGCTGCCGCTATCGCCTCAGGGCCTAGCATAGAGCTGATTCCCATGGCTTCAACGAGTGCCTGTAGTTTTTTAAAAAACAAAACAGCCTTGAGCAGAGAAAGAAAAAGTTCCAATTCACACACCTGAGGTGTGACAGGCAGCATATACAGCCGGTTGTCCGGGCTTCTCTGAAAAATGGTGGCTTCTCTTTCTAAGAGGTCCTGAGCACCCACGGTCTTCTCTTGTACCATATTACAGACAGGAAGTATTGTGTTGGCAGAATGCTCGAATGCTGCGGCCGGATGTTGCTCCCACGCAGCAGCAGCTGCCTACAAATTATTCGTGAGATTTTCTCCAGACTGCCAAACTTGCCTATGAAATGCTAAGCTGCTCCTTACCATATTAGCTCGGATCAACGCCGTGTAAACAGATTCCAGCTCCCTGCGGCGGGCGTCGAACTCCTCGATTCTTTTCCACTTTTGCCTCAGGGAATCCTCCGCTTGTTTTCTTTCTTCGCATAGCTTTTTCAAACGTTGAACCTCCAACGTAAGTGTCGCTACGCTTGCCTTGACACCAGCTAACTGCCGCTCCTTGGCCCACACCTCGCACTAAATAACAAACGGCTTAGCTCGACGCACGAAATAGAAGATGAGTTACCTCCAGTTGGCGAAGCCCTCCCTCGTTCTGGACGTAGTCGAGCTCCGTTCCACCAGTGAGCGACTTGATTAACTTGTCGCTTGCAGCTTTGGCCTCCGCAGCTTCGTTCAATGCTTCTTCCGTTGCCATAAACTGCTGAACATGAGCTTTCTGCAACGCAAAAGACACTTTCATGACTAGAAGAAAGACAAAAACCTTGTATTCCGCTATACCTGTCTCTCGCGAATCTGCCAATTCGTTCTCCTATTAGACATCTCCAATCCAACTTTACCGCTAAGCTTCTTCCCAAGTGGTGAATCTTCTGGCTCAGTGGACAAATCATCCACTATTTCGTTGTTCTCGTACTTGTACCTGGTACAAACACCAAGTTAGAATCCTACACTTCATGTAGATTAGCACCACTCACAAACCTCAGCTTCTCTGCGTCCGCTCGGATGTCGATCCTCTCCGTTTCTTTGGTGATCAAAGCAACGATTCGAGCAGTATAAGTCGCCATCGCCCGCAAGAGCTGCGTTGGATTCTTCAAGAGGCTCAGTGCAGCCTCCCTGATATCCTCAGCCATGCCTTCTCCATCATCAAACCCGAGCTTTGCAACCTCGGTGGCCTGAGCGTCACCTTGGCTCTCTCGTCCTTCGTACGAGGGAAACGAGAGCGTGATCTTCTCAGTAAGCTGTGACGATAGCAGCTCGCATGCCTTTCTTATACTCCTTTCCTGCGCAGTCTCTATGAGGATCTGATCGTCACCTTTGATCGACGTTGCATACACTGTGTCCTGCTCTTTCTTGGACTCCGCAAGCTTCCCTCTTTGTGCCTCTCGAGCACGGTCGACATACCTTGCCAATCTTCGCCGGTACTCGGCAAAGATCCGCACAGTCTGCTCGCATCGCTGATCGAACGATTCAAGCTGGACTTGTTTGTGCCTGGTTTCCAAGAAGGAAAAACGAAGAAAAAAAGGTAAGAACTTAGTTCTCAAGAACTTCGAGAGACCTATAGTTCTTACCTCGAATTAAACTTGTCATCCAGAACTCGCTGGCGCTCGCCCTCCTCGCGAGAGAGATCCAGCATCCTGCTCTTCACGTCCTTTTGCAGCCGCGCCATCACACCTTTCAATCTCTCCACCTCCTTCTCCGCGGAATCCCTCTCCGCGAGAGCTCGCTCCTTCGAATCATCGCCCTCCAGAGCCTTGCTCTCGCGTTCTTTCTCCTCCTTGGCAGCGGCAGCGGGGGTCTTCTCGCCCCTCCCCTTGAATTTCCCATCGCCTCTCTTCTTCCCGGCCTTGGTGGTGGCAGCGGCGCCGCCCTCCTCCCTGGCTTTCCCATCGCCACTCTCCTCCGCCGCGCCACTGCTCCCGCCATGTACGAGGATGTTCCGCCGCACAGTCTCCACCGTCTTGTCGGATTTCACCCTCTCCACCAAGAACTTCCACACGGGCAGCATATTTCCGCGGCACAGCCGCCGCAGCGCCTCGGGCGACGGCAATGCGTGATCCCCAGCCGATCTGTAGCCGATCTCCTCTTGCAGCCATGCCAGGATCGCCTCCGCCTGTGGCGCAGCCGACGCAGCTCCCTGCATTTGCCCGAATCAACACTGTTCGCTGCTACTAGAATGCAGTATCCCAAAATGCCAGCGCCGACGCCGAGATCCGGGCCTCATCCCTGCGCTCAACACCTTGATCACCCAGGACGATCACTAAGCCCTAGACCCATACCCGTACAACTCATGGAGTTTAAAATCTACCGTACGTTTTGAGGTTTCTATAGAAACTTTCTTTCCGTACAGTTTATCTACCGTACAGTCTCTTATCGGAAGGAAGGCCTAAACTTGGGGTCCTTCGTCGCCAGTAGAGCATGCTCGAGGTAGCGAAGCGCACTTCTACGCGTTATAGAAGCACCACGATCAACTTTGACCTCCATAGATTGTGGGCTTAGCTCTTCGTATTTGCCCGCTCAAGCTCCTCCGCACCAAAAAGCCCAGTGTAATTCGTTTCGCCTGCAACCGAGTGAGTCTCGCAGGGACATCATCTTTAAACATGAGGCTCAGGTACAGGTACACAGTACTCGCCACCTTGTAGCACGCAAAATATGAGCTCAGTTTTTCAACGTTGCAACTGTTGGTCGACTCCCCGATTAGAGCAAACCTGGAGGAACTGTTGGCTGGTTTCATCAGAGCCCGGATAGAGGGCGAAAGCAAACAGCGAACGTCTTCTCCTGGCCTTCCTTTCCCACCGGCCACTTGTCAATGCCCTTGGGTATTGTTAGCATGAGAAAGAACTGCCAAATCAACCGTGAGCTCGAGCATTACCGCAAAGACAGGGTTACCTTTTTGCAGATTGCAAAATCGGTAATAAGCGAGTGCGCCGCCTTGATGGCTTCGGTACTAAGCACGATTAACTTAGTTGCAAATACATATAACTCACCTTAACGAGCTTCAACGTAGAACCATAGCACTGACTTGTATAAACGAGGCGGTCACGATTTATCGCCAACTCGATAATGTCAAATGCCCCGCGGATGAGCCGAGTCGCGCCGGTGGCCATGAGCGCCCCTGCCATTTTAAACACCTCCTGCAAACCCATGCCGGATAGCGCTGCTCCGTCCTTAGTATCCATAGACAATACAAACAAGACGGTTACGGAAAGCACGAATGAATGATCCGGCCTCACCAAGGAAAGCTCTTTCACAATAGACAAGTGCAGAGCAATCATCTGGCACGTCATCAAGAGACACTGCAGATCCAGCATGGACGGAAAGAGTTACGACTACCGGTCGTACCAACAATGGTTCGCAACCTGATCAAGGTTTCCGAGCTGCAGTTCGGGAGAAGGGCGGCTCTCACCTAGGATGTGAAAATCATAACTGGTGCTTGTTAGCTTACCAACAGCATGAGCATTTAGGCCTTCCATAAACCCAGTGAACACCACACATACAAAATGAGCGGAAAAAAAGGAGTTACCAGATGCGCAAAACGTTCTAGCTGCTCGCCAAACCCGATGAGCAGCTCCAGGACTTCGCCCTTGGAGCGTGAATCAAAGCAAAGAGCGGCACTGGGCTCCAGAGTAGGAAACGACTTGTTGTCAAGCTCATAGCAGCATCTTATGATAAGGGATAGTAAGACTATCGACAACTGCTCCAAAGCACCCGTGAATAAAGCAGAAATGAATCTCTAGTTAGCCTACCGAGGACCCCGAAAGCTTGCATAAACTGGCAGCAAAAGCAAAGTCAGCCAGCTCCTTTCTCTGCTTACCCGGATAAGTAAACTGGATTTCACATCCTTCCGCTTGATCTCGAACAGGACGTCCGTGGATTTCAACTGTGCCATCTATGAAAGCAAATACCTAACAGGGTTTTGCTTTATATGTTAAACTTTAAGCAAATACCTAACAGATATGTTAAACTTTACCCTTCCTTAAAGCGAGTAATTTTGTCCCTCTTTTTTATTAACTTAAGCTGACACCGAACACATCTTTTATTTCATGAAGATAGAACACACCTTCGGAGAAGCAAGCAACAGAGTCAGAGTCAGGCTGTTTTCTAGCCTGAATACGTTGGGCAGTTTGAGAATCTGCACGGTGCATCACAGATGCATCTTCCAAACAGGGTGCAGCTCCCGCCCTTGCACTTGACGCATCGCTGGCCCGCCTGGAAGAAATGGCAAGACTTGCAGTAGGAATCGCAGCTCAATCCTCCCGGGCGGCATGCACGCTCGCGGAAGCACTGCTGCTGCGCCTCCACCTCCGTGGCCACCGCCGCCAGCGCCAAGAGCACCAGGAACATCACTCCAAATCGCCTCATCGTAGAGCAAAGTAAGAGCAAAGCAAACCTCTAAATTGGCGATCGATCTCGAGAAAAGCTTGCGAATTTATACCACTGAGTGCTGAGATGATCCGGAGCATCCGAGTTACTTCCTGGGGTCCCATATTCGAAGTCGCAAAGACATGCTCTTCCCACCAAACTCGCCACAGAATCGACTGACTTGTCAGAAAAACGCGACCATTTTTCAGGTCGCTGGCACGCCACCTTTCTGTTCAGACTTCTTTACAATTTTTCGTGCTTATCCACTCGGCCCGAAGTCTTCCGTATCACCATAAAAGAAGCCGCTCGGGATTCTCGGCTAAACCTTTGAGACCGCCATTGCGAAGTCATACCAAGGAAGTCGTCGCAGGAACCAAGACCATCTCCTCTTTTGCCACCGCATGGTTTCTTCACAAGCCTAGAGACTCAATGTCAACATAGAAAAGTCCTCAAGGAGAAGTTTCTATGCATGAATTTCGAAGATCACACTCGGACTAAATGATATGAGCCGAGTCACTACCAGGACCCATCTCGAGAACGCAAGCAGCCGCGCACTCGCCCAGCTCCACGTCCAAGTGGATCCTGCAAGCGCTCAACACCGTCTTCCACAGCTCGGAGCTCGGTGTGGATGGAGCCACCGCCCGGATCAAATCCTCCGAAATCCACGACCCCGCTTGGCCCAGGAGATCCACCACACACCCCTGCCGCTCGCGTGATGGAACCATCTTATAGTCACTCACGATGGAGGCGAAGCACTGGCAGCCCCTGCGTGACTGTACGCCGAGAGCACGCTCACCAAGCTCACCTCACTCGGACAAACACCCTCCAGCTGCATCGCCCGGAAGCACCACAGGCTCCCGGCGGTATGCCTGGCTCGGGCATACACCGCCACCATAGTGTTCCACGAAACTCTGTCTGGCTGCCTCATCCGGCCGAAGATCTCCACTGTCTCGACAATCTCGGCACACTTGCCATAGAGGTCCAGCACTGCGTTGGCCACCACCCTCTCAGCGTCCAGCCTGAGCTCCACGATCTGTGCTCGGATCGCTCTCCCGGCCTCCCAAGTTCTCGGAACTCGCACAGGCTCCCAGAGCGGTGGCGAAGGCCACGCTATCTGGTGGCACTGTCATGCGGAAAAGAGCAATTGCTTCCTGGGGCATAAGCCGTGCTGAGCATAGGCCGAGATCATAACAGTCCAACGTCCGAGGATGGACTCTGGCTGAAAATGTCCCTGGGTTCTTCGACGCAGTGGCACTTGGAGTACATCTGGATGAGCGAACTCCAGGCCAGCTTCCACTGCTGCTGCGTGCGCTAGCTTTCCTTCCCGGAGGTTCTTGAGGTTTGCATACGAGCTTAGAACTGATGCGAATGTAAGCTTATTGGGCTTCACCATCTTGGTCGAGGCCATCTGTTTGAAGAGTGCGATTGTCTCTTCGAAGTGTCCATTCTGAGAGTAAGCTGACAGCATTGCGTTCCAGGAGACAATGTTCTTGTTATGAGTCGCATCAAAAACTTTCCAAGCTTCACAAGCCTGGTTGCTGCTGCCAAACATGTTGATGAGAGCGTTGTTGAGATCTATGTCCAGTTGAACCCCACTCTCCTGGTGGCAAGCTTCAAGGTACTTTGCTTCTAGAGGAGTTTTCTTGATGAATGTAACTATGTCGGGAAGCTTTGGAGCAATAAACAGGAAAATAGGGTTAATGGGCTAATGTTTTGGCAGTGAGATTTTGTATAAACTTAGGAAAAATAATATTATAGCAGATGTTTTAAAAACTTAAAGTTAGTAATATCCAACGCAATAATAATATTTTGGGATAATATGCAGATAATGTATGAAGATGATGGTCTAACATGTTACTAAAGAACCAAGAGGCATAAAGAGGCAAGCCATCTAAGAAAGAGAAAATGGGTTATATGAAATGTAAATTGAACACAATAGAATACTCAAGACAATAGGCTTACTCAAAAAGAAATATCATTAGCCAAACATACGTAAAGATATATCTAACATGTTAACAGATAAGAGACATAGCTAAAGCTAGTGGGGGTTTATTGCAAAGCTTCCAAATTCTTGATTGTTCGTAGAAATGTTTTACGATGGATTTCATTACAAGACTCCCTCCAAATAAAAGGGTTTGATGCAATATTCATAGTGGTGGATCAATTTTTTAAAATGATATTTTTCATACCCATCACAACGAAAGTGGATATGGAAGGTGTAATGAAGTTAATCTTCAAACAAGTGGTTCAAATGCGAGGAAGGCCAAAAACAATTATCTCAAATTGAGATAAAATTTTCATTAGTAAATTCTGGAAACTCTTCTACATTGCACCAAGCTAAATTTAGCGTAACTTATCACCCACAAATAGGTATTAAGTATTGAATCAAGTATGATGGCAATCATATTTTTTAACAGATGGAAAAACTAAAAGGGTGAATAGACAATGGAAGATTATTTATAATGTTATATCTTTATATACTAAATTGATTGGGTAAGTTAATTAAAACTTATAGAAATATACTATAACAATTCACCACATTCAAGTATTGGGGTGAGTCCATAAGAAGTTATCAAAGGGCAAGGTATTGAAGGTTCTATAGAATTTGGTATAACTGAGTATCATGGAAAGTTATCTGTAATAGATATGTTCACGGCAAAAATACTCAACATTTAGAATCTAGTAAGGGATTCCTTACAACAAGCTCAATAAAGGTAAATGAAATATGCAAATTAGAAGCATTGACGTGTATAATTCTAACTTGGGGAGGTGTAACTAAACACTAAGAACTTAAGGTTACCGAATGAGATCATTTAGAAGTTTACTTAAAGGTAAAATGTATATATTCTTAAAAATGATATAATCTTGAGTTTCTTAAGTATGTTCATAGGGCCTTATGAAATTGAGGCTCGAA